CTTATCCTGCAGCCACTTTGTTCTCTTTCTAAATTTTGGATAAGCGGTTTTGATGTGGATCATATGTTGCCTACATGACACACAAAATTCAAGTATTACGGTCCCAAACATATAAGATAAACATAAGAAATAATTTAAAATGGAAACTTAAAGAATAAAACTCATACGTACTCGATATAAGGTAGGACTTCCTCCGTATTCTCCAAGACATATAGATGTGCTTGGTTCAACAGGTCCCGATCAACTACGCTCACTGTGCAACCTGATAATGGCTTTAAAACTCCCATCTTTTGGCTTGAAGGCACTCCAACTGTACTAACATCAGATAAATGCTCGGTACAAAACTCTACAGCTTCTTCAGCTATATACCGCTCAGAAATGCAACCTTCGGGACGAGTACGATTCTGAACATACCCCTTTAGCACTTTCATATATTTTTCAAACGGATACATCCATCTAAAATATACTGGCCCACACAGACGAACTTCTCTGACAAGATGTACTACTAGATGAACCATGATATCAAAGAATGAAGGGGGAAAGTACTTCTCAAGCAAACACAAAGTCTTTGCACATATAGCATTGAAGAAGAAGCACAAACGAGTTATTGCATACCTTGCAGGCTTCTCCAAAACAGAACGAATTGCCACAGGGAGCAATTGTTGCATTAAGGTATGACAATCATGTGATTTAAGGCCAAGAAGTCTTGAATCTTGTAAAGATACAAGATTTTTTATATTTGAAGAATAACCTTCAGGGACCTTCATACCATAGAAAGAATTGCAAACCTCTCTCTTCTCTACTCTTGACAAATTCCAAGGCCCGGGAGGCAAACGAGTACGTCTTTCTCCATACTCGGGTTGCAAATCAGTTTTGACCCCCATGTTCAATAAATCTAATCGAGCAGCAATCCCATCTTTATTTTTTCCAGGGATCTCCAGCAATGTACCAATGATACTATCGCAAACGTTCTTCTCAATGTGCATAACATCTAGGACATGCCTCACAGGAAGGTATTTCCAATACTCGAGATCAAAGAATATTGATTTCTTCTTCCAACAAACTCTGTCACCATCTTCAACCATATGCAGCACTTCTTCTCCGGTTAATGGCTCAGGAGGCGTGCCATATTCAGGTTTCCCATTAAAAGCTGCACGTTGCCTCCTATATGGATGATTGATCGGTAACCATTTTCTATGCCCAATGTAACAAATTTTGTGGCCATTTTTCAACATGTGACTAGGTGTATCATCGCCGCATATTGGACAAGCTTTATATCCTTTAACAACACAACCAGATAAGTTTCCATAGGCGGGGAAATCATTAATTGTCCACATTAATGCAGCTCTGAGTGTAAAGTATTCTCCATTATGTGCATCATACACTCCTCCAATCCCATCCCACAAAGATTTTAAATCATCAATCAAAGGCTCCAAGTAGACGTCTATATCATTTCCGGGCTGTTTAGGACCGGAAATCAATAAGGTCAACATCATGAACTTTCGTTTCATGCACAGCCATGGAGGGAGATTATATGTAACTAAGATAACTGGCCAGCAACTATATCTGCTACTTAGAGAACTGTGGGGATTGAATCCATCAGATGAAAGAGCCAATCTCAAGTTTCTCGGCTCATTACCAAACTCGGGCCATTTATCATCAAGAAGTTTCCAAGACGGGGAATCCGCTGGATGAGACATATAACCGTCAATTGATTTTCTAGCAGCATGCCAAGTCAAACTCTTAGCGGTCTCATGTGATCGAAACATCCTTTTAAACCTTGGAATTGGAGGAAAATACCACACCACCTTCGCTGGCACACCCTCTTTCAAGATTGAATCTTTGCCTTCCTTCCACCTTGAGATACCACAATTAGGACAATGAGTTAAATCCTCATACTCCTTCCTATACAAGATGCAATCATTGGGGCATGCGTGCATTTTCTCATAACTCAGCCCCAATGCACACAAAGTCTTTTTTGCCTCATACATAGAGGCCGGTATTGTATTTCCTTCTGGAAGCAAATCGCCTTGAAGTATCAATAATTCTGTAAAACAGACATCACTCATCCCATATTTTGCCTTCAAATTATACAACTTCACTAATGCCGATAACTTCGTGTACTTTCTACAACCAGGGTACAATGGTTGATCTCCATCCCCAATCACATGGGCAAACTCATAAGGATCAGATCCAAAATCACCAAAATCATTATCATCCATCTCTATTTCTTCAGACACAAAACTGTACCTACTATGGTCATCATCTTCTTCAACATTTCTACTAGCATTAGTAGCTGCTTCCCAAGGTTCTCCGTGAAATGTCCAATTCTTATAGCTTTGGTCAACTCCATTAAAGTATAAGTGATCCCTTATAATTCCAACCCCAAACAATTTCAAATTAACACATTTAACACATGGACAACGGATATGTGTGGTAGTTAGAAGATTTTCTACAGAAAAGTTCAAAAATGCTTCCACCCCTAACTCATATGCCTTCGATCTTCTATCCGAGTGCATCCATGACTTATCCATCTCCGACACTATACCCTATTATATATAATAAAGTGAAAAGACAAGCAATGACCATCACTATAGCAGATTATATAAAGTCTAATAGCAAGTAATATACAACAGAGACGACGGTTTTTAAACAAAAACAGACGTATTTGACATATATAGACGACGGATTTTACGTCGTCTAATTATAACCACGACGGTAGTTAAATAACACCGTCGTGTATAAGTAATAAAAACGACGGTTTAAAGTAAAAACCGTCGTCGTATGCCTGAAAACGCGTCGTTATCCAGTTTATTTTCAAGATCCCAAAACCCTATTAAGAACACAACATAGACATGAAACCAAGCAAGAAACCAACATATACATGAAACCAACATATACTAAGCATGAAAACAATAAATCCATTCCCAATTCAACATAACAGAGAGTGATTAAAAGATCCGACAAAATGAAATCCATTCCATATTCAACATAACAGAGAGTGATCAAGAAAACATTAAACAGAAAATCCATGAACCCATACCTCCAACAACATTATTAACAGATCGCAAAACATATACCTAAAACCCTTTAACAAAACAACGTAATATATCATTCAATGAATTTACAAGGGGAAGAGAGGGTTTGTACTTACAGGTTGGCAGAGCTCACAGATTATGACCAAATTGGATTTGACACAGCCTGGCCCAACTTTGAATTAGAGATGAAGTGAGAGAGCGAAATGTTATGTTGCGCGAAATCAGAAAATTTTAGGGTTCAGGGTTAGAAGTATAAAAATAAGAGCCAAATCTGAAAATTTTAGGTCCCGCGAATATTTTAAGAAAGCGCGCTTTTTAAAACATCGACCGAAAAAACAAGCGTCGTTAAAATTTAACATTAAACATGACGCTTATTACATTAAGGACGTCGTGGTAAAACTATGTGCCACGCAAAATCAAAAAGGCGTTAAAACTATGAAAAACCACGGCGGGGTTAAGTAATTAACGACGTTGTAAATAATAATAAACGACTTACGTGTAAACAAAACGTCGTTTAAAAAAGAAACCACGTCGGATTTTTCACCATACGACGTAAACTCAATATTCTACGACTCAATCACCGTCGTTAAAAGTAATACCCTAAACTTTAAAACCATAAATTATATATTTGTAAAATTTAATTTTATAAAATTGTTTATGGTTTTACATCCTAATAAATAACAAGCATAAACCCTAAACCCCAAAAATTATACTTTAACCATAAACCCTAAACCCTAAACCCTAAACCATCAAACTATATAAGTGATGCTATGACACATAACAACAATTTTATTTTGGTTGGTCATTTTAAACTTTTATTACACAAACTGCATTTTTTTGGGGTTTAGGGGGAAGAAAATATATCAATGACTTCATAGGAGTTGAAGTTGAATTTTTTGAATTTATTTTAAATTTATTTTTAAAATTTTGAATTAAAAATAATAAAATATTCTTATATCAACAACAAACCACGGCGGGGTTAAGTAACTAACGACGTTGTAAATAATAATAAACGACTAAAAGGTAAACAAAACGTCGTTTAAAAAAGAAACCACGTCGGATTTTTCAACATACGACGTAAACTCAATATTCCACGACTCAATCACCGTCGTTAAAAGTAATACCCTAAACTTTAAAACCATAAATTATATATTTGTAAAATTTAATTTTATAAAATTGTTTATGGTTTTACATCCTAATAAATAACAAACATAAACCCTAAACCCCAAAAATTATACTTTAACCATAAACCCTAATAAATAACAACCCTAAACCCCAAACCCTAAACCCTAAACCATCAAACTATATAAGTGATGCTATGACTCATAAAACAATTTTATTTTGGTTGGTCATTTTAAACTTTTATTACACAAACTGCATTTTTTTGGGGTTTAGGGGGAAGAAAATATATCAATGACTTCTTAGGAGTTGAAGTTGAATTTTTTGAATTTATTTTAAATTTATTTTTAAAATTTTGAATTAAAAATAATAAAATATTCTTATATCAACAACAAACCACGACGTTGTAAATAATAATAAACGACTCACATGTAAAAAGGACGTCGTTTAAAAGAGAAACCATGGCGGATGTTTCACCATCTGACGTAAAATAGATATTCCACGACCTAATCACCGTCGTTAAAAGGTATTAACCTAAACCCTAATGAACGACTTACTTGTTCAAAAGGACGTCGTTTAAAAACGAAACCATGGCGAAATTTTCATCAAAACGACGTCCCATGTACGTCCCATCACGTCTAAATATCATTTTACGTCGGTTTTTTACATAATTATGTCGTTGGAAAGTTATTACACGTTACGCAATTTGTTTTTTCTTTTATAATATGAAAACCTCAGCAAATTTTCAGGGAAAAAAAGGATGTATATTATAGACAAAATTTGTACATTATATATTATAGACAAAATTAGTACATATAAAATATCAAGTGTTCCAAAAATCCTCTAATCCATATGAAGGCAAACAAACTCTGCCCATTCTTTCCTGACTTCATCAATGGCTGCTTGGGGGTATGGCGCTTGATCTTTTCCCTTGGCAAACTGCAATCCATAAACAATGATTATTAAGCTTTACAAAATAAAAAGAAATTCAGACACAGACGACGTTTTTTTTCATAACCGACGTAGTCTATCGATTCAACGACGGTAATTTTAAATGACCGTCGTTGATAATACAAAAAACCACATAAAATGTTTCTGAAAATTTTATTCTTACCTTCTTCTCAAACTCCAAGGAAGGATCCATGATGATGTCCCTCATGAAGCGCATCACATAATACCCGCATTCGACACTGCTGGGTTGCTTTGGTGTGCCTGGCAGAGTTTTCCAAATTGGTGCTTTACGGCCTGGTCTGCCTATGTGGGAATTATAAATTTTTAAAGCACTGTTCACGATGTTTTTGCCCTCCTCATCAACCACACGATTTCCAGGCAGAGGATCCAGAAAATAGACGGTTTCCCTCTTTGCCCTCACAATCAGCAAGACCCAATGACGGCTGCACAAAAATAAAATAAAAAACGACGGTTATTTATAAAAACCGACGTATTATATAGTTTCACACGACGTAATAACTTAATCATCGACGTCATTATAAATTTATCACGACGATAATTAACTACCGACGTGGTTAGTTGTTTCAAACGACTCAATAAATAAATAACCGACGTGGTTAGATGTTTCAAACGACACAGAATTAGTTAAACAGTTTTATAAGTGAAAATCATACAAACAAAATCCTTTTAAGGAGACTAACCCTGGATTGTAAGGCATCATGAAAATCTGTTCACCATCTGTTTTCTGAAGTCGACTGGCTACAATTCGTGATCTGTCAGTTAGTGACCCAGCGTTGGCACTAACTTGAGCAGGGTCGATAAAGCCAACCATGCTGCACATATTTGCTTCTCTCAAAAGATCATATAAGCACCTAAATATATAAAACAAACGACGGTTATTTATACACAAACGACGTATTATACAATTTCACACGACGAACTGAAATAGAAACAGACGTGATAACTAATTTATCACGACGGTAAAAAAGAACGACGTGGTTAGTGGTTTAAAACGACGCAATAATTAAACAACCGACGTCTTATGATATAATGTTTGATATTTGATTAGGACAAACCTCATATATACTGCAACCACAGTAGCCCCAATTTCTTCCATGCCTGCAAACTGTGTAATATCTTCATGCAAGACGAAGGTACTTCGATCTGCACCAAACACCTCCTTCTCAATGTTGAAGGTCATGATCTTCCCCTGTGGCTTTAGTGTAGTTTCCACATAACCACAAAGGGATTGTAAGGAAGATGGCACCTCCACATTTGAATAATCAACTACTTCATTACCCTGTTTAAAGAAATAAAGCAAAATAAAATGACGTGGTAATTCATTAAAAACGACGGTTTAAATTAAAAAACGTCGTCTGATTATAATTTAAACGACGGTAATTAAATACCGTCGTTTTATATTATTTATTACGTTGTAGAAAATAAATTCCGACGTCTAATGTGAAAACAAACGACGGTTTAAAGAAAAATATCGACGTCTGAAATGTGAAAAACAAATTAAAAAGGCAAAGTTATGAGAATATACCTCCTCGTCATGCTTTTCTTCATCTTGTTTTTCTTCTTTCTTCTCTTCAACATTTGTGTCTTCCTCTTTGCCTTCATCTTTATTCTCTTTTTTTTCTTCCTTCTTCCCTTCATCTTTTTTTTCTCCCATCTTCTGTTCATCTTTATTTTCTTCTTTCTTCTCTTCATCTTGATTATCTAAAGCCCCAGATTTCTGTTTTAAATAATAAAGAAATATATATATATATATATATATAAGACAGATTGTACAGAGAGTAAAAAAATTAAACCAAAACGTCGTGGTAAGGCATAACATAAGACGGTATGTAAGAATTATGGACGTCTTAAAATTATTAAACGATGGTAAATAATAAAAGTCGTGGTAATTTTATATTACGTCGTTAAGGACAAAAACCGTCGTCTAAAAGCCACAAAGTACGACGTCTAATGGCGTGTAAAACAAGTAAACTAAATACGACGTGGTATTTAAATAAACACGACGGGGTATTTATAAAATCGTCGTGGTATGGTTTTAAAACGACGGGTTTATTCATAATAACGACGTCTAATGTTTTAAAAAAAAACAGAGAATTCAAAGTTCAGATATGTTACCGTTTGTTCCTGCTGTTCCCATTTCTGGCAGTATCATCCTCTAAATGTAGGGATCTCACTTCAGCCCCAGAACAGCTTGCTTTATCAGACATTGGATTCTTGGGACTTTGCTGTAGACCTTGGTTTTGACAGGGGCTAGTTTTCGGTTTAAGCATGCTTGGATCAAAATTGGGGATGAGGTGGGAAAGCTGACTTAGTAAATGTTCCCTCTCAGCCTCTACTAATTGTTTGGTTCTAGCTTCCATCTTCTTAGTCTCTTCTTGAAGGACAATTCTTACACTTTCCTTCAATTGATCAGCAAACTTTACCCTTTGTGGTCTAGGTAAATTGAAGAATTGCCTAGGGGAAATCCCAGCACCTACCCCTCTTACTCTCCCTGGATGCTCGGGACCCAAAGCCAAGGTCAACACATCATTACTGCCAGTTATACTCAGACTGCCTTCAGCCACTTGTTTTTGCAATTCATCCTAAAACAAAGACAAAAAAAAAGTCAGCACAAGAAAATACACGACGGTTATTTATAAACAAACGACGCATTATATAATTTCACACGACGCACCAATATAGAAATCGACGTTATAATATATTTATAACGACGTTAATTAAAACCGACGTGGTTAGTTGTTTAAAACGACGCAATAAATAAACCACCGACGTCTTATGCTGTAATTACAGAAAACAGAGTTGTGATTCCAGATTTAGATCTTTCACGACGTTTTTGAAAACATTTCGACGTAGTAATAACATTAAAACGACGGAAAAAATTAACCACCGACGTCTTATGCTATAATTACAGAAAACAGAGTTGTGATTCCAGATTTAGATCTTTCACGAAGTTTTTTAAAATATTTCGACGTAGTAAAATCATTCACACGACGGAAAAATATAACATAAGACGTAATAAGAATTCTACCCAGTTTAATAAAATTTAAAACAGAGTGTGTAGGCTTACAATTAATTTTGCTTTCTCTGCCACCTTTGGATCCGGGATGTTACCATGTTTGTCCTGTCTAGCTTTCTTCCATAAGGTAGATCGATCAATTTCTACCCCAAGCATGGTTTCCTCCAATTGATCCTCCAAACCAGCATATCCTTTTCGAGACAATCGATGATTGTACTCAAGTTTCTCCCTAATCTGTGCATGTTGAGAATGCACAGACTCAAATTCTTTGGATAACCTTGAAGCTACAAAGGCATCCCATTCTGCTTTCTCTATGAATTTATATACTTCAGGGGGTTGGCTTAATTTCTCCCTCTCCTTGATGTATGGAAGGATATAATGCCTCGTCAGTGTAGACTTGAAATCCTTCCATTTCTTGGCAGCAGAAGATAACACCGAGGTCTTGCCCCCTTGACCTACCACAAAAGCCATGTTAACGGCTTCCCAAATCTGCTCCTTTATATCATTGGGGATTTCAGCCCATTTCTTGTCCACAAGTGGGACTCTGGAGCGTGCCAACACACCAATGTAGGACTGCATCTCAGTATGTGCAGGGCCACATCCTTTCCCCCTTTTATTGTACTCAACAACTGGCTTGATTTTCTGCAATTTTCTCTTCACAACACGAGGCATTGTGCTCATACCTCGACCTGACTTTGAATCCTCAGAAATTGTTGTTGTGCTGCTTGGTTCTTTCTCAGCAGATGAAACAAACTTCATCTTCTTCAAGGGCTTGTCTTGAGGAGTTACCATTCCAAGCTCCTTACCTCCATTTTTTTTGGAGCCAGAGTACTTACTTTGGTCTTGAGAAACCATGGTTACAGAATAAACAAACCTGCAAGTGAAAATATTTCGTGAAAAAAATTAGAACACAAACGACGGTTATTTATAAACTACGACGTATGAAAAGATTTTACACGACGTAATAACATAACATCAGACGTAATAAATGTTTAAAGAAGAACAATATAAATGTTTAAACAACGACGAAACAATATTAAATAAGACGTAATAAGAACTTATTACGGCGATATTTACACGACGTCGTGATATTCATATTAACACGACGTAAATATTAATATAACGTCGTGTTATGGATATTCACACGACGTGAATAATAAGCTACCGTCGTATTTATAAAAAACCAAAAACATTTTTCTTTCTTTGTGAATGTTTGATTGCAGGTTTAATTTCTCTGAAACATGGTTTTTGTTTTTCCTAATTTGATAAAATACAAAGAAAAAAAGCTTTGGCATCTTTTTATAGACGACGGTATCTTAGTATAACGTCGTGGTATGAACATTCACACGGCGTCAATAATAAGATACCGTCGTCTATATAAGATACCAAACCCTACTTTCTTTGTCTCTGTATTTTATCAAATTAGGAAAAACGAAAACCATGGTTCAGAGAAATCGAACCTGCAACTAAACAAGCAAATAAAAAATTGACCGTCATTTTAAAAACAACTTAGATCAATTTTAAGACGACGCTAGGACGACTGATGAACCGTCGTGGTCTACATATTTAACCACGTAAATAAAAAGCTACCGTCGTCTTATTTAGTTGAATTAGTTATGTTCAAAGTTGAAACTTTCCCTCTCTGTCTGTGTATTTTATCAAACTTGGAAAGAATAAAAATGATTTTCGCCAGAAAAAAGGTAAAAAGATTTTCAAAACAAAAACAGTATGAGCATGCAAAATAGCAACAAAAATAGTGAGAAATGAAAGCTTACCTTTTGCGTGCAATGAAAGCTTTCTCTCGGATTTTGGTGTTTAAGTTCAGAGGCGACGACGAAGACAAGAGGAAGACGATGAGATACTCTGACAGTGCTCTGACAAGGAAAAAAGACGAAAAGTTTTCTCTGGGAGATTGAAATGTTTTCTCGGGTTTGGAAACAGTGCATGTGTAAGTCAGGTAGACGAAAAGTTGTATATGTATACAAACCGTTTCATAGTAATAAGACGGCGGTTTACATAGAACGACGACGTATTAATAGACAAACTACGACGCTAATTTGAACTTATGACGTGGTACATAAATACGACAGTGGTGTTGTAGGTACCGCCGTAGTAAACTCCTAAATAAAAGTCGATAACTCAATATCTCGCGTCATGGTAGAAATATTTAACACGACGGTTGTTTTAAATTTACGACGTTTATTTTCATAATATACGTCGTTTTATTGTAATATACCGACGTGGATAACACTAAACTAAAACGACGTATTATTTTTTCCACGACGTGGATTCGTTTTTAAACGTCGTTATGTGTAATATAACCGACGTGGATTTTATTTTTTTATTATAAATATAATTTTTTTCCCCTTTTTCTTATAGTTTATTTTTCAAAAACAGTGCCTTATAGATATAGTTTTTTTTCCCGAGGAAATTAATGTTCTAGAATTTGTAAAGTTTCTTTTCTAGGTGACTGATTTAAATCAAATAAAAATATAAAACAACGACTGTTTTTGTTATACCGTCGTCGTTTCTTGTCGTCTTAAGTAAGAATAAAACGACGTAATGTATTTGTTACCGACGAGGATTGTTTTTGTTAAACGTCGTTATGTGTAATATAACCGACGTGGATTTGGTTTTTTAATTATAAATAGGGTTTTTTTTCCACGGGTTCTTTCAGTTTTAGTATTCGATTAGGGTTTCAACTTCTTCTTGCCCCTTTCTCTGTCTCACCTCATCTCTTGGGAGGCAATTGTTTGAATGTTGGTTATCTGTGGCTGATTGCAAATCACCAATTTTCAATAAATTGTCTCTCTGATTGCAAATCTGTGGCTGCCGTCGTGAAGTTTTAGGAGGCGATTGTTTGGATGTGAATGTGTATGTGCGTTTGTGTAGATACACAAACGCACATACATCATTCACTTCCAAAAAATTGTCTCTCTGATTGCAAATCTGTGGCTGCCGTCGTGAAATTTTAGGAGGCAATTGTTTGGATGTTGATGTGTGCGTGCGTTTGTGTAGATACACAAACGCACACATATCATCAACTTCCAAAAAATTGTCTCTTTGATTGCAAATCTGAGGCTGCCGTCGTCAAATTTCAGAAGCAATTTTTTGGATGTTAATGTGTATGTGCGTTTGTGTATCTCAAAGACACAAATACACATACATCATTAACCTCTAAAATATTGTCTTTCTGGTAAGATTATGATGAGCAACAGAGTTCCATCTTGTAAGATTTCCTAACCCTTGTGATCTCAGAATAATCTGATTATGTCGGCGGTTTTCTATATAAACCGTCGTGGTTATTTCAATTCTTGTCGTTAGGTAGATCTACCGACGTAGGATAACAAAATCGAAGAAATAAATTGTTAAAAAAAATTCTTATTCAGAAGACGGTTTAAATATAATTTATGACGTATAAAGTGGACAAATACGACGTTAAATTCTATAATACGTCGTTATATGAAAACCCCAACTTGGTAAGATTTAAAGATGTCGTCGTAGAAATACGAGAAAGACGTCGTTATATTTACCTTTGCCGTAGTTGTACATTAATTTAATACGGCGGTATTTTGTATTTTACCGCCGTGGATTTATTTGTAATTATACGTCGCCTTATACGAAAACTTGGTCGTGTTAATTTCTGGGTAAAAACGACGGCTTTTTGTGAAACCGTCGTCTTTACTTTCTACGTCGGTCGGTTCATAACTTCTGCCGTTATTTGTTGGCTATGATTTTACCTCTTGAAAATCCTATTTCAATAAGACGTCGGTTTTTTAATTAAGTACGTCGTGTTTTTGGAACAGCCATTTGAAACTCCATTTTTTAGTTGTCTAATGTGTTATTACACGGCGGTTTTATAAAACCGTCGTCTTTTAAAAAACAACGACGGTTTTCACTTAGACCGTCGTGTTTTTCTGGTCGTCTTTTTCACTTTTTGTAGTAGTGTCTAGATCTCCATTGAGAAATGCAGTCTTAACATCCATTTGAAAAAGGTTCAAATCCTTTTGTGCGACAATAGCTAAGATTAGGCGAATAGATGCAAATCTCACCACAGGGGTGAGAGTATCATCATAGTCTATACCCTCACTTTGAGTATAGCCTTTCGCCACAAGACATGCCTTGTACTTGTCAATTGAACCATCTGCTTTGCATTTGATTTTCAAGACCCATTTGTTTCCAATGTTCTTGCACCCAGGCGAAAGGTCATCTAACTCCCAGACCTTATTTTTGTCCATTGAGCTTATCTCATCTTGCATAGTAGTCATCCACTCTTTACTAGCTAAAGATGATAGTGCTTCCTTATAAGATGCAGGCTCTTCTTCATCTATTGGAGTGCACAAGAAATTTTCCCCTTCAATTTCAAAAAATCGACGGGGAATATTTCCTCGTTTGCTCTTTCGCACCATTAAATCCTGAGTTTCTAGCGGTGTACCATCTTTTGGTATACTCCCACTAGGTTGCAGATCATTGTCACTTTCTTTAGCGATTACTGGATCAGTAGTCAATTCCCCATCCTCGCTTAAAGATTGTAAAATATCTTCACTTCTATTAACGGGAAGAAACTATTAACGGGAAGAAACATGAATTCCTTGATTGTAGGATCATATAAATTAGAGATTGTAATTTGCTTTCTGTACAAAACTTACCTAGAATGGCTTAGCTATTGATTGTATAAGAATGACATCCTATTGTATATTTCATTGTCAACAAATAGAGAGAGATATTCTCTACAGCAATCCTTTTATCTTTCTTACATGGTATCAGAGCACCATCCCTGGTGACTCCAATCGCTTCTGCAACACATCGCCATAATGGGCGAGAACGAGAAATCAACTAAGGCAGCTGTCATGAATCCTTCAGATCCATATTCCTTACATAGCTTGGATCATCCAGGGATCGTTTTAGCTTCCCAAATACTCGTAGGAGACAACTACGGCCCATGGAGTCGTTCTGCAGCAATCAGTCTTAGTGCAAAGAACAAGATCGATTTCATCAATGCCTACTCTGCAATACGCGGACAAATTCTGTTGATGGATCCGCTGCCAGACACACGAAAGACATATTCTCTTGTTCTGCAACAAGAGAAACAAGTTGAGGTATCCCTTAATCGTGAACATCTGAACCATCATGCCATGAGCGTGACAAGCAATAAAGAGGCTGCTGCACCATCTCATCAGTCATACAAGGGAAAACCACCCCTTCATTGTTCATATTGTGATCAAGATCGCCACAGTGTTGAAACCTGCTATTATTTACATGGGTTCCCACCTGGCCACAAATTGCACGGCAAGTCGGTGAAGCCACCCAACCGAAGGAAATCAACGGCTAATCATGTCAAGGCAGAGACAGAGAGTGTCAAGAATTCAGACACAAGTCACACGACTCCAACTAGTGATGGTCCCAAATTCACCACTGAGGAATACAACCAACTCATGGCCATGCTTCGGAAAAACAATGATGGTAACCCACAACACTATGCAAATACCACAGGTATTACTACTTCATCATCTCCCGTGACTCACGTAGATCCACACTCGAAATTATGTTGGATTATTGATAGTGGAGCCACAGATCACGTGACTTCTTCCATTGAGTTAACAAATCCGCAACTTTTGCCCAAGTCAGCCACTATTCAATTGCCCGATGGTGGTCAGACACACATTGAGTCAATTGGCTCATTACAAGTTACACGACACATTAAACTTGATGAAGTGCTCAAAGTTCCACAATTTCAAGTTAATCTACTATCAGTCAGAAAATTGACATAGGCATTGCAATGTATAGTGATATTTTTTCCCCATTTTTGTGTTGTGCAGGACGCTGCTACAGGGAAGATGATTGGCCTGGGCAAGCAACATAATGGCCTCTACTACTTGGCACAAGACCAAAACCCGATCCTAGCTCAACACATTCGGAACCTCTGGCACCAACGTCTTGGCCACCCATCCATCGGACCTCTCCAAGTTCTCACCAAGACGAACTCTAAAATTTCTTTCAATTCCAGTCATGTTTGTGACATTTGCCTTTAGCCAAACAGACTCGATTATCATTTCCATTTAGTTCAATTTCTTCTCATGCACCTTTCAATTTAATACATTGTGATATTTGGGGACCACATCGAATAAATTCCCATTCAGGGGCTCGTTATTTCTTAACAATTGTTGATGATTTTACACGCTATACTTGGATACATCTCATGAGTTTTAAATAAGAAACACAAGGGATCCTACAATCATCTGCTTCTTGGGTAGAAACACAATTCAATTTTCACATCAAAACTCTCCGAGCCGACAACGGAGCTGAATTTATATCCATGCGACCCTTCCTAGATACAAAAGGAATTGTTTTCCATCACTCATGCCCCTCAACCCCCTAACAAAATGGGGTCGTTGAGCGCAAACACCGTCATCTTTTGAACATAGGAAGGGCTCTCCGGTTTCAAGCCAACTTGCCTTTACAATTTTGGGGGGACAGTATTCAAAGGGCTTGTTATTTGATCAATCGCCTACCTACACCTCTTCTTTCTCACAAATCACCATACGAAATGCTTCACGCAACACCACCCACATATACTCATCTCCTTACTTTTGGGTGCCTTTGCTATGCCACTAACCTCACACCTTCTCATAAATTTGATCAACGAGCTAGCCGTTGCATTTTTGTTGGTTATCCTCTTGGTCAAAAAGGCTATCGGGTTTACGATCTCACCACACATAAATTTTTTTCCTCCTGGGATGTTGTCTTCCATGAAAACGTTTTTCCATTTTGTGCCCATCCCCAGGAGCATCAACCAGATATGATCGTCCTCCCTCTTTCACAAGATTCCGAGACATCACCTTCTCTTCTAAGCCCAGTCGGCCCCAACACAGATGGCTCTCATGCTTCCGGCCCAAACTCCGCCGACCCACCCGACATACCTAATCCAATCCCTTCTCCAAACCCTACGGACACACTTGACCTGTCACACTCATCTCATGACCCACCTTCTGCCCCTCCTCAACTGACCCCCATCACTCCTCCTCTTCGACGTTCTAGTCGTCTCCCACAACCCAATGTCCACCTACGTGACTTCCATGTTTACAACACGGCCACGGTTGCCCACAACCCGTCATCTTCTTCGTCAGGCACGCGTCACCCCTTATCGCGGTATCTTTCTTATGCACAACTTTCTTCTCCTTATCGGAGTTTTATATGTAATATCACCACTCTTGTGGAGCCTGTGACTTATGAATAGGCTGCTTCGAATCCTCATTGGCGAGAGGCCATGGCTGCGGAACTCACTGCTCTTGAACAGAATCAGACATGGACCCTTACGTCTCTCCCTTCCGGTCATCGTCCGATTGGGTGTAAGTGGGTCTACAAAATTAAGTACAACTCAGATGGTACAGTTGAGCGATACAAGGCTCAGTTGGTGGTGAAAGGCTTCACTCAACGTGAAGGAATTGATTACAAAGAGACATTTGCTCCTGTCGCCAAATTGACCACTGTCCGTTGCCTGCTTACTGTTGCCGCCATCCGTAATTGGTCTCTTCATCAAATGGATGTCCAAAACGCATTTCTCCATGGTGATCTCACTGAGGAGGTGTACATGCAACTACCTCCTGGGCAACATATGGTGTGCCGACTCAACAAATCCTTTTACGAGCTCAAACAAGCTTCTCGTAGCTGGTTCCACAAGTTCTCTAATGCTATCCAGCAAGGTGGTTTTCATCAGTCAAAAGCCGACTATTCCCTATTCACTAAAGTGTCTGGCACCTCCTTTACAGCTCTACTCATTTATGTCGATGACATGATCATCACCGGCAACGACGACAATGCCATTGCCTCTCTTAAAGACTTCCTTCGCACCAAATTCGCATTAAAGACCTTGGTCAAATGCGGTACTTCCTTGGTGTCGAAGTTGCTCACTCCATTGATGGGATTTCAATATCTCAACGAAAATATACACTTGATATTTTGAATGAGGCATGTTTGCTTGGGGCCAAACCGCTGTCAACACCCATGGAAGAGAACATTAAGCTCTTACACACAGATGGAGATTTATTAAAGAACCCATCACTCTATAGACGGTTGGTTGGACGGCTCATTTATCTCACTATCACGAGACCAAAAATCACGTACTCGGTTCACATTTTAAGTCAATTTATGCAGGAACCAAGGAAACCACATCTTGATGCTGTCTATCATCTTTTGCGATACTTAAAAGCAGCACCGGGACAAGGTTTATATTTTCCATCCGAAGGGAATTTATTGTTAACTGGATTCAGTGATGCAGACTGGGCTCGGTGTTCTATCACGAGGCGATCCGTTACTGGTTATTGCATTTTTCTTGGAGGAGCTCTTATTTCATGGAGGACTAAGAAGCAAACTACTGTATCAAGGTCCTCTGCCAAATCAGAATATCGAGCTATGGCCTCCATCACATGTGATGTGAGCTTACTTGGCTTAGGTACTTGCTGCATGATTTATGGGTTGAGCTTCCACAACCAGCCAAGCTGTTTTGTGATAGTCAAGCGGCACTTCATATCGCAGCAAATCCGGTTTACCACGAACGAACCAAGCACATTGAGATCAATTGCCATGTTGTTCGAGAATGGATTCAATCAGGAGCAATCGTGACAGCTCATGTGCCCTCAGCATGTCAACTTGCCGACATGTTCACCAAGCCACTCGGTCAACCGACGTTTCGTTCCCTACTTGGCAAGTTCCGCGTTCTTGATATACACGCTCCAGCTTGAGGGGGAGTATTAACGGGAAGAAACATGAATTCCTTGATTGTAGGATCATATAAATTAGAGACTGTAATTTGCTTTCTGTACAAAACTTACCTAGAATGGCTTAGCTATTGATTGTATAAGAATGACATCCTATTGTATATTTCATTATCAAGAAATAGAGAGAGATATTCTCTACAGCAATCCTTTTATCTTTCTTACAACTTCCTTCCAACTCAAGTAGGTCAAGATTCTTTTGGGCATCACCAATGCTAGGAAAGTCATTCTCTATGAAATTCACATTTCGGCAATCTATTTCAGTCATTCCTCCATCAGCATGTTCACCATACATCACATAGCCTTTCGAGTGCTCGCAATACCTTATGAAGATATGTTTTTTTACCCCGAGAACCTAGCTTTCCATGCTTGTGAAAAGTATTATGAACAAAACCAGCTGATCCCCAAGGGCGCAAATGCCTCAAATTGGGCTTTTCACCTTTCCATAATTCATAAGGGGCTGAAGTGACTGATTGGGAAGGCACTTGGTTAAGAATGTAGACAGCAGTTAAAATTGCTTCTCCCCAAAACGAAATTGGGAGATTAGCTTGTGCCATCAGAGACCTAACCATGTCTAACAAAGTTCTATTCCTTCTCTTCGCAACACCATTTTGTTCCGGTGTATAAGGAACAGTAAGTTGTCTGCGTATCCCCTTATTTTCACATAGTTCTTTAAACTGTTCAGATAAGTACTCGCGTTCGCTGTCTGTGCGAAGAGCCTTTAAACTCTTCTCTGTCTGATTCTCAACCTCAGCTATAAAACGCTTGAAACAATCCAAGGCTTCATAGCGGTGAGCGATCAGATAGATATAACCATATCGCGTGTAATCATCAATAAATGTGAGTAAATAAGAGGTGCCATGACGTGCCTTCACACTCATAGGTCCACAAATGTCTTAGTGAAAGCGGTTGAGTAGCTCTCTTAGCCTTACCAAAAGCCTTTCTTATAGCTTTACCAACCAGACAACATTCGCATATAGTTAGGTCAACTTTAGTTAGTGAGCCTAAAAGACCTTCTCTAGCTAATCTTGTCATCCTGTCACGTCCTATGTGTCCTAGTCTTGCATGCCAAGTTACAGATAAAGAATAGGTGCCGTCGGAAATACCCTTTTTCAACCGCAATTTGCTGTCGGGAGTTGTCGGAAAAACGCCCGTTGGAAACAGTTTTTTTCGACCAGTCTCTCGGAAATAATTTATTTCCAACGCCCATGTTCCGTTGATATTGCTTATATTTCTGTCGAAAATGGATTTTCAGAACAACTATACAAATTCATTTCCAACCATAAATATGGTCGCAAATACTTATGTGCTATATTTTCAACCAATGACTATTGGTCGAAAATAGTATTTCCGACCTTGGATTACTATTTGTAATAAATATAATTTGTCGGAATTGTGCATTTCCGACATGGAAGTGTGTCGAAAAAAATGTTTTTCCGACTACATTTATATAGGCTAGTGGTAATGTAAATTTAAAGTGCCAACCAAAACTCAAATTAGTTTAAAATATATTTTATATGATTTCACTCCTAAAAATCAAAATAAATACATTAAAAATCTGAAAAATTCACCAAAGCTTCGAAAATATTATTTTTACTTATAAAAATTCAAAGTGACAACAAAAACTCAACTTAGTTTGTAAACAAACAAAGCACTAGTTAATGTTTGATAACTTAACACTCTTGCTTCTTTGATCCCTCAATTATGTAGAATCATGATTTGAGATCTCTAAAATCGATGGATTTGTTGTAAGGAATGCATAGATATTTTCGGTTTTTTTTAAAAAAATTTAATTTGGTATGAATATTTTAAGATAGTCATTTCTAATGACCGCTAATTCCCCTTGTAAATAGAAAAATTATTACCAGTGACCATATGTTGCCCTCGGAACTAGGTTGTGATTTCCGACAACTGTGAATATGCCCTTGGAAACAAGCACAACTATTACCGACAAGGATGAGTTTGGTCGTAAATATAACGGCATTACCGAGCGGACATATTTTTCCTTAGAAATAGTCAAACAATTCCGACGGCATAAGAAGCCCCTTGGAAATAATCATCTTATTTCCGACAAACAAATTTTTTGTCGTTAATAAAGTTGGCGCCAAGTTTTCCCTCCAAATAAATTGCATTTCCGACGACCATAGAGACTTTTTTCGACGGCCGTTTCTTTGTCAGAAATAAATTCCAACTCCATGACATATTTCCAACGGACAACATTTTTTCGTCGGAAAAAACACTTTTACCGAGGACACACTATGCCAAATTTCACTTTCCGCAACACTACATAGGCATCGGCGAAAGGAAAAACCGATGTTGTTAGTATATTAGGCATCAGTTTTATAAATAATAAGACTAAAAGTATATAAAGGCATCAACACAAATATTTGGTTTTTCCTCCCGATGCCATTGATTATACTTAGCATCTATGATATAAATATGCTGATGCGTAAAATGGTTCTACAAAAAACAAATTTAAGCGCCACATTTAGCTCCAACGCCAAAAGCCTAGTTGACTGCTATAGTGATTTTTTTGCTAAAATTTTTATGTCCCTAGTGAATATTTCAGATTCCCTCTCTATTTTTGGCCAAAAATCTAACTCCCTCTCTTCTTTCTCGGGATACCCAGTCACAAACAGTCACTCCAGGCTCTCATCCTTCTCACCTTCAAACTCCCTCTCTTCTCTCTCACGATACTCATAAGACAATTGATATGCCTATAACTAAAAGTAGCATCATCACTATTGTATTATGTGACGTTGTAAGTCAGAAAAAGCATCAGTGTGGTATAAAATTCTGTTGTTGTAAACCGTATTTAGCATCGGAACTATTAAAACTACCCATGCCATTGCATGTTTAGGCAGTTTAGCATCAGTGTTTAAGACAGAACTGATGCGGTAGATATATAAAGGCAACAGATAATATCCGATGCGTATGACTATATCATACGGATCGATTCCCAATACAACAGTTTTTAGGGGCCTTTAGCAACGGATATTATCTTAAGCTAAAAGTCAATTTTCACATAGTGACATTGGGGGGCCCTAGGAAAAAGTTGGTCGGTAATGAACCTTTTTTTGTAGTGATGTACCTCAGCATAAGCTATATAAGAAGATGAGGAATTGGAATCATTCAAATCCAAATAAAAGAAGTTATTCCTTAAAAAACCATGACCAACAATTGTACCATCCAATAACACATCCAAACCAAAAGAAGAAAACTTAAAACAATATCCATCACGTAAACACTCTAAAATTGAAAATAGATTATGTTGAATTCCAGGAATGTAGAGCACATTATTGAGGAGCAATGTGCGCCCATTGCGCATCTGAAGTTGATATGAACCAACTCCCAAAGCTTATATACAGCTTCCATCGCCCATGAACTCACCAGAGGTGCCCTTTGAAATTCGACAATAATCCAAAAAACCTTCTTGATCTCAAGCAACTAAAACATGTTCACATACATATATGTGGGAAAGTTTAGTTAAGAAAGATACCTTCTTCGGCTCAGTACAATCACAAGAGAAGTGACCCTTCTTATCACAGTTATAGCATTTGACTTTGGACAAGTCTTTCTTCCCACCACGCTTGACCCTATGGCGCTTGGTTTTGTTGTCATCCTTTGGTGCAAGCTTGTTTGCCCTATCCTCCTTATCTATCTTTCCTTTTCCTTAACGCTTAGACCCTTTAGTCTTACACATGCCACCCTGGGCGAAAAGGGCAGTAGCATTGGTTGCCTCTTGGCGCTCCGATTCTAGCTCAACATGACGAGAAATATCATAAAAATTCTTGATATTCTCATCACGTGTCATGATTTGTTTCCCAGAGCTCCATGAATTTGGCAGGGTGTTTGGGGGTGGTCAAAATTCACCCAATTTGCCAAGGGAGAATCCTTAGCAGGCGAAGAATTCCTAGCGGGCGAGATTCCCTAGCGGCTGAATAATTCCTAGCGGGCCGAGAATTCCTAGCGGCCGAGAATTACTAGCGGCCAAGAATTCCTAGCGGTCGAGAATTCCTAACGGCCGAAGAATTCCTAGTGGCCGAAGTGCTTTCTCAAAAAGGTGGTTGAGGTCTTTTCTTCAAAGGCCATGGTGCCTTCTCAAAAATACAGCCGATGTGTTTTCTTCAAATGCCTTGGTGCCTTCTCAAAAATATGGTCGGGCGCTTCCCTTTACGAAAGTGGTAGGCCATATCCTTGCAAAACTTGCCGAGCATATCCTTACAAAAGTGGCCGAATGCTTCCTTCTCAAAAAGTTGGGCCGGGCACTCCTTGACTACCTTGGTTGGCCACTCCTCTTACAAAAAGCTGGGCTATGGTGAATTTTCTCCTTGTGCACCTTGGTGCCCTCCTCGCAAAACTTGGGCAAGCAAAGTTGGGCCGAGGGAGTTGAAGTTCAGTGGGAGGTATCTCCGCCAAGGGTTGAAGTTTTGGCGGGAGGTATGTCCCCCGAGTTTCCAATATTTGAATATTCGAGAACTCAAAGATAGTCCAACGTAGGGCCAAGTCCAACATCCAAATATTTGGAGTTCCCATACCACCCATCTTGGCGGATGGTCGACGGATGGTAAGCCAACTCTAGAATTCTAAAAACTCAAGGGGCACAAGGTTCCACCAAATGTCAAGATGAAATCTCGGAGGTCAAGGCCCAAGCAAAGGATTCACGCCCAAGATTTCTGGAGGTCAATATGCATGTGATAGAGGCCTCACAAGGAAACAAATCTCGAAGGTTGATGACGATTCGGAATTTTCCAAAACGAGAGAAAATCAAGCAACCATAATATCTCCGCCGACATGATCCACGGATTTTAGGGGCCTCAAAGGGAAAGATTTTTAAAAGGGTTGACATTTGGCCATTCAATGGGTAGCCCATGGGCTGACGAATGCCCCATATAAACCTCACCAGACAAAGATAGAAGACACACAACATCAGACAAACAAACTTATCTTTCGTCTCGCACTATTTCTTTTCCTAGACTTAGGATTGTACTTTTCAAGCAATTGGTGTAGTGAGTTCTTCATATTTCTAGTGTAAGTTTATATTTTCCTTGTCATTTAAATTCTTGTTCGATTTATATTTCTTGTCATTTCAATTCAAGTTTATTTCGATTCCATTACATTTCATTGTTATCGCACTTCGATTAAATTTACTTTCAAGTTTATTTCCTTTTATCATTTTTATCTCGTTCTTGCTTTATTTATCGCTTTGATTTACTCTATCGCACTTCAATTCTTGTCTTTACGTTTATACGCATATTTAATTTAATTGCATTATTTTTACATAAAACCCTAAAAATCACAAAAACATTCGTACGAAACCTAACCATTCTCGAGCCCGAGAAAGTGAAAGAATCTAGGCCAAGAGGAGGTTCCTTGCTTGGCCGATCAATCGTTTGGTCAGAAGTTAGAAGCGCAACACATCCATCTATTCATATTCCATTCAAGCCCAAATTCGGGGCTTGGTGGTGGCACGCCCCGCATCCAAAGAAAAAGGACCAAAAGTTCCTTCCGTTGGCCGCCCATACCGAAAAGAGGGAAACACAAGGATCTAATGACTGCCTGCACTTGCTACTCATCAGTGAGGGTATTTCCACACTACTACAAAAAAGGAAAAACACGACGGGAATTCACCGTCGTGTATTCAGTTTTCAAATGGTCGTGGAATCCACCGACATCTTTTCCATAACAAAACCACGACGGTAAATACCCGTTGTTGTCAAAACAAAAACGTCATCAACAAATAAAAACCGACGTCTTTGTACTGCAAAAAGACATAAAAAAAAACAGTTGAGGATGAGAATAGACGACCAACTCTAACAAAAAAACGTCGTTAAAAAGGAAACATATGACATATATTAACAGAACATGGCCGCAAGATACACATACAACGACGAGAACTAAAACTCAACACCGTTAAATAAACCTTTAACGAAAAATAGAAATATGACGTCTTTAAATACATAATAGACGATGTTATTGACACCTACTACGTCACTACATTTTCAACAACCGTCGTAAAATAAATTTTCCACTTCGATTTTTCTATGAATGATGACGTGGAAATAAATGTTAGGGTCATTACTTACGACGCATGTATGTACAGAGATGACGTTGAAATATATAAACAACGTCGGTTCCAAATAAATGAGAGCCGTATTATAGAATTTATACGTCATATTTTGAAATATAATCGTTGTGTATGACTCTGAAACGGCATCGTTTCTCATTCCACCGCCGTGTAAAATAATTTTAACGACATGGAAAAAATGTTGGGGTCATTAATTACGACACATTAATTTATAAAGATGACGGTGTCGTCTATATACAACGTCGTTACAATGAAAAAGACCGCCGTATTTCATAATTTATACGTCATCATTAACAAAATTAACGTCGTCTAATTCATATATCTTAACGTCGACAAATTTACCAATGGACTTCAAATACTGTCGTGAATTCATCCTTTTCCACTTCGTTTATGAAAGAACATGCGACGTGGTAAATTTATGACGACATCGTCTTTTGTAACGTTCAGGTTAGATATCTCGTCTTTTAGACGTCGGTATTATGGGATTGGAGTCGTGTTATTTTGAATTACATGGCGGTTTTTTATGCTTCTCCAACGTGTTATCCTGAATAACTGTTTCACAATAGCGTCGTGGTTCTTCATTGTTACGTTGCTTTAAGACGTCGGTAAATATATTGCGGTCGTTGAATTCTCCAAAACGTCGTTTTTTATTAGAATAGACGTTTGTTTTTCACATTTTTATCAAGACCGTCGTGTTTGTAATCTGGAACCAGTAATTTTTGTACTGATTGTTTTGTGGCCAAAACCTGTATAATGAAAGTGAAGAAATCACATTACAATATATTACAAAATTAATGTCATACACTGCCAATTACATAAAGCATCATTCAATCCATATATCTTTACACCCATCTCGAATATTTTGACTCCCTAACTCACACACCACTTCATCAAATGTGTCAACATTTGGCATCCCTCTAGTAAATGGCTCACACTCAATTCTCACATCACCTAAGACATCATCACCAATAACATCATTATATTCTCTATTAGGCATTGATAACACTACCGACCAACCACGATGCATCGGGTCGTCAACAAAAAATACTTGTTTGACTTGAGAAGCCAAAACAAATTGGTCATTCCTATGTCCAATTTTACTCAAATCTACAAGGGTAAATCCAAGTTCGTCCACTACAAGACCAGAAGTATTATCTATCCAATCACACCTAAAGACTGGGATTGTAAACTTTTGGTAGTCAAGGTCCCAAATTTCTTGAATGACACCATAGAAACCCATATTTGAGAGAATTGGGTTTTTATCCTTGGCACTAGCAACTTGCATGGTATGTGCAAGTAAATAAACTCCACTATTTTGAGTTGTCCGCACATCATCTTGTGCCTTGATGTTGAATTTAATACCTTTAATAAGATAGCTCCTATATAATGGCATTGCCATGTTTGGACCAGCTGCTAGCCACCTTAAATTTTCTGATACGCCATGATTGTCTTCCTCATTAAGTTCACTTTGAACCTGCAAATTAATCATAACTTAATTCAATCTAACATAGAAAGAAGAAAATTAAAAGTCCAATATGTTATTCAATAACATATACCTTGAAGCGTAGCCATTGAATGAAAGTGCTATTGTGCTTATCCTGCAGCCACTTTGTTCTCTTTCTAAATTTTGGATAAGCGGTTTTGATGTGGATCATATGTTGCCTACATGACACAAAAAATTCAAGCATTACGGTCCCAAACATATAAGATAAACATAAGAAATAATTTAAAATGGAAATTTAAAGAATAAAACTCATACGTACTCGATATAAGGTAGGACTTCCTCCGTATTCTCCAAGACATATAGATGTGCTTGGTTCAACAGGTCCCGATCAACTACGCTCATTGTGCAACCTGATAATGGCTTTGAAACTCCCATCTTTTGGCTTGAAGGCATTCCAACTGTACTAACATCAGATAAATGCTCGGTACAAAACTCTACAGCTTCTTCAGCTATATACCGCTCAGCAATACAACCTTCGGGACGAGTACGATTCTGAACATACCCCTTTAGCACTTTCATATATCTTTCAAACGGATACATCCATCTAAAATATACTGGCCCACATAGACGAACTTCTCTGACAAGATGTACTACTAAATGAACCATGATATCAAAGAATGAAGGGGGAAAGTACTTCTCAAGCAAACACAAAGTAACTACTACATCTTCTTCCAACTTATCTAGCTTGGAAACATCAACAGTCTTTGCACATATAGCATTGAAGAAGAAGCACAAACGAGTTATTGCATACCTTGCAGGCTTCTCCAAAACAGAACGAATTGCAACAGGGAGCAATTGTTGCATTAAGGTATGACAATCATGTGATTTAAGGCCAAGAAGTCTTGAATCTTGTAAAGATACAAGATTTTTTATATTTGAAGAATAACCTTCAGGGACCTTCATACCATAGAAAGAATTGCAACCTCTCTCTTCTCTGCTCTTGACAAATTCCAAGGCCCGGGATGCAAACGAGTATGTCTTTCTCCATACTCGGGTTGCAAATCAGTTTTGACCTCCACGTTCAGTAAATCTAATCGAGCAGCAATCCCATCTTTATTTTTTCCAAGGATCTCCAGCAATGTACCAATGATACTATCGCAAACATTCTTCTCAATGTAAATAACATCTAGGACATGCCTCACAGGAAGCTATTTCCAAAACTCGAGATCAAAGAATATTGATTTCTTCTTCCAACAAACTCTGTCACCATCTTCAACCATATACAGCACTTCTTCTCTGGTTAATGGCACGGGAGGCGTGCCATATTCAGGTTTCCCATTAAAAGTTGCACGTTGCCTCCTATATGGATGATTGATTGGTAACCATTTTCTACGCCCAATGTAAGAAATTTTGTGGCCATTTTTCAACCTGTGACTAGGTGTATCATCGCCGCATATTGGACAAGCTTTATATCCTTTAACAACACAACCAGATAAGTTTCCATAGGCGGGGAAATCATTAATTGTCCACATTAATGCAGCTCTGAGTGTAAAGTATTCTCCATTATGTGCATCATACACTCCTCCAATCTCATCCCACAAAGATTTTAAATCATCAATCAAAGACTCCAAGTAGATGTCTATATCATTTCCGGGCTGTTTAGGATCGGAAATCAATAAGGTCAACATCATGAACTTTCGTTTCATACACAGCCATGGAGGGAGATTATATGTAACTAAGATAACTGGCCAGCAACTATATCTGCTACTTAGAGAACTGTGGGGATTGAATCCATCAGATGAAAGAGCCAATCTCAAGTTGCTCGGCTCATTACCAAACTCAGGCCATTTATCATCAAGAAGTTTCCAAGACGGGGAATCCGCCGGATGAGACATCTGACCGTTAATTGATTTTCTAGCAGCATGCCAAGTCAAACTCTTAGCTGTCTCATGTGATCGAAACATCCTTTTAAACCTTGGAATTTGAGAAAAATACCACACCACCTTCGCTGGCACACCCTCTTTCAAGATTGAATCTTTGCCTTCCTTCCACCTTGAGATACCACAAGTAGGAAAATTAGTTGAATCCTCATACTCCTTCCTATACAAGATGCAATCATTGGGGCATGCATGCATTTTCTCATAACTCAACCCCAATGCACACAAAGTCTTTTTTGCCTCATACATAGAGGCCGGTATTGTATTTCCTTCTGGAAGCAAATCGCCTTGAAGTATCAATAATTCTGTAAAACAGACATCACTCATCCCATGTTTTGCCTTCAAATTATACAACTTCACTAATGCCGATAACTTCGTGTACTTTCTACAACCAGGGTACAATGGTTGATCTCCATCCCCAATCACATTGGCAAACTCATAAGGATCATATCCAAAATCACCAAAATCATTATCATCCATCTCTATTTCTTCAGACACAAAACTGTACCTACTATGGTCATCATCTTCTTCAACATTTCTACTAGCATTAGTAGTTGCTTCCCAAGGTTCTCCGTGAAATGTCCAATTCTTATAGCTTTGGTCAACTCCATTAAAGTATAAGTGATCCCTTATAATTCCAACCCCAAACAATTTCAAATTAACACATTTAACACATGGACAACGGATATGTGTTGTAGTTAGAAGATTTTCTACAGAAAAGTTCAAAAATGCTTCCACCCCAAACTCATATGCCTTCGATCTTCTATCCGAGTGCATCCATGACTTATCCATCTCCGACACTATACCCTATTATATATAATAAAGTGAAAAGACAAGCAATGACCATCACTATAGCAGATTATATAAAGTTCTAATAGCAAGTAATATACAACACAGACGACGGTTTTTAAACAAAAACAGACGTATTTGACATATATAGACGACGGATTTTCAACAAACGTCGTCTAATTATAACCACGAAGGTAGTTAAAGAACATTGTCATGTATAAGTAATACAAACGACGGTTTATGAAAAAACTGTCGTCGTATGCCTAAAAACGTGTCAATATCCCAGTTTATTTTCAAGATCCCAAAACCCTATTAAGAACACAACATATACATGAAACCAAGCATGAAACCAACATATACTAAGCATGAAAACAATAAATCCATTCCCAATTCAACATAACAGAGAGTGATTAAAAGATCCGAAAAAATTAAATCCATTCCCTATTCAACATAACATAGAGTGATCAAGAAAACATTAAACAGAAAATTCATGAACCCATTCCTCCAACAACATTATTAACAGATCGCAAAACATATATCTAAAACCCTTTAACAAAACAACCTAATATCATTCAATGAATTTACAAGGGGAACAGAAGGTTTGTACTTACAGGTTGGCAGAGCTCACAGATTATGGCCTACTTGGATTTGACAGAGCCTGGAGAGCCCAACTTTGAATTAGAGATGAAGTGAGAGAGCGAAATGTTATGTTGCGCGAAATCTGAAAATTTTAGGGTTCAGGGTTAGAAGTATAAAACTAAGAGCCAAATCTGAAAATTTTAGGTCGCGCGAATATTTTTAGAAAGCGCGCTCTTTAAAACATCGACAGAAAAAACAACCGTCGTTAAAAGTTCACTTTTAACATGACACTTATTACATTAAAGACGTCGTGGTAAAACTATGTACGACGCAAAATCAAACAGAAGTCGTCAAAACTATGAAAAACCATGGCGAAAGTTCTACCAAAACTAACGTAAATATAGTATTCCAGGACTCAAACACTGAACATAACGCCGTTTATTTTGAAGAAACCACGTCATTTATTGAACCAATAGGAGTTGACGTTGCATTTTTGGATTTATTTTAAATTTATTTTGAATATTTTGAATTAAAAATAATAAAATATTTATATCAACAACAAACCACGTCGGGGTTAATAAATTAACGACGTTGTAAATTATAATAAACGACTCACTTGTAAAAAGGACGTCGTTTAAAAAAGAAACCATGGCGGATGTTTCACCATCCGACGTAAACTCTATATTCCACGACTCAATCACAGTCGTTAAAAGTAATACCTAAACCCTAAACCCTAAATTATATATTTTTTAAATATAATTTTATAAAATTGTTTATGGTTTTACAGCCAAATATATAACAAACATAAACCCTAAACCCCAAAAATTATACTTTAACCCTAAACCCTAATAAATAACAACCCTAAAACCCAAACCCTAAACCCTAAACCATCAAATTATAAGTGATGTTATGACTCATCAAAACAATTTTATTTTGGGTGGTCATTTTAAACTTTTATTACTCAAACTGCATTTTTTTGAGGTTTAGGGGGAAGAAAATATATCAATGACTTCATAGGAGTTGACGTTGCATTTTTTTGATTTATTTTAAATTTATTTTGAATATTTTGAATTAAAAATAATAAAATATTCTTATATCAACAACAAACCACGTCGGGGTTAATTAATTAACGACGTTGTAAATAATAATAAACGACTCACTTGTAAAAAGGGCGTCGTTTAAAAGAGAAACCATGGCGAATGTTTCACCATCCGACGTAAACTCAATATTCCACGACTCAATCACCGTCGTTAAAAAGTAATAACCTAAACCCTAAACTTTAAATTATATATTTTTAAAATATAATTTTATAAAATTGTTTATGGTTTTACAGCCTAATATATAAAAAACATAAACCGTAAACCCCAAAAATTATCATTTAACCCTAAACCCTAATAAATAACAACCCTAAGCCCTCAACCCTAAACCCTAAACCTCAAACTATAAGTGATGTTATGACTCATCAAAACAATTTATTTTTGTTTGGTCATTTTAAAATTGTATTACTCAAACTGAATTTTTTTAAGGTTTAGGGGGAAGAAATATATCAATGACTTCATAGGAGTTGACGTTGCATTTTTTTTTATATCTATTTTAAATTTATTATGAATATTTTGAATGAAATAGAATAAAATATTCCTACAAACACAACAAACCACGTCCACTTTAAGAAAGTAACGACGTTGTAAATATAATAAACAACTTACTTGTTCAAAGGACGTCGTTTAAAAGCGAAACCATGGCGAAATTTTCACTAAAACGACGTCCCATGGACGTACAAACGGTATATCACGACTCAAAACAAAAAGGTGTCGCCGTGTAATTTAATTACCACGTCATATCTGTCGTCTAAATATCCTTTTACGTCGGTTTTTGACATAATTATGTCGTTGGAAAGTTATTACACGTCGGTTACGCAATTTGTTTTTTCTTTTAAATTATGAAAACCTCAACAAATTTTCAGGGAAAAAAAGGATGTATATTATAGACAAAATTTGTACATTATATAAAAATATCAAGTGTTCCAAAAATCTTCTACTCCATATAAAGGCAAACAACTCTGCCCATTCGACACTGCTGGGTTGCTTTGGTGTGCCTGGCAGAGTTTTCCAAATTGGTGTTTTACGGCCTGGTCTGCCTATGTGGGAATTATAAATTTTTAAAGCACTGTTCACGATGTTTTTGCCCTCCTCATCAACCACACGATTTCCAGGCAGAGGATCCAGAAAATAGACGGTTTCCCTCTTTGCTCTCACAATCAGCAAGACCCAATGACGGCTGCACAAAATTAACATAAAAACGACGGTTAATATAAAAAGTCAGCACAAGAAAACAAACGACGGTTATTTATAAAAAACGACGTATTATACAGTTTCACACGACGAAATAACGTAGCAATCGACGTCATTATAAATTTATCACGACGGTAATTAACTAACGACGTGGTTAGTTGTTTCAAACGACTCAATAAATAAAGAACCGACGTGGTTAGATGTTTCAAACGGCACAAAATTAGTTAAACAGTTTTATACGCAGTCAGTTAGTGAAAATCATACAAACAAAATCCTTTTAAGGAGACTAACCCTGGATTGTAAGGCATCATGAAAATCTGTTCACCATCTGTCTTCTGAAGTCGACTGGCTACAATTCGTGATCTGTCAGTTAGTGACCCAGCGTTGGCACTAACTTGAGCAGGTTGATAAAGCCAACCATGCTGCACATATTTGCTTCTCTCAAACAATCATATAAGCACCTAAATATATAAAACATAGATATATAAAAAAAGTCAGCACAAAAAACACACGACGGTTATTTATAAACAAACGACGTATTATACAATTTCACACGACGAACTGAAATAGAAACAGACGTTATAACTAATTTATCACGACGGTAAAAAAAGAACGACGTGGTTAGTGGTTTCAAACGACGCAATAAATAAACCACCGACGTCTTATGCTATAACGATGTCAAATTGTTTTTAAAAAAACAGAGAATTCAAAGTTCAGATATGTTACCGTTTCTTCCTGCTGTTCCCCATTTTGGCAGTATCATCCTCAAAATGTAGGGATCTCACATCAGCCCCAGAGCAGCTTGCTTTGTCAGACATTGGATTTTTGGGACTTTGGTTTTGACAGGGGCTAGTTTTCGGTTTAAGCATGCTTGGATCAAAATTGGGGATGAGTTGGGAAAGCTGACTCAGTAAATTTTCCCTCTCAGCCTCTACCAATTGCTTGGTTCTAGCCTCCATCCTTAAAGTCTCTTCCCTTGACCTAGCTTCCATCTTCTTAGTCTCTTCTTGAAGGACAATTCTGACACTTTCCTTTAAATGATCGGCAAACTTAATCCCTCTGTTGTTTGGGTAAATTGAAGTACTGCCTAGGGGAAATCCCAGCACCTACCCCTCTCACTCTCCCTGGATGCTCGGGACCCAAAGCCATGGTCAACACATCATTGCTGCCAGATACACTGAGACTGCCTTCCGAGACTCGTTTTTGCAATTCATCCTAAAACAAAGATATATAAAAAAGTAAGCACAAGAAAACACACGACGGTTATTTATAAACAAACGACGTATTATAAATTTCACACGACGCAATAACATAGAAGTCGACGTTATTATAATTTTATAACGACGGTAGTTACTAACGACGTGGTTATTTGTTTCAAACGACGCAATAAATAAACCACCGACGTCTTATGCTATAATTACAGAAAACAGAGCAGTGATTCCATATTCAGACCTTTAACGACGTTTTTTAAAACATTTCGACGTAGTAATATCATTCACACAACGCAAAAATTAACCACCGACGTCTTATGCTATAATTACAGAAAACAGAGTTGTGATTCCAGATTTAGACCTTTCACGATGTTTTTTAAAATATTTCGACGTAGTAATATCATTCACACGACACGAAAATATAACATAAGACGTAATAAGAATTATACACAGTTTAATAAAAATTTAAAACAGAGTGTGTAAGCTTACAATTAATTTTGCTTTCTCTGCCACCTTTGGATCCGGGATGTTACCATGTTTGTCCTGTCTAGCTTTCTTCCATAAGGTAGATCGATCAATTTCTACCCCAGGCATGGTTTCCTCCAATTGATCCTCCAAACCAGCATATCCTTTTCGAGACAATCGATGATTGTACTCAAGTTTCTCCCTAATCTGTGAATGTTGAGAATGCACAGACTCAAATTCTTTGGATAACCTTGAAGCTACAAAGGCATCCCATTCTGCTTTCTCTATGAATTTATATATTTCAGGGGGTTGGCTTAATTTCTCCCTCTCCTTGATGTATGGAAGGATATAATGCCTCGTTAGTGTAGACTTGAAATCCTTCCATTTCTTGGCAGCAGAAGATAACACCGTGTTCTTGTCCCCTTGACCTACCACAAAAGCCATGTCAACGGCTTCCCAAATCTGCTCCTTTATATCCTTGGGGATTTCAGCCCATTTCTTGTCCACAAGTGGGACTCTGGAGCGTGCCAACACACCAATGTAGGACTGCATCTCAGTATGTGCAGGGCCACATCCTTTCCCCCTTTTATTGTACTCAACAACTGGCTTTATTTTCTGAAATTTTCTCTTCACAACACGAGGCATTGTGCTCATACCTCAACCTAACTTTGAATCCTCAGAAATTGTTGTCGTGTTGGTTGGTTCTGTCTCAGCAGATGAAACAAACTTCATCTTCTTCAAGGGCTTGTCTTGAGGAGTTACCATTCCAAGCTCCTTACCTCCATTTTTTTTGGAGCCAGAGTCCTTACTTTGGTCTTGAGAAACCATGGTTACAGAAAAAACAAACCTGCAAGTGAAAATATTTCAGGAAAAATTAAGAACACAAACGACGGTTATTTATAAAACACGACGTATGATAAGATTTTACACAACGCAATAACATAACATTAGACGTAATAAATGTTTAAAACGAGAGTACTTAAACAACGACGAAACAATATAAAAGAAGACGTAATAAGAACTTATTACGGCGATATTTACACGACGTCGTGATATTTAAATTCACACGACGTGAATATTAATATAATGTCGTGGTATGGACATTCACACGACGTAAATAATAAGATACCGTCGTCTGAATAAGAATCCAAAAACCTTTTTCTTTCTCTGTGAATGTTTGATTGCAGGTTTAATTTCTCTGAAACATGGTTTTGTTTTTCCTAATTTGATAAAATACAAAGAAAAAGAAAGAAAGGTTTGGCATCTTATATAGACGACGGTATCTTAGTATAACGTCGTGGTATTAACATTCACACGGCGTCAATAATAAGATACCGTCGTCTATATAAGATACCAAACCCTACTTTCTTTGTCTTTGTATTTTATCAAATTAGGAAAAACGAAAACCATGGTTCAGAGAAATCAAACCTGGAATTAAACAAGCAAATAAAAAACAACGTCATTTTAAAAACAACTTAGATCAATTTTCAGACGACGCTAGGACGACTGACGAACCGTCGTGATCTACATATTTAACCACGTAAATAAGAAGCTACCGTCGTCTTATTTAGTTGAAGTAGTTGTGGTCAAAGTTGGAAACTTTCCCTCTTTGTCTGTGTATTTTATCAAACTTGGAAAGAACAAAAATGATTTTGGCCAGAAAAAAGGTAAAAAGATTTCCAAAACAAAAACCGTATGAGCATGCAAAATAGCAACAAAAATAGTGAGAAATGAAAGCTTACCTTTTGCGTGCAATGAAAGCTTTCTCTCGGAGTTTGGTGTTTAAGTTCAGAGACGACGACGAAGACGAGAGGAAGACGATGAGATACTCTGACAGTGCTCTGACAAGGAAAAAAGACGAAAAGTTTTCTCTAGGAGATTGAAATTTTTTCTCGGGTTTGGAAATAGTGCATGTGTAAGCCAGGTAGACGAAAAGTTGTATATATATACAAACCGTTTCATAAAAATAAGACGGCGGTTTACATAGAACGACGACGTATAAATAAACAAACTACGACGATAATTTGAACTTAGGACGTGGTAAATAAATACGACAATAGTGTTGTAGGTACCGTCGTAGTAAACTCCAAAATAAAAGTCGATAAATTAATATCTCGCGTCATGGTAGAAGTATTTAACACTTCGTTTTTTTGTAATGTACCGACGTTGATTTTTATAATATACGTCGTTTTTTTGTAATATACCGACGTGGAATTTATAATTAAACGGCGGTTTGTGTGTAAGGACCGCCGTGGGTTTTAAAAATTTATTGTATAAATTTGTCGCTTTCTTTCAGTTTCAGTTTTCATTTAGGTTTCCAAGTTCTTCCTCTCTCACAGACACTCTCTCTCACATCTCAAAGACAATAATTTTGATGTCTTTCTCAAAGAGAAATGGAGCTTACTCTCCAACAAATCTATGTCCACAAGAGGAAGCTTGTCAAGCCTGATAGGAGACTTAGTGCTTCTGAATACTCCTTGCTTTCCTTCAAAAGAGATGCAAGCCTGGCCTCCACTCGCTGTCGAAGGAAAGTTCGCTTCTTAAGGAAACATGAAGATCAGATGTGCTCCTCTGCTCGATTTTCTTGGCTAAGAAGATCCGTCAGATTTGTGATAGTCTGTTCCTTTATCCGTAGAGCTTCTGAAGAAGAAGATGGGTTTTCAAGAATGTGATAAAGAATAGAAATGGCTTTAGATGGCCTCTAAAGCCTGAGCAATTGAATTAGATGGCTTCAGCTGTCAATGCTTTGAACTATCCAAGTCCTGCAGAAAGAGAACGGTTAAAGAAATTGAAACAACGATGGTTTTCTGTTCTACCGTCGTCTTTTTTTAACTAAGACGACGCAATATTTTTTTCGCGACGTGGATTCGTTTTTAAAACGTTGTTAGGTGTAATATAACCGACGTGGATTTTATTTTTATAATTATAAATAGAATTTTTTTTCCCGAGGAAATTTAAAATGAAGGAAATTAATGTTCTAGAATTTGTAAAGTTTCTTTTTTGGGTGACTGATTTAAATCAAATACGAATATAAAAACAACGACTGTTTTTTGTTATACCGTCGTCTTTTTTTGTCGTCTTAAGTAAGACTAAGACGACGTAATGTATTTGTTCCCCGACGTGGATTATTTTTGTTAAACGTCGTTAGGTGTAATATAACCAATGTGGATTTGGTTTTTTAATTATAAATAGGGTTTTTTTTCATGGGTTCTTTTAGTTTTAGTATTCGATTAGGGTTTCAACTTCTTCTTGCCCCTTTCTCTGTCTCACCTCATCTCTTAGGAGGCAATTGTTTGAATGTTGGTGTGTGTGTATGTTTGTGTATCTGATTCACAAACATACACACATCACCAATTTTCAAAAAATTGTCTCTCTAATTGCAAATCTGTGGCTGCCGTCGGGAAATTTTAGGAGGCAATTGTTTGGATGTTGATGTGTGTGTGCGTTTGTGTAGATACACAAACGCACACATATCATCAACTTCCAAACAATTGTCTCTCTGATTGCAAATCCGAGGCTGCCGTCGTCAAATTTCAGAGGCAATTTTTTGGATGTTAATGTGTATGTGCGTTTGTGTATCTCAAAGACACAAATACACATACATCATTAACCTCTAAAATATTGTCTTTCTGGTAAGATTATGATGAGGAACAGAGTTCCATCTTGTAAGATTTCCTAACCCTTGTGATCTTAGAAAAATCTGATTATGTCAGCGGTTTTCTATATAAACCGTCGTAGTTATTTCAATTCTTGTCATTAAGTAGATCTACCGACGTAGGATAACAAAATCCAAGAAATAAATTGTTAAAAAAAATTCTTATTAAGACGATGGTTTAAATATAATGTATGACGTATAAAGTGAATAAATACGACGTTAAATTTTATAATACGTCGTTAAATGAAAACCCCAACGTGGTGAGATTTAAAGATACCGTCGTGGAACTATACGAGAAAGACGTTATATTTATCTTTGCCGTAGTTGTACATTAATTTAATACGGCGGTATTTTGTATTTTACCGCCGTGGATTTATTTGTAATTATACGGCGCCTTATACAAAAACTTTGTCGTGTTAATTTCTGGGTAAAAACGGCGGCTTTTTTGAAATCGTCGTCTTTACTTTCTACGTCGGTCGGTTCATAATTTCCACTGTTATTTGTTGGCTTTGATTTTACTACTCGGAAATCCTATTCAATAAGACGTCGGTTTTTTAATTAGGTACGTCGTGTTTTAGGAACAGCCATCTGAATCTCTATTTTTTAGGTATCTAAGGTGTTATTACACGGCGGTTTTATAGAACCGTCGTCTTTTAAAAAACAACGACGGTTTTCACTTAGACCATCGTTTTTTTATAGTCGTCTTTGTCACTTTTTGTAGTAGTGCCAGCAGCCTTTAAGTCACGTATCATGCCAAAAAGCACCCTTAAGTGCTCATGAATCGTGTGCTTAGGATTTTTGCAGTACACCTCAAACTTCAGGACTAAACTTCTAAGTCCTTTGGTGTACGTACCACCAAAATCAAACTTTAGTTGATCCCATAAAGCCTTGGCAGTCGGGTAGCTTTCATATCCCCAATAAGATCATTGTGCATGCTAATTAGCATAGTAAAGCGCGCATAACGATCCTTTTTGAATCAAGTGTGATAAGCTTCAAGATGACGGCGATGTTGGGCCGTTTGCCCAACCTCAGGTTCGACCATTGAATTGGTTAATGTTTCCAATAACTCCTGTTCATTCAAGAGATATTGAATTTTCCTATGCCAATATCATAGTTGGTACCCTCAAGTTTGTCTCCCTTATTTAGGTCAGTAACAACATTTTTGGTGGCCATTATCTATAAAACACTAGGATTGACTTTAGTATTAGCGTTTTGCACATTTCTACTTGTTTCAAAAATAAATTGAAAATAATTATCCTTCCTTACAAATTTGGACTAGAAAATTCGCTATGCTTGTAATCATCACCCAAAAAAGCAAGTCTAAATAAACATTTTCAATTATTTTAAACAAATTTCTACTTAGAAAACACAAAGTTTCCAACGAAACAAATGTTTGCGTAGTTACATAAAAGCGCATGGGCCTCACATAGATTTAAACTTGGGAGTCCGTTTAATAGGTTAACCAATGAAAGTCCACCGAAAAAAATGTGACTAGGTAAATTTCACGAGTAGTGGTGGTGATGAACTCGCCTAAATACCATTTCCTCTTAAACAGCACACCAAAGGTGTTTCCTTAAAAAACTTACCTAGACATCACACATTTTTGGGTACTCAATTCCACTAGCATGACCCATAAATTAACTCAAGCAATCTTAAGTCCATATTTGGCCTGCTAAATATGTACAACTTAATAACATATTTAGTTTCTGTACATGTCATTATTGTTACTACTTCATAAATAAATAATTTTCATTTATTCCAAGTGATACTTAGCCAAATGATTTTTTCAAAATAGAGGGGAGGAGTCCACGAATGGATTCCATTTGTCTAAGATGAAGCTCTACAAAGGGCACACGTGCTCTCACGCGCCTTCAAAGAGGACGTGTTCACAAAGAACACTGTTCATCTTGCTGAAATTTCCAGATTTTCATGATCATTTGGCCATCTTTGGAGATCTCTATCTCCTTCGTTATGCATCCAAATGACGCATATGATGTATCATTGGAAAGCTGATGCAATAGAGAATATGTTAATGCAAAGAAACGGCATAGAAAAGTAACTTAACAGCATGTAAACATGCTCTAAAAAACACGAAAACAAACTGTTTTTCATGCACTTGGGTTTCGAATTTCTCCTAAACTACTCATTTAATTTGTACGAAAAATTAAAGGTAAGTTCACATCACATAGAGGAACAGACTTCATGGAAAGAAAACATCAAAAAACAGGTTCATCCTTTCATGGTAGTTCTTGTGGAAGAAAAAAAATATATATATATATTCTCATGCATCATTCAACATGGCGAAAAACAAGCATACAAGCTCTGATACCATTGTAAATTACTGTTAATATATTCGGAATAAGGTAATGCATACCTTGCGGAAGATTCCAAGTGAAAAACAGCTTGCAATTACTAGCCCACCGAGATGCTTCCACGTCACGAGCACGCCAACAAGATTCTACGCGTTCTTCATCTCCAAGGTCGTTGGATTGGCTATGAAAGTTACTCTATTAATTCCACGTACCCAAGACCAAGGCTCTTAGTGAATTGCCTAAAAGAGAGAGTTTAGGGAGATATGAGGTTTTCTCTCTACGTGGGTGTAAAGCTCACTACAACTCTTTGATATGCGCACTTGCACTTCTTGTCTCACTCACACACCAACGTAGAGAGTACGCACTAATGCTTCTCATCCTATTTTCACTTGCACACACTCCATCTATTTATAGGAGTTGTTTTGGCTCATCTCAAGAGAGCATAAAACATGCATTAGTGCTTAGGTTGGTATAGTGCCTTAAAACATGGATTAGTGCCTTAATTAGTGTAGTGCCATAAAACAAGGATTAATGCCTAATTATAATTTTATTACAAGAATCAACAATACAAGGAAGGTAAATCAATATTAACACGTATATGAATATGGAAGGAGGATTCCTGTAATGGAGGAAGGGCCTAACGACCATGAGTTGATTGTGTTAGTTCTAGGGAGAAGAGGGGCTTAGGATAATAGCTTGATGATGAATAGAAAGATTTTGAAAGAGTAACAAGATAATTTTATTTATTGATTGAAATAAGAAGGGTACAAGGGCTTTAGAGTTGATTGGATACAAGAGGTGACTGATGTGAGTTTAGACAGCTGGTGGTTTTTCAACTTTCTTAACTTGAATACATTAGTGGGCTGTTATAGCTATATATAGAGTTGCTGAACCGACTATCTAAGTTGGCTTTTTGCTTAGTTAAGTCGGTTTGCACAGTAACCGACTTTGTCTAAGTAACTTCAGCCACTAGTTATAACATGAGCCTAGAATAGTCTAGTTACAATACATTATATAATTAATAAGATGTTTCTAGTGTAGAGCTCAAATTTGACTTGTCATCTTTTCTCAATTTTTCTAGACTTTTCTATATTATTCTAGTACAAGTGTGCATTATTTTTTAACAGATTGCTTGATTCTCCCCCTCAAACTGGACAGCAGGCGTTGAAGGACGAGTTTGTCATAGAGCTGGAGATGACAACTTTGTGAGGAGTTCAGCAACTTGATCAGTGGAGGGAACAAACTGAACACGAAGACTGCCAACTATGGTGGGTCTAGTTAAGGTGAGGCCTTGCAAGGAGCCAACTAGATGGAGCCAACTAGATGGTGGAATTCTGTTGGGTTGTTGAGAAGTGGACCATCATGTGCGGTGAGGTGGTGCTTGGCGGCAAGTGGAGTGGAGAAGGGCTTGCATTCAGTCATGGAGTTGCGGTGAAGAAGATCCAACGTGTATTTGAGAGATGTGGAGTCCTGAATCATGTGGAAGAACTTCAAGGCCAAGAAAGTAACGCATGGAGCCCAAGTCCTTGACATCAAAGGAAGAAATAAAATCAGCACGTGTGCCAGTAAGAATATTATCATCAACATATAATAATAAATAAATAGTATGAGGAGCGATAAATAAAGACAGCAGAATCCGTTTTTCTTTGAGTGTACCCAAATTATAGAAGAAAGATGCTGAAGCGACTAAACCATGCACGAAGGGCTTGTTTTAGTCCAGATAAGGCCTTTTGATGTTTGCAAATGATGTGAGGGTGTTGCGAATCAGTGAAGCAAAGTGGCTGAGACATAAAAAGGTCTTCTTGAAGAACACCATTTAAGAAAGCATTCTTTATGTACGTGTCCAGGAGTTGGTGATAGCAAGAAAGAGAATCACTACAAAAATTGAAATAGACAACGAGAATCCACCATCGTCTAAAAGGTTTTTAAATCATCGTGAAATCGACTGACATCTTTTGATACATAAAACAACGACGACAAATAACCGTCATCGTTAAGACCATTGGCAGAACCAGGAATTTTTCTAGAGATAGGCTAAATTTTATTTTCCTTGGCTTCTTCTATAATATAATATCACGCTTCAAATGGTCAAGATTTTTTTTTTTGTTGTAAGGGGGGAAAAGTCCGAAAACAGCTAGTTAAATTTTAGAAACACAAATAAATTATAGAAACTAAACTAGCTGGTTCATTCTTTTTCCAAACACTAACACAACCATAACCAAACCCCCCAATAAAACACAAATAAGTAAAGATAAAAAGGGAAGCCAATTAATTAGCAAACAAACAGACAATATAAAATTGAATGATTTGGTTGGAGGTATGGAGCAGATATTCCAGCTGGTGATGTTATCTTTGCCTTTTCTACGTTTCATAGACCTCTGGTTTTTTGGGTGAAACCATGAAAAATTTGTCAGTGTTGTTCCAGCCAAAATGACCACAAAGACACCACACTGAAAGAAGGAGGAAGAAGAAAACTGGCCGAAAGTAGAGCCGGTTCATTTATTTTTAGACATCAAATGAGAGGAAAAAGAAGAAAAATAAGGAGAGAGAAAAGAGAAGAAAGAAGAAAACTAGCGGAGAAGAAATAAAATAAAATAATAAAAAGTAAGAAGAATGAAGTGTTTGACAAAAAATAAAATAATAAGAAGCTTTTCGTGGGCTGAGGTGTGTGGGAGATTGTGGGCTAATATACCCAAAATGGGACATGAATTTATAAAAAAAACCCCACATAGAATACACTTTATAAACACACCCAAATTCATTTATTATATAACAAATTAGTGTTCAAGTTCCTATAAATTACAGGTCTGCCACTATCAAGCCCAATACCAAAACAAACTCAAAAGACACCCAAAACAAACCCAGCCCAAACTTATAAACAAGCCCAAACCGTAACTTTCGTCCAAAAAAAAAAGTAAACCGTAACTTCCAGCACGCGCGCCTTCATTAAACCTTCTCTGCAAAACGTCTCTTCACTTCACTCATCGTCTTCATCAAGTCAAATCGTCTTCATCAATTTGTCTTCATCGTCGTCCAAACCAAGACTCCATAACCACCACCAAGATTGATCTCGTTTCAAAAACAAACACCAGACACTGACCAAGACAAAATTTCAGAGAACCATTTCAACAAGAAAACGCTTCAAAGGCAACACATTTACAAACCAAACCTTTACTGTAATATTGATTATTTGCTATAAAGATCCAGTCTAGGGTAATAACAGTATTTTAGATTCAAATGAAAGACAAAATCTTGAAACTATATTGGATTTCATTATAGGACTGACTGCATAGGACCATTATTCTAGTCACTAATTTAGCCGCTAGTTTGCTTTCTTGTTGATTAATGGCTATAAAGTTCCAGTGTATGGTAATAACACTGATTGTTCCCTATGAAATACTATTTCTAAGGCATGTCTGCCACTGTAAAGTTCTAGTATAGGGTAATAACACTGCTAATTCCCTATGAAATCCTATTTCTAGTGCATGTCTACCACTGTCAAGTTCCAGTATGGGGTATTAACACCGATACTTTACTGTCGTGTTCCTATTTCTAATGCAGGTATACCAATTAAAAGATGAAGAAAGAAAGAGCCAGAAGAAACTCCAAAACAAAAGACCAACAATCATCATCCAAAACAACAACAAACAAGAAGCCAAGAAGATGGGAGGACCCAAATTATGTGCAGATCAAGAGCAACATGCTCTCTTTTGCAACAACAATTGACAACATCAGACAGAGACTTGAACGTCGGCACGATGTCTTAACATTGCTATCAAAGACACCTTTTTGGGCATTGATAGAAGCATATATCCAGAGAAGGTTAACAAAGGTAGAGTGCATGAAGTCTAACTACGACATTGTGAGACTCATACAAATTTATGACACAAAGACAAAGAAGTTCAAGTTTAATGATGGTGACAGTGAGATGAAAAACAAAGATGTGGCTGAAATTTTTGGCTTGCCAAACAGTGGCAAGAAGTTACCAAGCACAACAACCTCAACAAGGCCAAAATTGCAATTTGTAGAGAAATACTTCGCGCGGTATAAGAAGATAACAAAGACTTCAATTGATAAGTGCTTGAATTTAGCACTTGAAGATGAAACAGAAGAGGGTGCTATGGATGTAACAAGATTGATAATCCTACAACTCTTTATGACCAATCTCTTCTGCAACTCTGGTTGTACACTTGCTTGGACATATACAACCACAATAGACACCTTAGAAGAGATGGGGAAATATAATTGGGCTCGAGGAGTTTTGGACTACATGTATTTGGATTAAAACAAGCAAAGAAGAACAAGAAGGACAAAAAAAGCAGCCAAGCGTGAGTGGCTGCCTAATCCTAATACTGGTAAGAACACAAATCTCCAAACTGCAAATTCGTAGCATTATTCTAATGATATGAATTGGCACGTGATATTTCAAAAAAATATTGTGCAGTATTGGCTGTGTCAAAGATCTAACCTGCTCACTCCAATTCCTGGAAGAGAACAAATGACACCAGCTGCTGTCAAATGGAGTCTTCAAGAACTCAGAGCGAAGCTTCATCATCTAAAGAACAACCAGATAAAGGTACTCTTTCCTTTCAAATAATCTGCAGCTGATATGACAACATTGTTAATACCATGTCATATACATACTTGTTAATACCATGTCATAGAAGTAAACTATGAATACCATGTCACAGAGGTAAACTATGAATACCATTTCATTGAAGTACACTATTAAAACCATGTCATAGAATTACACTCTTAATACCATGTCATAGAAGTGCACTCTTAATACTAACTCTACTCAACAAACAGATAAAAAGCACTAAAGCTCAAGCGCCGGATGATGATTCTGAAGAAGAGAATGAAGAGAATGATGATGATTCTGAAGAAGAGAATGGAGAGGAGGATGATGTTGCTGAAGAAGTGAATGAAGAGCATAATGATGATGCTGCTGAAGAAGTGAGTGAAGACAAGGATGATGCTGCTGAAGAGGTGAATGAAGAGCATGGTGATGCTGCTAAAAAAGAAAATGAAGAGGAGGAGGATGCTGAAGTGAATGGAGACCATGATGATGCTGCTGAACATCAAGTCCAGCAACACCACCAGGTACAAGAAGACCTCCAAAATGAAATCCCAGAATACCGGAATTCAACGTTGTTTGAGGAAATTGTTAGATCAGTACCAGAATACAAGGAGGATGAAATACAGCTTACAAAAGAGTATATGATGGCGATCAATAATGCTGCTGAATATTGGACAAAGAAAGGAGAGCATCAAAAGATCCGTGATGCAATAGCATCTTGCATTAAAAAGAATAAATTGATTTAGATGCTGTACAATGAAAAAAAAGAATTATTGAAGCATCAGCAGCAACTGCGGAAGATGGTTAAGGAAGCAGCAGATCACAAGAAAGTCATACAATTAGATGTTCATCAGGAAAAATCCTACATGACAAAGCTGCAGCTAGAAAATGATCAACTTCTTGCAGAGAAGATTTCCTACTTGGACATTATTAATGAAAAGGAAGCTGTTATTGTCTCGTTGAGAGATCAAAAATTAGCGCAAGAACTGCAGAGTGAAGAGGATAAAGAAGAAAAGAAAAAAGGTGAAGCAGAAAAGATAAAATCAAGAAAACCAGATTCCTCATTCCCTAAAGCAGAGACGAGAGCACAAAAGAGAAAGGCACAAAAAAAAACCAGCCAAATCAAAGAAGAGGGCCAAAGGTTCATTCATGCAATGGAATACATATCAGGTCTACAACATACTGGATGAACTCTCACAAGAAAAGCTGAGAAATTACTGGAAAAATTCAGTTGATGGGTAAGGCAATGTGTTTCATTCATTTTCAATGCAAGATGCTATTATTGAACATGCATTAGAAAATATGATTTCAATGTGTTATTACCCTATACTTGAACTTTACAGGGGGTAGACATGCATTAGTTATAGGATTTCAGAGGAATCTAGCAATGTTATTACCCTATATTGGAACTTTGCAGTGATAGACATGCATTAGATATAGGATTTCATAGGATACAAGCAGTGTTATTACCCTATACTGGAACTTTACAATAGTAGACATGCGTTAGAAAAAGGTTTTTTAGGAAACAAGCAGTATTATTACCCTATACTGGAACTTTATTGAATAGTTCTTTCAATTTTATTGCCATTTTTTCTAACTATAAATACTGTTACAGCACTGCTTTTTGGCAAGAGACAAGCATTTTGTTCAAAGATGACATACAAAGCTTATTAAGAGATACTGAAATTTATGGACAAATCATAGATGCGTATGCCGAGATACTTCATCATGATGAAAGAAGGACCCTAAAAGACAACAGAATGCATACATCACGTGCTACGCATACGTAAGATCATAGCTATCCCATTACTTCTAGTAAAAATCACAAATTATTCATCTTCCTATACTTTTCACATTCTCTCTAATGCCGAAACTATTAATTTTGCAGAGGTATCTCACAGATAAAATGCACCCAAGAACATTCGATGAATATTTTGTCAAACTCCTTGAATGCATAAGGAAAACTTCAAAGGTGTTCATACCAATAACGGATGGCGGACACCACACCCTGCTTGTCTTTGACACCAATTCATTGCAATGGACGCACTACAACTCATTGAGGGGGGAAACTGAGCAAAACCGTTGAATACTACAACAAAAAAGCAATAATTTTGGTAAAACAGACTCCTACTATGAACTGTTAATACAAGGCATGAACAAAACAGTTAATCAGTGAAGCTAACAACATACTTGCCTACAATGCAAGCAGAGGCAACAAATGTCTTCTTCAATAGTGTCAAGGAATGTGCTCCAACAATTTTAGAAAAAAAACAGCTTCCCACTTCTTGAGTTCAAGAAGCCCGTCTACAATGAAGAATTGACCGACGAGATTGCAAAACTTCTTCGAAACCTAAAAGTTACACCAACAATTGCTCAAACAATACAATATCTGATGAAACATGATCCCACCAAATTCAACTTTAAGGAGGACAGGGAATGCGCCCAACAACCTGAAAAGTCGTAAGTTTCACAATAACACTTTTCTTCCCCCAATTCAAATTAAACTATGATTCACTAAATGTTGCATATATATATATGTGTGTGTGTGTGTGTGAATTTGCAGAAATGATTGTGGAGTATTTGTCATGTACTACATGCAGAAGTTGTCACAAGAAAAACAAATTGAAGAAAGCTTGAGTACAGAGCATGTGTGGGAAATGAGAAAAGAAGTTTTATTGAAGACAATGGAAAGTGAAAAAAGTTGGTATTTCACAAAAGAGAATGAAGGATAAAAGCATGGATTTCACAAATTTTAGAACTATAAAATAGTAAATGTTCGGCTTCTAACTTCCAAATGTTAAATTGTTAATATGTAGCTTCTAACCAAAATCTTTTGATGCTTCTTAACTTTCAAATGTCAAATAGTTACTGTGCAGTGAGATTCAAATGTAAAAAATTGTTACTCTGTAGCTTCTTCTATATTTCAAACTGCGCATTAACAGTGTTCAAAATGCGTATTAACAGTGACTTTCAAAAAGCCCAACCCAAGTTGAGAAAATCAAGGTCATAAACGAAATAAAGCCCAAAACAAATTAAGCAAGCCATATAAAAATACAGAAAAAATGCCCAGTCTAATTTGACAAAAAAAGAAAGCCCAAACAAACTAAAAAAAGAGCCCAGACAACTCAACAAGCCAATAAAGCCCAATTTCACTAAGCCCATTGAAAAAAAAGAAAATATCTCAATGCAGAGTACACGCACGCACCCAAAAAGCGAAAAACCCACTCACCTCTCCGATCTTTGTGACGCGACCCACTCCAAAAGCAGGCGAAAACCTCCATACCACCAGGCAGGAGACAACCTTCATAACCACCAATCAACGACAAACTCCATAACGAGAAAGCCGGCGAATCGAAGTTATATTCTACCATAGCCAAAAGTCTTCAAAATCGACACTACAAAAAGCAACTGAGCACAAAGACAACCAGGAAAAAAGGAAGAAAATTTCTTTCATAAATATCGACAGAAAGGTACAATCTCAAAAACCCACACTCACTTTCCACTTTCGTCTTAAGATTCTACTAACTAATGCAAGAGTACCACGTTTAATACAAGTAACCAACGAAAAGGTCCAACAATGACATAAACAAACAGTCAAGATTCTTCACAAATGGCTGAAAAAGCATCACTATCAGACTCTCAGGTATTATAAAATCTCTTAACTTTAAAGTCCAATAGCAATGTTTTGAAAAGACGCATGTTTTGACTGCAAATGTATATGTTTCACAACTGTTCATACTATGTCATAGAACTTCAACTGTTAATACCATGTCACAACTGTTAATACCATGCATCTTACTCTTCTAGTGCACTGCTCTTGAAAACCCAAATATATAGCATCCTTTGTTAATCAAAATCTGTGACTGCTATGCATCTTTCTCTTCTAGTGCACTGCTTTGCAGTGCACTTGAAGACCAAAATATGTAGCTTCCTTTGTTAATCAAAATCTGGGACTTCTATGCATCTTGCTCTTCTAGTGCAACATGCACTAGAAATGTATAGGAAAAAAAATCGTAGTGCACTAGAAAAGAGAAGCATGAGGTTCAAATGCATAGAAGTAAATGGTTAATACCATGTAATAGAAGTATTAATACTTATGTTTCATCTTTCTTTTGTTTAGTTAAAGTAACCTATTTGTTTCACTTTGCAGGTGGTCATATGGAAAGAGGTAACCGGGTTGAAATTTAAAAATAAAAAAAAAGCATACAAAAGGATCACAAGCCAGCAAAAGCACAAAACAGCATCAAGAAACACACAAGGCACACCACCAACAACAGCAAAAGCCAAACTATCAACAACCAAATCCGCAAACACACTGAAACCAAAGAAAACAACGAAGACAAAAAAAAACACAATCCCAAACACAAAAACCTCAACAAAACAGACGCAATAACCCAGATTATGTGCAGATCAAGAGCAACATGCTCACATTTGACAACACATTTCAAACGGTAAAAGACAAGCTTGCAGCAAGAAAGGATGTCCTCAAGATCTTACAAAAAACGTCATTCTGGAGAATCATCAAGGCTTACATGGAAGGTCAGTTAACCAAGGTAGAATGCCAGAAGTCTAATTATCAAATAATTAAACTAATCAGACTCTACAACCCCGCAACCAAAAAATTTAAATTCAGTGAAGGCAACGAGCATGAAATTACAAGCAATGATATGTTGGACATCTTTGGATTGCCAAACAAAGGAAACAAGTTGCCAAGCACAACAACTTCCACAATAACAAATTTGGCCTTCGAGAAGTAAAAAAAATTACAAAAACTGAGATTGATAGGTGTCTGAACACAGCAATAGCAGATGACAGAAAGAAGAATGCAATGGATGTTGTCAGGTTGTTAATCCTAGAGCTCTTCATCACAAATCTCTTTTGCAACTCTGGGGGCGACAATGGCTTGGACCTTTTCTACTATGATCGACACATTAGAAGTTATGAACAGCTACAATGGGCACAAGGAGTCTTAGATTACATGCATTATGGACTGGATCAAGTCATAAAAAATAAAAGGACAAGACAAATCAACCAAGTGTCAGTGGTTGCCTTGTGCTAATCCTGGTAAGAAACTACATCTATTTGTTAATCCTGTTATATTATTTGTTTTCATGTGCATTAACACTTTATATTGAAAACCATGTTTGCAATATTGGCTGTGTGAAAGAACTAACCTAATCAGTCCAATTCCTGGAAGAGAAGATCACAAACCAGCGGCTGTCAAATGGAGCCTTCCGGAGCTCAATATCAAGCTGAATATTGCAAACATATGAAAACATTAAGTCATTTTCTTACTTCCATAAACATATATAATGTTAGTACACCATAATTACTACTGACTCCAATAATTCAACAGATAAAAGCTGCTGACAATGAAAAAGAAGAAAGAAGCAACAAAGACTGATCATGCAGACCATGAAGAACAAGAAGAAAATGAAAAGGATGATGACTTTGTTATCACACTTAAAGATGGGGTAAGATAACATACAATGATCCAACATTTATATTTCAAAACTGAATTGATAGTGTACAAAACACATATACATGTATATAAATTTGCAAATACTTTTTTTTTCCTTTCCAATATTTGTGACAGTTAAAGAGTCAAACACAAAAAGGAAAAAAGCAAAACTGTTATTACCCAGAAACAGAACTTCAGCTTCCATGAAAATGTGAACCAAAGTGCAACCCAGACAAAAACTCCACAACATGAGCAAAATGAAGACAATGCATAATCATTGGGATGCAAAGCAGATGATGAAATTGAAGAACCACCAGCACAATCATTGGAATGCGAAGCAGATGATGAAATTGAAGAACAAGCAGTTGACCTTAGTGCAGAATCAATGACGGAGGGAGGACACTGTTAATGTCCAACAACATAACCCAGAACTTGACAGCTATGAAGAAGACTTCGACGCCATTTTTGTGGACATAGTGGGGTCAATCCCAGAGTACTACAAGCATGAAATAGCCTCTACCCATGAGAAACTCCAACAGCTGAAAGAAGCAGTCGACTATTGGATTGAAAAGGCAGATACTCGAAGGGATATGATATAGACTGCTATAGAATCCTGCATAAAGAAAAATTCATTCATTCAACAAATATGAACTGAAAAAGAAGAGTTGGAGCAACAAATTGAAATACTGAAAAAGCAGCTTGAGCAAGAGAAAAAAGAAGGTGCAAAATTACAAGGGGAACTTCATGCACTCAAATCAAATAGGAGACAGCTACAGGAACAACATGAACTACTTGAAGGGGAAAAGTTGTCCTGCATTGAGAGCATGAAAGAAAAAGACACTGTTATTGTCTCTTTGCAACATGTGATGGAAAAAAAAATTCAAACAAGGTGAACACGATGAAAGAACAAGCTAATAAGGAGAAAAAAAGATGAGAGAATAGCAGAAGAAAGTGAATTGGAGTTGCAAGAATCTCCTAATGATGAAGATGAGAACGCCGATGAAAAAACTCCTGAAAATAATCAAAGACAGAAAGCCTGCAAAGAAACCAGATTACAGATACCCCGAAGCACATAAGAAAGGCCGAAAAAAAAGCAAGCCAAAGCGAAGATGAAGTCTACAACAGGCTGGATGAAATATCAAAGAGGAAGTTGGAAAAGTACTGGAAATCTGCATCTGATTCTGATGAGTAAGTCAATCTGTCACAAAATTACATTGTTAATACTATGCCGTAGAACTGTCATAGAATTACACTGTTAATACTATGTCATAGAACTGCCTTGTTATTAAACTGTTATGAGATTATCATTTTAAAACAACATTATTGTCGCATGGATGCTTTTACCTACACAATAGGACAATATTGTACAAACATAACATTGAAAAGCTGATGGGAGATGGTTCAATTTCTGCACTAATCATCGATGCTATGGAGAGGCACTTAATGATGATGCGAAGCAGAACCCTCAGAAACAGAAAAATGCATATTTGTCCGCCAATAACTATGTAAGATCACATCTAATACATCAATTTTATATCATCAACATGCTCACTAATCACCAACACATGACTTTTGCAGATGTTTTTGCGAGGTGCCTCACACAAGCTGACATATCATGCTTTTATATGCCACTCCTAGAAAATATTGGAAGAGTTGATAGAGTGTTCATACCAATTACAGATGAGAACCACCATACGCTGCTTGTCTTTGACACCGGTGTAGCTAAATGGACACACTTCAACTCATTCAGGGGGAACATCATAACAAACTCTCCAATATTATCACAAAAAGACAATGTTTTGGTAAGTAAGACTGGTTATTAACAATGTTAATACATAGGACACTAAATTTAAAGGAAACTAAGCACATACTTGACTATGATGCAGGTTGAGACAGCAAATATATTCCTCTGTCTTCTTAAGGAAGTGCTGCAGTATCACTGAAAACAAAACTCGTCCAAATTCCTGATTTTGATGCCAAGAAGTCGAGAGGGCTTAATGAAGCTTCAGCTAGAATGATAGCAAAAATATTGCCAGCAACGAACTTACACCAGAATATGCTCAGACAATGAATTATCTGATTTGTCATGATACTACTAACTTCAAGCTGACTGAGAACAGAGAATGTCCCCAATAAGCAAACAATTCGTAAGTTATGCAATAACAGTGAAACTTTCATCATATTCAACTAAAAAAATACTGAAATAAGTCCTGCTTGCATATCTCTATTATGCAGCAATGATTGTGGCGTCTTTGTCATGCACTTCATGAAACAGCTTTCCAAAGACCAACAAATAGAATCAGATTTCAACAAAGAAAAGGTCTGGCAAATGAGAAAAGAAGTCCTCATGAAAATTATGAGCAATGAAAGAAGTTGGATTTCCATCAAAGAAAGAGAAGAGAGAAATGCAAAAGAATGAAGTTGTAATCAAATATTTGCCAAAATTCTTGTTTATTGTAGTTTCTTAAGACTTGTGTAGGTTTAGAACATGGAAGTAAAGTGATTTTCAAATTCAAGTTATGTACTTATTCAAAAACCAGTTTATTTACGTGAAATTAATAGTGTATGTAACTTGAAGTAATGGTCTCCATAGCACTAAAACAACTAAAAAGGTGAACTACAACAAATAACAACGCACTCTCAATACAATGTTAATGCTATTTGATATAAATAAATTGTTAATACCATGTCATAGAACTATCTTTTAATTCAACAATGGCATGAACAGTGAGCATTAAATAGTGTTCGTTCATTTAGAGATTATTCAAACAGCAGTAATGCTTAATTCATATCAAACTTCAAAACCGAAATTTGCAAAATACCAAAAATGGTAAATATTATGTATTAATACCAAAAATTCAAAGTGTATTCATATGCAGTGATGCTATTTCACCGTATTAACAACTTGCATATCAATTTCTATTCCTTTCAATTATGATTGTCATTAATCAATCACATAACACTTTAACTAGTTAAAAACTAACTACTCTCATTCAAATCTTTATACTCCAGAACCTTTACATCAAATAGGAACTTTGCAAGTCCTCCTATTATGAAGATCACAAGAACCGCATCTCTTGCACTTCACCTGCCTTTTAGTTTCACTGCTTGACTTGAAGCGCTTTGTCGGAGGTCGTCCCGGAGGCTTTCTTGTATGAGGAGGTAGAAGAAAAACATCGCAAGGATGAGGCTTCTCAATATCAGGGTATGGGAAATATAGGGGTTGCATAAGTAGCCCTATAAAAGTCTGCCTTGTAATACTCATCCACAAAGTTGTACAAACATAACCCGGAATGTTGGATAACTTGAATCGCATGCTGACACAGAAACCCAAGCAATTGCCACTGATAACAGGAGCAAAACCTCTTGTCCAAATTGACCATAACACTCAAATCAGCATGAACTTCAAAAATAGATTCACTCGCGCGACATATCCTCCAATGACGACCCTTTGCAGCTAAATTCTTCAACTCATCCTCAATAACAGGACACAAAAACACTACTCCATTTCTCGTATGCAAGCTTCCTCCTAGAAATCATCTCCATCATTTTGATCCTAACAGTGTCAATCATCTCATAAATTGGAAGCCTACGCACATCCTTAACCCATGAATAAACGACTCGGACAAGGCAATTACTAACCTCCCCATACCTCTTTCCGGAAAAAAGCAATAGCAAAATTTTGGACACGGGAGATCAGCCAAAAACTTATCAATTATTTTTGAAAACGCCATCATCTCTTAATTTTTTCAAACGTATCTTGATATTCCTCAACAGTCGGTGCATACAACAAACTTACAAAAAAGCCATAAATATGATCCTTGAAAGAGGAACCAACAACATGCGGATACTTCTTTTTCAAGTTCTCTTTTAAATGATATAGACAAAAAACCATGGGGAGAAGCAGGAAAAACAGTCCTAACAGCATCGATAATAGCACCATGCCTATCAGAAATGAATGTAAGTTGCCTACCTTCATCCACCAAGACTTCAGATATCCTTTGCAGAAACCACTCCAATTGTCCACAGTTTCACCGGGATACAATCGCAAGGCAAAAGGGAATACTTTCTACCAGAAACAGAGAACTATATTAGTTAGTTTGAACTCTACAGGGTTACCACATGAAGCAAGTAAAACTACATGCATAAAAATACTCGATGCAGGGTATGAACAGTATAGAAACTGTCATACCACTCAATGGAGTCAACAACTACAGCATTACATTTGCATAACTCCACTGTTCATACCACTCAATGGAAGTCAACAACTACAACATTACATTTGCATAACTATAGTTCATACCACTCAATGGAAGTCAACAAACTACAACATTTACCTTATATACCTTCATTTCATTCTTTGCAGTAGCTCCTAGAAGAGTACCCTTGTACTTGTTTGTGACGAAAGTACCATCAATGAACAGCATAGGCCTACACCACCGAAAACCATCAATGGAGGCCTTAAAACATATAAAGATCCACTGGAAACGAGAATCATCCTCACCACAGTCAAGCACACAATGAGATCCGACATTACTGGCCTTCAAACATTGACATACCAAGGCAGGTGAGCATAGACACTCCTCATCACCATGCAAATCCTTAGTAACCGACTCCTTCCCATACCACGCAACATGATAAGGGATATCCAATCTATAATTCTCCTTCAAATCAGTAATCAGCTCAATAGGCCTTACCAAAGGATTGCTACGAACCTTATCTTTGACAATTGAAGACACCAAACAAGACCCCATTGCGTTATTTCTCTTCTCACGAATCAAACCACTGCAACTGTGTGCATTATTTAAGTTCTTAATATAAAAAAAATCCATTTACATTCGATTAACAGCATGCACATGCCACTCACAGCCATTTGATTCCTTCTTAGAACACACAGCAGTAACACGACGAGGCTCATTTTTCAAATATTTCATCTTAAAACCATTCTCAATCGAGTACTTAGCCCAACTTATCACGGATAACAAACTCCACCCTCAAACTTCTAACCCATGAGTAATCTAACCCTCCCAATCAGTAGACAAATACTTACGACCTCCACAACTACCATATTTGCCTAAATATTCATTCCATACTCACTGCTAACACCATCAAAATCCATACTCAAACAAGAAGAAGAAGCTGCACTTGAATCAAACAATACTACCAGTTTGACTTGAATATTTACATGTATCCTCATCTTGTGCAAAACTGTCATTATTAGGAACAGCCTCCAACAAAAAAGGAGAAGCAATTATGTTCGTATTAACAGTTTGAACATAATTCACTACAGCCTTATCCCTAACATTAATGTGAATTAATTGATCCTTCGTTAGTCCACATACCATAAACATGATTTTCAAATCATCATCCAATTCCACTAAACAATTGGAGCAATCCGTAAAAGAGTACCTCAACTCAAAATGACCTAACTTCAGCTTGAACTACTACAAAACTTGTTGGACAACCAATCAAAAGTAGTAGTTGAAGACAAAATAAGCATTAAGTTCCAGCACCATAGGTACACTTTGCCACTCTCGAATCATCCATATCTATAAAAAAAAAAAAAACAAACAAAACAAAATGACTACTAGCAATAACAGTGGATGCTGAGTATTAACAGTGAATTATAGTCGACTCAAAAACCAATAGTGCATAAACAGAAAAAACACGAATATACTCAGATTCAATTGAAAAAAACCTAATTAATCGAACATGAAATCACCAAAAATCATACTACATATAATCGAATCCTCAAAAAACGAATATGAATTCACAAGAAAAAATCGAATACCTCAAAATCGAAGATCACATATCGCACCAAGCTCCAATCGAGTCTCTTGCAGCGCAATATCAATCCAAAAATTACCAAATCAAACAACAAAGAACAAAAAATTGAAGCAATAGAACTCCAATCTACACCATACTGAGCTCAGAAGAATCCAAAAAGAAGATCTGAAATCACATCATACTGAGTTTCGTTCGAAGAGTGTGAACGAAGTTCTCTTCGTTCGAAGAACTGAACGAAGCTCGTTTGGAATATTCGATCTGCTGAGGGCTGCAAAACAGGTTTCTGTTATGAGGTCACCAACGTAAATTTTCAGAAATTTCCTATCCTAGCTGGCGAATTTTGGGCCTGTTTCAAAGAATTCAGACCAAAAGGTCAAAACCGTAATTCTAAAAAAAAAAAAAAAAAAAAAAAAAAAAAAAAAAAAAAAAAAAAAAAAAAAAAAAAAAAAAAAAAAAAAAAAAAAAAAAAAAAAAAAAAAAAAAAAAAAAAAAAAAAAAAAAAAAAAAAAAAAAAAAAAAAAAAAAAAAAAAAAAAAAAAAAAAAAAAAAAAAAAAAAAAAAAAAAAAAAAAAAAAAAAAAAAAAAAAAAAAAAAAAAAAAAAAAAAAAAAAAAAAAAAAAAAAAAAAAAAAAAAAAAAAAAAAAAAAAAAAAAAAAAAAAAAAAAAAAAAAAAAAAAAAAAAAAAAAAAAAAAAAAAAAAAAAAAAAAAAAAAAAAAAAAAAAAAAAAAAAAAAAAAAAAAAAAAAAAAAAAAAAAAAAAAAAAAAAAAAAAAAAAAAAAACTAATTTTTGTATATATTTTATTCATACATTCACGACTAAATGAAAATTTAGCACTGGGCTAAAGCACATATGAGCCCCTTCCTAGTTTTTGCTTGTGGTTAAGACATACGTCATACTAAAATACAATCCGACATCTAATTATTATATAAACAGCAAAAAAGGAAAACATTCGACAACATTAGATGATGGTTTTAGGAAGAGGCCTGTTTAATTTAGATGTGTTACAAATATCAAGAACTCATACCTGCCGACGTAAAAAAAGTTACCCCCGTCTCTATTTGAAGAGTATATACCGTCGTAATTACGTAAAATAATAATTTACTAAAATAAAAAACAACTGATCTATAAAAAATCAACACAAAAAAGCACAAAAAAAAAAAAAAAAAAAAAAAAAAAAAAACATATTCGACATCTTAGACGACACTTATAGAAAAGAACAGACATCTAAAGGATATTATATGTCAAGAATCATATCGTAACCGATGTAAAATGTGCTAACCACGTCACAGGTGTAGAATGACAGACGCTTATAACATCTTCCCCGTCGCCACCTAGGAAAACACCACCTTGTTAAAGTTATTCCACAGTTGATTCTTACGAGAACCGACATTTAAATGATAAAAAAAGGTCACTTGGACAACGTTAGGTGACACTTTTTTAAAACACTGACGTCTGAATATTTTAACATGGCACAATTTTATTACACACTGACGTAATAATTCATAACCACAACCCAAGTGTTTATCCACAGTCGTTAAAAATGATTTTGACGGCATGAACAGGAAATAAAACAATGTGGATCGAAGTTTGAATGGCCGATTAATGTAAATTAACGGTCAAGGTTAATCTCCTCACTACGTCCCTAGAATACAATTTGTCGACATTGTTATGTCACTTACCATGTCAGTATGTATATAGGATTGGACTTGGTTGGCCTTTTAAAAGAGGCTTTTATACCCGTCATTGACTTGTTTATTCTCTAAGACGTCAATTGTTACGACGTTCAGAAAAGCTGTCACGATAATTAATATAACTGAGTTGCCTTTATTACGATCTTTAGACGATGTCAACTATATATCCGTAGAAGTAGTGTTTTCCTTTGTTGGAGCACTAATCCGTCGTTTTATTTTTAAATCTATGACGTGCATAATTCTCATGACCATTGTTGTTGTTAATATCTATTAGCCCTCATGTAATTTAATTTTAACTAACCGACATGTTTTCTTTTTCAAATGGCAGTTTTTGTTCCTTTACCGTCTTTTGCATTGTCATTCCACGTCGTTTGTAAAAAGCTGACATTGTTTATGTTTTAGACGTCTGTTTTTGTAATTTTTCAACTAAACCGTCGTATTTTACACCCTTAACCCAATATTTTTAATGTTGGATTTTTTATGTCCAAAAGCCTGCATAATGAAAATGTGATCAAAATAATGTCAAACATTGAAATTTATTGCAAAATTAATGTCATACAGAGCTATTACAATTAACTGCATAACTAATGTCATACATTACAACAATCAATCAATCCATATATCTTCATACTCATCTCTAATATTTTCACTTCTAAACTCACCCACTAGGTCACCAAATGTGTCAACATTGGGTATCCCTCTAGTAAATTGCTCACACTCAATTCTAATATCTCATAGCATATCATCACTAATAATATCATTATATTCTCTATTAGGCATTGATAACACTACCGACCAACCACAATGCATTGGGTCGTCAACAAAAATACTTGTTTGACTTGAGACTTCATAATAAATTAGTCATTCCTATGTACAATTTTACTCATATCTACACGGGTAAATCCAAGTTCATCAACTAAAAGGCTCCAAGTGTTATCTATCCAATCACACCTGAAGACTGGGATTCTAAACTTTTGGTAGTCAAGGTCCCAAATTTCTTGAATGACACCATAGAAACCCATATTTGAGAGAATTTGGTTTTTATCCTTGGCACTACCAACTTTGATCTCAACTTGCTCGATAAAGCTCCAATTACTCCAATTCCTTTATTGCCTCAAGAGCAAAGCCCAAAAAATTCAATATCTGACAAAGCAAGCTGCTCTAATGTGAGAGCCCATGTTTTGGAGGAAGAAAATCCCACGACCGATGCTGATGCTGCTGAAAAACGGCAAGATGAAACGGGAAAATCTCTTACATTTGATTTTTTCTGATTTTTAAATTTTCAATAGACGTTGCTTTTAACCGTCGTCTAAGTATTTTACTACGTCAGTTTTTCGTTTATAAACCGTTGTCTATTTCATTAGATGACCTTTCTATTGTGTAGTGACGTTAGAACAGTTTAATTAGACAACCTTTCTATGTTATGGTGACGTTAGAACATTTACACAACGACGGTTATGTATGTACCGTCGCCTATAACTTTTACTCCGTCAGTATGTTTTAGAAATCGTCGTTTATATTATATACCATGTCAGTTTTGTTGGTTTGTTAGAGTCGTTTATTTCACATGTACAAACTAACTTATATTTCTTTATTTATTTCTTGTAACAAGATCTCTCAAAGCTAGACATGCCACCTCCTCTATTAGTCCTTTGCCAATTTGTCTAGACCAAGTTGAAGCCTACTAACGTGACCTTGAGAGTTCACATTCTAGAGGAAGTATTTGGCACTGACCATGATACCTTCCTCTTGTGTGAAGATATTTTACAATTTGCTTCCATGATTGAGATTAGATCCACAGTGATTGCAGTATACATGAGGTAATTCTAGAATTTTTTTAATTTTTTTTAATTTTTTATTTATTTACATTTCCCTTTCTTTAATTAAAATTTCATTTAATTGAATTTCATATATTTAGGTACCTATTTGACTATTTAAAAATGGTAAACCTTGTTGGCCTCGTTGATCCTGGACAAGTCAGCTCTCAATCTGGAACATTATCTTACTGTTCAAAACATCTCTCATACCTCCTGGAACAAGTAGATAGGGATTAATTTTACTTGGTGTCTTATAATCCAAGGTTAGTCCCCTTAACTATTTAACCTATTTTCCTTGTAATATTTTCTTTGTAGTATTTAATCTATATGGATCATTATGTGTAGGGGTCATTGGGTGTTAATAATTGTGAGACCAGCTAAGGAGATTGTCTATTACATTGATTCATTGCCAAACCGCTCTGTTGATGAGGAGATGAGAAATATAGTGAATACGTAAGTTTATTTACTATAATCTCATATGTTTTTTATTTGTGCATTTGAATTATACAACGGTTTTTTATAATACCAACGTTATAATGAAAACACAACGACGGTAATTTCTTACTGACGTTTGAAATCATTTACTACGTCAGTATTTTCTGTAAAACCATCATCTCAATTGAAATACCACGTCGTTTGTGTTTATCATTTAAGGACGTTTTAATTTTTTCCATTCAACTTTCATTTACAAACAACTTTTGGTTATACGACATTTTTCTTTGTTACCACCCACTATGCCAAAAAGAGGCTTTAGCAACGAATAAAATCCATTGCCTATTACCATGTAATAGGCAATGGATATTCTCCGTCGCTGTTTGTCACTTACTACATCGGATATTTGGTAAACTTCGATGCGTAAATGATTTCCGAGTGCCAAAAAAAGGTTGACTTCTAATGCCTAAACCCAAAATAGCATCAATAGTTTCAAAAGGGATGAGGCTAAAGAGGTCTAACAACATCAATGACATCTACTATGTTGATGCGTATTATCAATTACAACATCGTAGAAACAAATAATGGTGTTGTGAATTATGTTATACATAATCGCTTTTTTATTTTGCAGACATGAAAAGCCTCCAATAGCGCTTGTGGTTACATAAATGCTGATGCTATTTCTTGTTTTAAGCATTAGTGATAATAGATGTCTGGTTGTTTTTATCTTTCAACTTCAATTATTTCTGAAAAACTGAAATTGTTATAAACAATAGGCATCACTTATGTAAGGAAAGGGTAGGTATTTTGCTTGTTTCACATCACACTTTAATTAGTTACTGTGTTAGTATTTAAGAAATGCCTCATTTCCAAATCATGTTGTTGTCATTGCTCATAAACAAAAACATTATATAAACAGTAATTTAAATATATCCATACTTGTCTATATATAAGCAAAACACTTGAATGATCCCTACTTGTCACATCCAAATCACAATTTTACCAGCCTCGCACCACAAATTATCCATGTTTGTCTATGCATAAGCAAAATACTAGCTAGAAAAACATGTAAAATGAAGGAATGTTTAGCTCAATCAAAAAGCCATTCTAGGACATGAGTTGCCAATTCTTCTCACACCTCATCCAATTCCATTTGGGTGTACGTGTCCTTCCTTTTAGCTCTATACTGGGAAAAAAAAACACAGAATGTAAACACAAAATATGAACATAAGCTTAAAAAGTGCAAGGTACTAAATTTCCATAAAATATGTTGTCACTTCAAATGAACCAATATGCAAATTTATGAAATCATATTGGTGAACAAGAAAATCTAATTTGTCAATCAATCTAATTAGATAACAAGAAGTCATTAATTGGATCCCACTTCATGTTTAAACTAGCAATTAAATGATCATGTGATTGGGTAGAGAGTTGGACACGCACAGCTAGCATTTTTTCTCAATTGACACAGACCTGACTACCAAAAAAACCAGAGGCATATTGCTGTGAAATTTTTTTACACAAGGTTCATATTAACACAGACCCAACTACCAAAAACATAGAAGTTGCAAATTTCCGTAAGTAACCTTATTTCGAAATTCAAGGGAGGAATCTTTACAAATGACCTTCATGTATCTCATCACAAAATACCCACATGACTTGCCATCACTTTGTTTAGGAGCACCCTACATTTATACCCAACAATTCAGCATTTAGTTAGTAGGCTACAGCTCTTTGTGAACACATTTCCAAGCTCTCACCGCTTGGGGGAGGAATATCATAACTCCGACGCCACTCATGCACTCACTTCTTTCCATATCTTTCAGCTGTCTCTAGCTTATTAAGACCCTGTAATTCACTACACCTATAGAAGACAACAGCTAGTAATGCTATCTACTCAAATTTTTTTCAATGTAAAACGATGTGCAGGTAAAAGAATAAAGCACATAGAAAAGTACATTCTTTCGTTCAATTGCCAAGCAGTTACAACTGGAATTGATTGCTTCTTAGTATCTCCACTCTAAATTTGACTCCATTAATCAATACGCACATTAGCTTAGTTAGCAAACTTGTGTGCATTTGTGAGAATTTATACCTTCCATATGCCAAAAACAGACAGAAAAAAAACACAAACATTCCTTAGCCTGTCAATATCTGAACACATAAGGATGAACTGGATTGGACCCTATACTGTGGATCGGATCAGCCCCTATACCCCTGGTTAGGCCCATAGGTCGATTAATTATTGGAGCCAACAATTACAGTCACCTTGAGAACATAGACTTAGGACATGACTGGCGATATTTAATCCAGAAAGATCTACTAACCTGTTGCTGCTGTTACTTGGGATTTAATGAAATGCCCTTTATTTCTAAACCACTCTGCAATAAATGGGACTCCCAAATATAATGCTTTCTTCCATAGCTCTTTTGCTGACTCTGGCATATATGTAGCCAATTGTATTCAACATATCAACACCATAAGATGTAGAAAACAGACCATATCACTGAAAATTATATACAAAAGCTTAGGAAATAATCATAGAAACATCTCCATCAGATATTAATCACATTAAGCATATTGTAAAATCAGTTCCTACATCTTGAGCAACGAAGTACTGCTCAGCAAATTTTTAACCTTCAAAAGACAATGAACTGTTGGGCACAGTTTGGATGATAGTCTCCATTAAATGTGTCACAGCATAATATACTATTGAAATTGGATGCAGTAATAGTATTTATTTGACTTTACAGGAATGCCATCCATGATGAAATCATAAAATGAGTAGCTAAATTACAAGCCAACAAAATTTACAATTATAATTTTATTGACTTGTAAGTTACCAGTACCTACTGGCTCAGTATAAGTCTGAACTAAATATTAAAATGTTCAGAGAAAGAGCAAATCAATGTAGGCCCTACATGGCAATTCATCATTACGAGTGTTCTCTGTTCTCATCTTGTATGGTCCCAAACAATATTACAAGTACCTAGCTTATTCTTCAGTTATTCTTTAATCCAAGAGAATGGATATCTGCCAAATCTAATCAACTTTTAAACAAGGGCAGACCTAAAAGCAGTTGAAAAGGTAACAATTTTTCTGTTCTCTCACCCAAAAGTACCACATGCAGGGATCAATTACCTGCATTGGAAAGCCTTGCAACTTCAGCTTCAGCATGACTAACAAAGTCCTCTTTGTTTCCTTGCACGTATTGGTTGAGTCAATTTTTCAGTGTTTCAGCAAGTTTTTCCTCTCTTTCCCTTTGAACAACCTGTAATAGATGGATATTTTCACACATAAACCAATGTAATATATAACCATTCTTGAAAGACAAAGACTTGGCAGAACTACAAAAATACAGGTCTATTTTTGGTGAATGTGGGACTGAAAAGCCCAAACAAATATGCATTTCAGAAAACAATCTGACTAACTTTATAGTACCAATATATTAAATGCATTGCTCCCAAATTTAATTCCTAACCAAGTTGGTCTCATTGCATCACAGAAAACTATAGGTAACTGGGTTAGTGAGGATAAATAAACAAAACAATACCCGCATTTTCTCTTGCAGCTTTTTGGGATCGAACTGCTCCCCTTCTGAGAAAATATCTAGTGAAGCCATTGATGCCACAGCACTAACTTTAATTGGAATTGGGAGCTCAAGTGGAGGGAGTGAGGGAGGGACAATTCTCTTTAGCTTTTCTTGCAAAAACGGATCCAAGTTTATGTTGACAGACAAATACTTAGATACTTAGCCCAATATTCCAAATCATAAAATTGGATATCATGAGCTTAATAATTCAGGAAATATTCCAAGATGGTTTTGTGGCAATAACAATACAAGGCATCTGAATTTTGAATCGAACCGTTATAAGAAAATGAAGTTGTAATTTTTTTTAAAAACAAGGGGGGATGGGGAAGAAATAAAAGGATTGATTTGAGCATGCCTGCAACACCAGTAACCAATACAGTCACAGGCTCCTTCTCCATGCTCAAGAAGCTCCACAAGTATTTTATAAGCTTCCAAAAAAAGGCAATGGTGAACAGAACAACCAAGATTTTCTGAAAAACAACATTATTCTCCATTTTCTCAAAAACGGACAGATGCAACAAACAATTCCTGTTAAAATCAAGACAATCCAATCATATGTTTTTATATAGGCGTAAGAGTACAATGATTGAAACAAAGAATCTACAGGGCACTTCCAGAACAAGGCAATCAGATGCCAAAACAAAGTCCACAAGATACTTAGAAATACAGAACATATTCTCAGTGCATATTCTTTATGATTAGTTTGTACATTCTAGAAGCAAACAGAAACCTCAGTGAATAAATCAGTCAAAATACTATCTCAGAAGAAATTCACTAGAAATTGAAATTTATGAGAATAACACAGGAGATGCAAGCAAACCATAAAACTTCTGGACAGATTGGACTATTGTGTTTCTGCCTAATTGGAACCATCAACAACTTTAGCAACAATCAAAGGGTCAAACAATCTATTTGAAACAACTTTCCCATTAACATAATAAGCTATTACTGCTGAACATTTTCTCAAGAGAACAATTTGAGATCACATTATAGCCATCAACAGTACCTATATACTCATCTTCCAGACCAAAAAATTAAAACATAATAATTAAAAAAATTATAAATGCAAAAGAGACTGGAAAACATGGTAAATCAGGTTACCCGCCAATCTCAATTGCATAATCACCACGGATTGTTCCAGGGGCGGATTCTGCTGGGTTGGTGGCACCAACAATCTTTCGGCCAGTTCGGATAACAGTCTTACCCTCCCAAATCATAGCAAGAACGAGACCAGAAATAATATAATCAACCAATCCACTGAAAAAGGGCTTTGCAGACAAGTCCTCATAGTGTTTCTCATCAAAAGGATGATCCACATTTATGAACTTCAAACCTAAACATATACCAGAAAAAAAAAATTATTGAGAAGAAATTCCTGATAAGTTACACATCCAAATTTAGCTAAGCATCCCAAAAAACTTATTGTAGTATAATTAACACACAGAAACTGTAAGCCATACATTAAATTTGATGTCCGAATTTTTTTGTCTGTAAGTCATTAAGTTGATAATCATTATAAAACAGGAAAGGCTTGTTAAATAGGGTTGTCACAAATTATCAAAGGGCACACAATCCTATAAGATCAAACATCGTTGGTTGGAAATTACCTTTCAAATAGAAGCCCTTCTTCTCAAACCTGCTAATGATGTCACCAACCTGCAACAAACATGAACCTCTCAGAAAATTTGAAAATTTTCACATTTTTAAACAATATGCAGAATTGGATTAAAACAGTTTATTGGATTTTGTGTAAGAAAAAAACTATGGTCGAAGTTACAAAGGAAGGCCTTTGTTCACCCACTTCACACATCCACAGACAATTAAAACGCAAGATTATGCATGTAAAATCCAACCACTACATACTACAAATATTAAAACTTGATGCATATATATAAAAACCTAAAATCACAGCTCAGAATTGTTAAAATTTGCGTGCTCCCAGTTCCACCCAAAAGAAAACCAACCCCTTCAATTCCTAGGTTTTCCCACCAACCAAACACCATACCAATAACACTTGCTATGAAATTCATAAACAAAAACAAGACCAAATAAAGCTACAAAATTGAAGTATCAAAAGAATACAATAGATGAAGAATTTGAAGAAATTACCAGGCCCCTTTGAACCCCATCAGGCTTGATTATGATGAAAGTTTGCTCCATGTTTTCCGTTGAAGATTTAAGACGGCAGAAGTACTAGTTCTGAGAGTGTGGGGATATGCTATGAAACTGAAAGAGTGAGGGAACGAGGGTCTATATACACAGTCCACTAAAAGCAAACCCTAACACTAATTTCTATGGAATATTAAAACAAAAGGCTATAAAAAAAATTGATCTGGTGCTGATTATTAAAACTGTTGCATCATTCAATCCCAAGTTAACAGCGAAATTGTGTGAGCTGGCTTGAGAATCATCAAATGGAAGAATGATTCTCACTGTGAATCGTAATGGTTGAGAAATGGGCAATGATGGAGGAGAGAGAAGAAAGAGAGAGTTTCAGGAGATGAAGTTTTAGGCGAGAGTTTGAGAGGGAGCTGGAAGTAATTGGGGCGAGAGTTTGAGAGGGAGATGAAGTTTTGGGCAGAGAGTTTGTGAGGGAAATCGTGAAAATTTTAGTTTAAGAGGGCGCTGGAAGTTATTGGGGCGAGAGTTTGAGAGGGAGATGAAGTTTTGGGCAGAGAGAGTTTGTAAGGGAAAGCGTGAAAATTTTGGGTTTAGGGTTGACTCGAGTTTAGGCATCGGAGGGATGTTACCAAAAATAGCCCCTCTTAAAAATAAAATAAAAACTAAGTACTTTAGGAATCTGTGGGTATGTAGATGATGCTAAAGGGGAATAAAGAAAACAAAAATTTGTGTTGATGTCTTTACACTTGTTTAGTATCGTTATTTATGAAATCAATGCCTAATCTATTAATAGCATCGATTTCACTATCTACCGATGCCTATGTAGTGTTGCTAAAAGTGAAATTTGACATAGTGGACGTTAGAATTCTACACAATGACAGTTTTTATTTATCGACGTTTGAAATAAAATACTACATCACTTTTATAAATAAATAAAAATCGTCGTCTTCACTGATTTACCACGACGGTTAATATTTTTTATTTAGATTTTTAGTTTTGTCACTAACACTTTTTGTTTTCTTGAAACAGTTCAATCAACATGTAAATCAGCCATATGGAAAAATCTACATGGCACTCCTTGACAACCAACAAAAGTAGAGTGTGGCTATTACGTGATGCGTTTCATGAGAGATATAATTCATGATCCAGTAGCATTTGAGAAGAAGGTAAAAGGCAAAATTTAAGATTTTTTTTACTACCACGACTTTTTCTTAAAAACCGTCGTTTTTATCTTCATAACACGTCGGTTTTTGTTGTTTATTCTGCAGTTTGACAAGAAAAATGAACCAGTTTAGTATGTATAAGAACATATTGACAAAGTCATGCTGGAATGGACAGAATTCATTAACAAGCAATTACAGATTAAGAAGTTATGTAATTTATTTTAGGGAGCTTTAGTAATATACCCAAAATAGGACTTGAAATTATAAAAAAAAACCCTATATGGAATAGACTTTAAAAACATACCCAAAAACCATTTGCTATCGAAAAAATGAATGTTAAACTTCCTATAAATTACATCTCTACCATTTATTAACTTAAAACAAGCCCAATACAAAAAACTCAAAAAAAAACCCAAAATAAGCGTAGCAAACCCAAAGTACATTGTTAATACCATGTCATAGAAGTGTATTGTTAATACCATATCATTGAAATATATTGTTAATATCATATCATAGAAGTACAATGTTAATATCATTTCATAGAAAAACATTGTTAATACCATTTCATACAAAAAACACACAAAAAAACCCAAAAAAGCCCAGCAAGATATCCGATATCCTTTGCAAAAATCACCTCCAATTGTCCATATGTTGGTTGTCGCGAATCTCACTGCTTGGTGCTCCGGGCCGAGGGGATGTGCGTCGAGATGATGATGAGGTTCGGGTAGAAGATGGTTTAAATGTTGCGCCTGTTTTGCATTCGACTCCTAATCAAACGATTGTGGCAGAGAGAGGAATTGATCTCGGCCGTCAGGTTCACAGCTTGAGCTACAAGGCCGTTTAGTGGTGGTGTTGGTGGCGGGTTTTAGGTGGTGCTCCGGGGCGTTGCTCAGAGAGCGACGGTCGTACGATATATGGGGTGAGTGAGGTGATAACAGAGATGGTGCTCCGGCGCCTTGAAAATTAAGGGTCGTATGATATATTGATGAATGAATTTTCCTTACAATCTACCACTACTCCTAGGAAAGCAAATAAATGTATTGAAAGTGCATTACAGGAAAATATAATTTGCTCCGTGGGAGGCTTTTGGTTTGGTGTTTGAACCATTTGAATGTAGTCCTGGGCCTGGTATTTATAGGAGGAGTTCTGGAAGGATAATCGAGGCTGACAAGACCTGCGTGGTGGAGCCTGACCGGGGCAAGTGGGTAGTCAAATCGGCATTTGGGATCGTGAAGTATGGTGGCTTGGGGTTGAGAAGCATGGTGGTGTGACCCCCATAAATCTCAGCAAATCTCGGCCACCGCCCTGATCGTGGGTTCTGCCCCTTTGGCCGTGGGAACGCATTTAATGCCCTGGTCTGGTGGTTGGTGATCTGACCTTAAGTCGTAAGATTACTTGTGAGAATGTCTGCGCCTAACCATCCTGATTTCCATCACCAAATCCTGACTTCAGTCACTTCCCTTGTGCATTAAATGCTTCTTGCACCCAGTAGTTTTGCTGCGGTGGTCAGAGGCACTACTTCATTAAATGGGGCATGGGACCCTGAGGCCACGTGACGATTTGACCACAGCTTCTTCGGTCGTGTCTTCTACGGCCTTCGGCTTCGGCCTTCAACACTGCGGTCGCCAGGCCGAGAGGATTCTGCCTTTGCAGTTTTCCTTTTGTTTCAGGAAGGCGAAAAGCTCGACGAAACGGTAGGCGCCAGGGCCGAAAGGAAGTCCCCTCAATCAGCTCATGACCGTGATTTATTAGGCACAAACATTGCCCCCACATCCCTGGATTCTTCGGTCGCGGCCTGGGCAGAGGCCGAAAGGATTCCAAGGGATGGACCCTTTGCATTCCCCCTGAAGTGATTGACAATTGGTGCTTTAAATGCGTAGGTCAATCGGCGCATTAAATGCGCAAGCACGTCTTGCAGGCCATCATTGCCCAGACTTGCGCGAGCCGTCGTTTCGTCTCGTCAAACGAAGCGACGGCCTCTGGGCTTTCGACATGTCATCGCGCCCCTTGGGCACGCTTGTCAGGCTGTTACGTCTCTCGAGAGAGCCACGCCCTTTCGTTTCGAATTCTAGCGCCAATATAAAAGCCTGTCCTTCTTCATCCCTTCCTTACGCTTTCAGAAATTTCAAACGCCCAAAACTCTGCCAAACCTTTCTCTCAACTCTTCAATCCTTTCGAACTTCACATTTCAGCACTCCACCTCTTTTTGCCCAGTTATCTTCCTTTGTTAGTAACCAACGACTTCAGTCGCTTCTCCTGTGTTTCTCTGAACTCTCGAACTCTTTGCCCCTTTTTCTGAGCGCTCGGCTCCCTGGTGTTCTTTGTGTTCATCACCCTTCCTTCGATTTTTTTAAAACATACCCGTACTTTAATCTGTTTCAATGGCCTCTAGCACCCCTACATCTGTTGAAGCTCGGTCCCAAGTCTTCCAGACTGAGTTTGAAGACATTTGCCGAGAAATCCAGGGCTCAGTCTTACCCAACATCGTCACACTTTGGACTGATGACGACGGCACAGCCACCGACTCTTGCGTCCTCGGCCCCTCTGTAGATGGCGGGATGCCAGAGAGGCTGGGGGCTCATTTGAAGAACAATCTGGTGGACCTCTCGGCCTTTGACGGGGGGGACTTCCAAGATTGGAATGTCGCCAGGCCGCAGCCCCAATGGCCAACCTTAATCCCGGACTGGGAAAAATGGCTGCCGAGGATGAAGCACTTCTTCGGCCAGCAATGGAAGGATCAAGGCATCTACCACTTGATCAAGCTGTTCGATCGGCCACTTGTCATGGACCGGTCGCTCTTGGCCGCGGCCCTATGCTTCTGGTCGTCGGCCACAAATACTATGAACCTCCAGTTTGGCATGATGACGCCGACCGTTCTAGACATGGCTGCCCTATTTAGCCTTTCTCCCCTTGGCATGGAAGTAAATGCCGCTCTGGTGGCCCCTAAGGCTGAAGGGAGTTTTAAGGCCGCGTGGCCTCCGGTCGCCAAACTTGCTAGGAGTAAGGCGAAGAACATGCTCAACTACTCCAGCTTCTACAGCAACTTCGGCGTGGAGGACAGCGCCGATGATGATTCCATCGCTCTTTTGGGCGAGGTCGAGCATGTCGCGTTCTTGCTGTACTGGCTATGCAAGTTCGTGTTTTGCACCCAGGCGAACAAAGTCACCCTGGAGTTCGCCCACCTGGCCGACTATCTTGCGTAGGGCGGAAGGCTGGCGCTCGGCCCATTCCTCCTCGGTCATATCTACCGCACGCTTCACGACGTCGTCACGGATGGGATGAAGCCGAAGCACAGTGGTCCACTATGGGCCTTCCAGTTCTGGCTGCAGGCTTATTTCCCAAAGCTGAGGGGAGTGGCCAATATTACTGACACCGAGCCGTTGGCCAATGCGTTTGCCCGGGCCCCCAAGAAGCATAACACCTCGACTTCCTGTTATAAATTTTTCTATGGCTTGGTCGAGAGGACTGGGTCGCAATTTCGGGTGTGCCTTGCTCGGCCGTACCCTTTGTTCTTGGCGCACGACCTCTCCGTGATTCCTGACGGTGAAACGGAGAACGATCTGAAGGAAATCTGGGGCTCCTTCCTGGTCGCGCGCGACCTTCATTGCGGCCTGTCCAAGGCTGGGGCCGAACTTCGTGGCGCGGCAATTCGGCTTGATCCAGACGGCACCGCTTCCCCTGTTGTCAACCAATTGGCTCTCGTCTTGGAGGGCCGACGTCGCCCAGCAGCACGGCGTGGCTGGCATTTCCTTCCAACTCCAAAAGGGAATGACCTTCCTTACTCTGACGCCTTGGTTGCGTCGCAACGCGTACGACGAGGATGGAAAAGTCTGGTACGAAGAGTGCATCTGGGCCAGATTCATTCGGCCTGTTGAAGAGGCCGTGAGGGGGGCTCTGAAGAATGCAGATTGGGACCCCCTCGTCCCCAAGGCTGGTAAGGGAAAGAAGGCCCCGGACGTGCTTCCTCGACCGAGCATGCCGGCCGTGGGCGTACCAGGGTGGCGGCCCCTCCTTCGGTTAGAGCAGCGATCGCGACCTCAACCAAGGCCCCAACCCCCAAAGCGTCGGTTGTAGTGGGGGCGCAAAAAACTTCAGCGCATAGGACCATGCCATTCGCCCCGCCGGCTCGACCGATTGCTGCCGTTGGTAAGCCCTCTTTCTTTTTTGCTTTGCCGTTGGCCTATCCGAGCCACCTTTGTCTTTGTTTAATTGCTTTTTACCTCTTTTACTTCTCCCTGTACACACAGCCCCGGGTCGCAAGAGGGATCGGGAGGCCTTAAACGCTGGGGCCGCAGCGGTTGAGGCCGCGCCGGCCGAAGGTGTTGCCGTTGAGACGGCGGTGCTAGAGCAGCCGAGAAAAAGGGTCCTCCTCGTTCTTTCGGAGGCCGAGGACTAGGAAGAAGTCTCCCCTGGGATCGTGAGTGAAGCCCCTCTAGTGACCGTAAGTACTCCTCCTTGATTTCTTTTTCCTCCTTTTTCAGGGCGAGGCAGTGGCCGAGGAGTTGGCCGAGGAGGTGGCCGCTGCCGAGGTAGCAGTTGAGGGGACGGCCATCGCCGAGGTAGCGGTTGCAGAGGTGCCAGCCACTAAGGAGGCCGTCACGGACGTGCCGGACCCGACGCGGGCCATCCTGGTGGAAGTCCCTTCGGCCGCCTCTGCCGTGCCTACCTTGGCCGTTACCGCGTTCGTTGAGCCGTTGTCGTCCGCTCCTCGTCGTCCAAGCGACATCGTGATCCGCTCAGTAAGCGTTTTGCTTTTACTGTACTTTCGTTTTATTTTCAGAATTCTGCCACATGCCTTTGACCGAATTTTTGCTTCCAGCCTCCCCAGTCATCTCTGTTGCTACCTGCGGTCGCTGTGAGTATGCCCAAGACTCGACAGTAGTGACTGAGCTTGCAATGGTCGATGCTATAGCTACCGACGCGCCGAGTCTTCCGACTGTCTCCTCGACGGTCCTGACCGAGCTTGTGGTTGCAGAAGCTCCTGGCGCGCCGTCGGCCGCTGAAGTGAGTATTTAGATTTTCACCTTGTCATTCCCCATGTCCTAGTTGGTTGTTTCCCATTTGAATTCCTTTTTCCATTTTTAGGGGACCGCCTCCTCCGATGATCTCGAGGAGTTATATGCCAGTCTCCATGAAGAAGGAGGCAGCTCGGCCTCGACTCCTTTGGACGACTCTAGGGCCGTCATCGAAAGGCTCCGAGAGTACCTATTCCTTAGGGTTCACCAAATGACCACTGCTGAGGCATTCATGGAGTTCAAGTCCTGTCTGGATACGGCCATGGCACTGGGGCTACTTGACTCGGCTCAGCTGGATGAGCTACAGGCTCGCTTGGCCGAGAGCGAGGAGATGATCGGTCGGTATGCTGAGGCAAACATAAGGATGACCGAGGGATGCTCGCTCGAGCAAGAGCTGTCGGCGATAAAAAACCAACTCCAACCTGCCATGGCCCGCTTGAAGGAAAATGACCTCGTCATCCGAAGAGAGAATGAGCAACTTGCTTAGGTCAAGGTTCAGATTGCCGAGCTCCAGGCCCGTCGAGATCTCATCCTTCAGCGTCGAGATGGTGCGGTCGCGGTCGAAACTGAGCTGAAGTCTTCGGCCAGGAAAATCCTTAAGGCGGCAACCGAGAAAAAGAGGGCATTGGCCGAGAGGAAGCTGATCCGGGCGAGGTGGCAGGCGGATGTAGATGGTGGGGACATCGCCTAGAGAAGGATAACATGCATAATCTGGGGGATGTTTAGCGAGGGGGTTTAGGTGGGTGGCCGTTCAAAGATTTTGGGATGTAATAGTTAAACACTTTCTTTTCCCACAGACATACAGATACACGCATATATACATATATATATATTTTTTTTTGTGATCGGCCATGACTGGCTGTTCTTTTTTTTTCCTTTGTAAAAAAGAAACGATCTCTTCATCTAAATACAAAGCGTGGGCCTTCTTCTCTAATTGATTGAATGTATGATGTTTGCTTTATATTGGCCGCGCCATTTGTTTAGCTCGCCCGCCTACTTCCCCCTCTTTTTCTTTTGACTTTTTTGTCGTAGGACCTCGGTGCCATTTTTTCTTGAACTTGCGCCGAACTGTAAGCAGCGAGCGCTGACTGTTCTAACTTTTCTAAACTCCAGGGCACGGCTTGCGCGTAGCTCTCTGTCTTTCGCCTAAGCCGCGTGAAAACTCGAAGAAATCGAACCTCTAGCTTCATTAGTTTATGAATGTCATGGCCGTAGGTCAAGATATAAGGAAATGTGCTCATGGAGTGCTTTGATGTGCGGCATGCCCAAGAAGCCCTAGAGAGCAAGTCGCGCCAAATCATGGGCTTTCCAGGTGGGTACAGCTTAGTATGACTTGGTGCCCCCGGCCGTCTCTGGGCTGAGCCATCCTTGGTCGGGCGCCGGGCGTCTTCGGTCCGAGGATCCTAAGGGGGCGACTCCAGCTGGGTTGGAAGTGGCCACTGGTCCTGTTGTGCATCGTCCTGAGGCTTGATCTGCTGGCCCACTTGAGCGAGGGACTCATCCGTTACGACCGAACCGGGCGGCATTGGGTGAGCACCGTAGGTTTGACCGGGGTTCGTATGTGTTGTCGTTGGAACGGCCGAACCATACTGAATATGGGAGCCTGTCGGCAATAACGACATATGTAATGGTGAAACGGTCGGATTGCTTTGACCGTATTGCTGTGACGAAGCAGCGGTCGAGTTGCTTGGGCCGGGATGGGTCTGGACGGCCACAGTGTGGACTGGGCCAAGTTGTTGGACCGCGGACTGTGTGGGGCTGCTTTGCCCTAGTGACACGGCCAAAGCATGGAGTGGGCCGTACGTCGTCTCTGCCGGGTAGGTCGGTCCGGGATTTACCCATGTTGGCTGGGATTGCCCCCAGCTGTTCGTCGGCAGCTGAGAATGTTGGTCGTAGCCTGACGCTTAGGTGCGGCCAGAGATGCCGAGGCTGCTGCTTTCGCCGTAGGGCTCAAACCTCTCGCACTCTTGGCCTCTCGTTACGGACGATGTCACCAGTATCCTCTCCTGAAAGAGCGTCTGTAGCTCTGAGGAAAACCTGTCCATTATGGCCATAAAGGATGTTTCTATCCTGTAGGCCTGCTTTGCCATCAGATCTTCCACGACTGCTTGCTCTCCCACGGACTCGGCCGTGCGATCCGTCGTTATTGGACCGCTGGCCGAGATTCTGACCGCGTGTTCGGTCTCAGTGACAATGATTGGTGAGGTGGACTCAGGAGCCTCGGAAGTCATTTCGACTGTTTTGTTTTTGAGTTTTGCCTGTGCCCTAGTTTTCACCTTCAGTTTCTGACAAAAGTCCCACCGGGCGTGCCTGGTGCTCCGGGCTGAGGGGATGTGCGTCAACATGTGACGTCCTTCTTTTGGATGTGGTGCGGTTGTGCGCGGGCGTGCCAGCATGGTCTACCGTGCGTCGAGATGATGATGAGGTTCGGGTAGAAGATGGTTTAAATGTTGCGCCTGTTTTGCGTTCGACTCCTAATCAAACAATTGTGGCCGAGAGAGGAACTGATCTCAGCCGTCAGGTTCACGGCCTGAGCTACAATGCCGTTTAGTGGTGGTGTTGGTGGCGGGTTTTAGGAGGTACTCCGGCGCGTTGCTCAGAGAGCGACGGTCGTACAATATATGGGGTGAGTGAGGCGATAACAGAGATGGTGCTCCGGCGCCTTGAAAATCAAGGGTCGTATGATATATTGATGAATGGTATTGAAAGCAAATAAAGGTATTGAAAGTGCATTACAGGAAAATATAATTTTCTCCGTGGGAGGCTTTTGGTTTGGTTTTTGAACCCTTTGAATGTAATCCTGGGCTTGGTATTTATAGGAGGAGTCCTGGATGGATAATCGAGGTTGACAAGACCTGCGTGGTGGAGCCTGACCGGGGCAAGTGGATAGTCAAATCGGCATTTGGGATCGTGAAGTATGGTGGCTTGGGGTTGAGAAGCATGGTGGTGTGACCCCCATAAATCTCGGTAAATCCCGGCCACCGCCCTAATCGTGGGTTCTGCCCCCTTGGCCGTGGGAACGCATTTAATGCCCTGGTCTGGTTGTTGGTGATCTGACCTTAAGTCGTAAGATTACTTGTGAGAATGTATGCGCCTAACCACCCTGATTTACATCACCAAATCCTGACTTCAGTCACTTCCCTTGTGCATTAAATGTTTCTTGCGACTAGTGGGTTTGCTGCGAAAGTCAGAGACATTACTTCATTAAATGGGGCATGGGACCCTGAGACCACGTGGTGATTTAACCACAGCTTCTTCGGCCGTGCCTTCTACGGTCTTCGGCTTTGGCCTTCATCACTGCGGTCGCGAGGCCGATAGGATTCTGCCTTTGCAATTTTCCTTTTGTTTCAGGAAGACAAAAAGCTCGACGAAACGGTATGCGCCAGGGCCGAAAGGAAGTCCCCTCAATCAGCTTATGACCGTGATTTATTAGGCACAAACACCATAGTTGCAATCGCAAAGGCCCTCTATAAGAAGGGAAAAAAATACATTGTTAATACTATGTCATACAACTATCTTGCTAGTGAAAATCACATTATGCATATCATAAACTTCAAGTGCACAGCTATATGAGCAAAATACAAAGCATGCTTCGCTATTGAAAATATGTTAATACTATGTAATAGAAGTACACTGTTAGTACTATGTCACAGAAATCAACTCAATTGCCGGATATGAATAGTATAATAATTGTTCATACCACTTACTGGATATAAGGACGGGCCTTTTCAGTGAGAGACAAACAATCAGTTGGCTCCAGATCCAATGCCTTTTTGAAGCTTTCAACTGCAGCATCAATATCATCAAGCGCCATGTATGCCTGACAGACAGAAGGAACATAGCCATCAGGATATAAGGACGCAATCCAATAAACTTCCCATCAGTAACTTAACAACTAGCAACAATAGTGAAGACAATATTCACAAATTTCATAAATAACAATAAAGGCAGACTGTATGGATAAGACACTGAAAATATAGAATTAAATGCACCAGGAAGTGAAGAGTGATACAACTTTAAGCAGATTTAGGACCACAATGGCATACATGCTTAAACAGAAGATACTAACCTGACCTTGGTGAAACAAAGCCTTAACATTATCTTCTCTATCCCTCATTGCAAAGTCGGTGTCTAACAGTGCTCCTTTCAGGTCCCCCAATTTCAATTTACAAGCCTAGAACAACATACCAAGCATGGTAAGTAGTTAGACAAAATGCACTAGAAATACAATAAAAACAGGAAAGAATTTACAGTAATGGGATATGCTTTTAAGAAACAGAAGAAGGGCAGAAGAACTTCATCACTGCAATATGTTCTCCAAACAAAAGAAAACCATTTATATAAGAAGAGTAGTAATGAGTTATGTAACTAAGTTGGAAGGTTATGTACATATCATAACAGTTTAAAGTACAACATCTATCAAGTTCAAGCAATAATCAAGTCCTACCAACCTTTTATATTTGCATCTAAACCTTTTTTAAAATACCCTATTTTTTACATTCAAAATTCAAATAGATAGTCATTCTAGAGAGAAAATTACTTTCATAATACAATTTCAACTAAAATGATCAGTATATTATACTATAAAGCCAACACAAAAAAGATAACTTACAGATCTGTTTGTGAAAATCTGTGACTTGGTCTTTCTCAAACTTGAACTCCTCTCTGCAGAGTCGAAGGGAAAGTGAAATAAATCATGAGATAGAAACTTATTGTGCAAATGCCATATCAAAGCACAGAAAGATGACCATATGCAAGTTGCAAATCATAATAAATGACACAACTGAAAACGAAATGCTATACCTAGAGGAAGGGATTGCTTCAACTTGTCGGCCTTCTCCGAATCAAACATGCAAAGAGTGTAAAGGTAATTGGAGCATCGAACCTTAAACTTGACAGCATCTTTGCTCCTCTTGATTTTGACAGAGCGTGCATACTTCCTTCTTGCAGTTAGAAGGAAATCCTTAATCTTGTGGATTTGCTTCGGCTATTGGTACAGAGACAAAGCACATACATTAACATTCTCAAATTTAAAATCAACAAGGCTTGTATGTTCACAGGTTTTAACATCTACCATCCATAACTTAACACAGCTATACCAGATTATTAGTGTGTCAATTACTTCTTCTTATTTTTTTCTTTTCATGAGGATTAAATCCATATTGCCAGAAAGATACAAGAACAATGGGTGGGACACCAGGAAAAAACATTATACAAACCATGGCCAGACATGCTTCAAATGAAATACACAGGCAGCTGTTCATTTTCTAGAATCATAACTGTATGAACCACTGCTTTTGTATTCAGCTCCAAAACACAAAATCATTGAGGCCCATTCTAAATTGGAACACAAAATCATTGAGGACCATTCATACAATAAAACTAGAAAATACTTAAATGAGCAATCAACATAAGAATAAACGGTGAAAATACGTACATCAGAGGCGTCACTGATGAGCTCATAGAGAAAGATCTCCTTGTTGTTGTAAAAGGTGTTGATGATCAAACTCAGAAGCTGGTTGCTCTCATGGATCAGGACTTGAGTCTACCTTCTGAGTTGTAAAACGACTTTGTCGAGTTCGGCGTATCCCGCTCTTCAAAGAAGAGCTTCTTCAATGGCGGCTGCAGAGAGGAAAAGGAAGCGGCAGCCCATTTGGCTATGGAAAAATCATCGTTGTCGGGCATCTGCGAAAAAGAGATCTGGGTTGAAAATCGGGAACACAGGATGGATCTGGCCATTTTGGAATATATCATCGGTGGAAATCGTCTTCATCTTCTTTCTTCTCGCAATCACCACCGGAGTCGGCGTTCTGAACACCTTCGTTCGACAATTGACACCTCAAATCTACAGAGTAGCCACAGAACTTCGTGAGCTTAACCATTAGCTCTGTTCATATCCAAAAAAATAGAAATTAGCACCAAATTCAACGAAGAAACTGAAATCAAGTAGAAATTCAAGTAAATTAAGCAAAAATCAAAAGGAAAATAACAAATTGAAGCAGATGGAACAAACCTGCAAAGGAAATGGAGGCATCAGCGGCGAGAACACGTGTGAGGCCACCTATGTAACGGAGATTGTCGTCGGTCTTGTGTTGGTCCATGGCCTTGAGACTATTTGTTTACTTTGAAGGCATAGAGAGGGAAGAAGGGAGAGAGCATAGGAGAGATGGTGGTTTGAAGCAGGAGAGGGGCTTGAGGCTTCAAACTTGAGGGAGGCTTCAAACGAGATCCAAAACTAATTTAATGCTAAAAAGGGTAATAAAGATATTTCATCTTATTAATTAAATTAAAAAATATACAATTGTTGATTTTTGGGTGTGTTTCTATGTTTTAAATAGTATAGGGTATATTTATAGTTTCATGTCTAGGAATGGGTGTTTCACTAATTTTGTATTTATTTTAACAATGTTTAGGTCTATTTTAATTTATTAAAAATGTACATGAATATATTTTTGGCAATTAAATGAATATTCATAAAAAAATTAATTTTTTCAGAATTTTTTTTTGTTATGATATTTATGTCTTTACATGAAATAAAATGACAATAAATCAAAAAAACTAAATTTAATTTCCAAAAACCGACGTCTCATTCTTATTTACATGTCTCAAATGTATAAACAATCGCCGTCTTATTGTAGTGGGAAATAAAACATCGTCGGCAGTTCTTAGGAATGCCATGTAAGAGAAAGAAACACGATGGTTTATATATAAAACTGAAATCTACAGAATTTTTTTGGATATATATATATATATACTACGTCCGTTAGTACAACAATCACGACATCTTAAGGACATACAACAACATTTAGCTGACCAAATGTGACGTTGTATAATTAAACAACGGTAGCAACTACGACAGAGACGACGTTGTAAATGCTACCCACCACGTCGGTTATTCAAAACAAGCTGATGTTGTAACTTATGAACCGCGTCAGTTGTTGAATAACGACGTCTAATATGATCTAGGACGACGTCACGTGTTGTTCAACGTCGTCGTAAATGGATGCAACATCGATTATGTACATTTGTCATTTCATTTTTATATGACTTATATTTTATTTAATTCCTAATATTCATAATAAACTCAAAACAAATTCCAAAAAATAAACTGACAACTACCATGTACTTATTGAAAGATTGTGTCTCCCCTAAAGCTTTCAAAAATTGTAATGGTAAAAATATTTTTTTATTGTATTTAATTACTAATCTCCATAATATATTTTTAAATAAACTGACAAATTCTATGCACTCATTGAGACAATATCACTCCCCCCTAAAGGCCTAAAAATTTATGTTTTAATTTAAATTAAATTTAAAAATACAAAAAAATAAAATAAAAGAAAAGAAAATGAGACTCAATAGTCCTTATACTTTCCATAACATAACCCTAAAGTTTATGCAATCCATTGGTGGCCATATATTCAAAACTATGAAATTCAGATTTTAGCCTACTAATGTAGAAGGCATTGTTGTAAGGAGTATGTTGTCGTCGGATCAGCTTCGCCAAAATTGATTCAGCTACATCCTCAACTTGTGATACTCGCAATAGATCCCACGAGGATTGATGATAGATTGATCCAATTCAATTTCCCTAAAAGGAAAGAACAGAAAATAAGAAAGAAAGAAAAAACTAACTAACTAGAGAAAATAAGTTCCCAAGTTCAATTTAGATTAATGGATTGATTCTAGCTAAAGTATGATTAAGCCATGGTGTCTGGTCCTAACCTTGTATTCCTAATTCCCTAATTTGATCAGATGTTGTCTAACATAAATTAAGCATTAGGAATCCATTAAGCACAGAAGAACATTTTAAACAACCAATTATGTATCTAATCCTTGTTGTCGAATATTCATACATACTCTTCCTATTCATAGTTCAATTCGAATTAAAGCATGATATCTACTTTTAATTCAAACTAAGACATCTAACATGCAAGCCTTAATGGTGATTAATCATTCAAACTAGCATATTAACTTATAAGCATAATGAATAAGAACAAAAACCATAATTGAAACTTGGAAACTAATCAAACTTGAAAACTAAGAAAAGAATTTACATTACAAAGAAAAATAAATTACAACTAAGAAGCAAAAGAAAAACTAGAATTGACAACTAGAAAGGAAAACTAAGAGAATTTGAGGGAGAGAAGGGAGGGGAGTTCTAGAAGAAGTGTTTGAGAGCTCCCCCCCTTGGGGTGTGTTTAAAGCTTGGAGAAACTCACTATTTATAGGCCTAAGGGAAGTGAAAATCTGAATTAAGTATTGCTTCTACCTACAACACTCACTTCACCAACTTACAACACTTAATTCACCAACTTTACCTAACACACAATTGCATTTGAAAACAATTCCTCTTGTCTTTAAGCTTAGTGTTGCAGCTCCCACTTCATCTTCTTTTACTTCACTTGCCTGCTGCAAAACTCCACTTCAATTATAAGTATGCTTCACCTAACCTTTCCACAATCAATAACACTTCATCATGCATGACAATGCATTGCAGTCAGCTAGTGGGCTCGTTTCGTTGTTCCTCCAATCTGAAAAATCTGCAAAAATTTGGATCTTCAAGCTCTTTGTCTTATCTTTCCAAGCATATGCAGCCCAACTCAAGGAAAAATTGGAAAAACCTTCAAATGTCATTTTTGGCCCAATAACGCAGATGCTGCCAAATTTGACCTTAAGTTGCCAAAGCTTGCATAACTTCCTCTAGAAGACTTGGAATCATGAACCGTAAAATCCTTCAGAAATTAGACTTCCATATATATCCAATGTCGGATGGCTCATGATCTGGTTCTTCCTGAGCAAGTACAGTCCAATCTGTGAAGTTGACTAATCTGCAGACACCGTTATGAGCTAATGCATTTAATGAGTATCAAGCTTATTACAATGAAACAAACACAAAAGAAATGAAAAACACAAGTTTAACTCAAAAACATAACCACATCATAAGTTAGAAGTATACAAAAGGATATGTATTTGTGCACCGATCAAATACCCCCAAACCTAGATTTTGCTAGTCCCCGGACAAAACAAAAGGAAAACAAAGATAAAAACAAGACAAGAAGTTAACTAGATCACTTTCGTAGGTAACTCGATTGCATTGAGCATATGCAACAAGCCTTTAAACCTCTAGGCATCTCTAGTAAGAGTTGTGTCTCTTGAGGGTTTAATAGATATGATACCCACAAACATTTTGTTAACTTTACAAAACAAAGTGGTTAGAAAACTAAAACAAAGCAAAACCAAATAAATAAAATAAATAAAAACTCAAAACAATCTTTTCGAACATTTTCTGAAGAGAAATTACTCATGCACATGACTCAAAAGTTTTAACAATAAAAGCTTAGTTTTAGACATTATTCACAAGGTAGCAAAGTTTAAAACAAAACATGCTCAAAGTGTAGTAGTGTGATAGACAAATGCAACAAATTCCCCAATATCAGTTTTCACACAATTTCGAAAATCATTCAAAGCACAAATTTAACTTCAAATCTCACCAAAGTTTTCCTCACACAAATGAATCACTCAGACGAGGGCTATAATGCATCACTCAGTTATAAACATGAGAGTAGAGTTAAACCATAAGGGACTTAACTCACAATAGAAAAACAAAGAACTTGCGTTAGTATGATCTCAAGAAGGACGCCAAACACTTAAAAGTAGGAAAATGACATTTAAAATCAATTTAGGTCTTTAGTATAGGTTGTAATGGGGCCAAGGGTGTAAGGTGAGTAAGAAATAAAAGGTATGGATAATACAAAGTCTAAGGAACCCAAAATATAAGACCATAAAATAATTGTTTCTAAGACTTCGAATCATCACAATGAGATTTTTTTCTTCTTTTTTTTACATGATCAAAACTCCTTATGCCTTCATTTACATTGATTTATACTCTTTTATTTTGAAGCCAATAAAGAAACCCCAAAATGAAATTTCATTCAACCACCACTTAATCACAACTTTTCTCTTTTCTTTCACCAATTGTGTGATTTTTTTTCTTTTTTTTTCTTCTTTGAAATGTAACTTCCCTTCCCAAACTTAGTGTGAAAGAACACATCCCAATTAAAACTCAAGAGTTCCTTAGAAAGGTAAATACTTGTTTTTCAGACTAAGGCGAGGAATATAATTGGTTAAATGAAAGAAAAGGTTTACATGTAGGCTCAAAATGGTTAACAATGGAAAATCATGCTTATTCATGCATAAGGTTAGCTTGAAAGGCTCAAACGATCCAAAGAGGGCCTTAATATCATTTTTTAAATGTTATGAAATCAAATTGCATAGAAATGAATGACTTTTAAGTGTTCAACCAAATCAATGAATAATGAGATCAAACAACAACTTTGATGACAAAAAAATAAGAGTATGTGTATAACACTCATGAATTGAAGTACAAAGCTCAAAAGCTCACTTTATATTAGGGGTGGGCACGGTCCGATTTGGAACGGTTTTCTTGGAAAAATGGAACCTGAATCGAAAATGAAGATCAGTTCGATTTGGACTGGTTTTGTTAAAAATCCATACATAAATCCAAACCAACCCAGACCTGTCTAGTTCCGGTTCGGTTCCTACGGTTTCGATTTGGGCTTGAGCCCAAAATTTTATTTTAAAGTTTTTTACAGACCTGCCCAAAATGTATTTATATTACTAACCTACCCCAAATTTGAACTTCCAACAAGCTTTCAACACATCATAATGAATCTAACTTCAACAAAATATAAATTACAATTCAAATTCAACTTCAACAACATATAAATTACAACCCAAATCCAATCCAACTTTAGCGAAATAAGTTTCAAAATAAATTACAACCTAAATTCAATCCAAATATATATTACAACCCAAATTCAATCCAACTTCATTAAATTCCTCCTAACATTAAAAGTAGCTGGAGTAGACTTGGTAGGTGTGGAGAAACTCATAATATATATATAAAAAACATAAACCCATTAAAACATTAGTCAAAAGTTTCTGAAATGTCAAGATATTCCTCTCTCTAAAACAAATTATAGTTCAACAGAGTAAAAGTAACGCATAATAATAAGACTTGAATCTTTTTATGTTCACAAGATAAAAAGATAGGGGAAAATAAAATGCTGAAACTTGGACTTAGACATCAACCTTTTCTTACCAAAATTAAAGAACAGTAACCATGTAATAATTTCTATACTTGCAGAATCTTATATACAATAAGAATGTGCTCCTATTGTCTAACCTTTCAATTAAGATTTATCAGCCTAAAATTATATTGGTGCTGGGACAATTTCAGTGCAACACTTTAATTATGAGGGCAAAACTTAGTGTCTGGAATTGACACATGAAGATAATAGGTGACAAGCTGGGAAACTTAGAGCATGGAAATAAATGCTTCAAGTTTCCACTTAAGCCTCTCAAATCTAACAAATTTAGTGTGAAACAGCAGCCAAGTTCTATGTCAATTGCTAAAGCAAGTTGTGTCACAAAAGCTTTTGATAAGCTGCCAGTAAAGCAAGCAAGTGGTGGCAATCAAGCATGATATTTCAAACCCACTTCCTGAGTTCACATATACTATATAACAGACAACGTGCAATATGGGGTATTGCAGAATCAGCATGCCTATCGTAGGTGAATATATAGATATCTGGCACCAAAGTGTAGATTGTCTACACCATAATCATCCGAGCATATCCAACATCAAAGCGACTAGCACCAAGGCAGACACGCCTTCTTCCATGTAGAAGGAAGACGCTCTTCCGAGGTGCTAGACACTTGCCGAAGCTCCCGACTGCCGAGGCACCCAAATTGCCAAATCTAATCTTCAAGACACGTGTCATCACCACAGCGACTTGCACAAAGTCCCACATCGAAACTTTGTGCAAACCTCTCACTTTCACTTCCCTACAAATAAGGAATAGTACCCAAGTAAAAAGGGTAACTTCTCTATCACTTTTACTGTTACTCTGCCAAATTTACCACTCTTAGCTGACTTAAGCATCGGAGAGCCTTTGGCCGGCACCACACTAGTGTCCGGAGCTTAACGATTGCTTCTCCTATTTCGTCTTCTCCAGGCTCTTCTCTTGCTGAAGGTCCTCACCTTCTCCCTTGTTCAAGACAATCTACTTCTCTCTAAGTTGACCTCCCCAAAAAGAGCATCAACAGTTTGGCGCCGTCTGTGGGAATCGATAATTGAATCCCATTTTTCTCTACCAGCCCAGCTGGCTCCTTCTCCCATTAGGCACCGTCGCCTCTTCTTTACCCCACACTCTGCTATGCCGACCGAGGATAACCACTATACTCAACACCATACCCCCCCACAAGGGTACTTCTCGAAGGAAGCCTTCGGTAGATGTCAACCTTCATGCAAGGGAGAAGCACCTTCGGGCCAGCGTTGCCAAGATGTTTGAGAAATACGAACATCTTCATACCAAGAATGTAGAATTGGAGCATGACTACCGCACTCTAAAGTGAAATTGGGAGAGGACTCAAACCCAAGATTCCCAACATGACCTAAGCCAGGATGTTGGGCATACCCAGCCAAATTAGCTGGTGCACTCTCACCACAGCGCCCCAGTCCAGTCTAGCCTCGGCAAGGGTAAAGGTCCTCTTTATCCGGAACCAATCAAGTCGCGGCTCCTTCTAATCTCCCCACCAAAGGACCGGCCTCATGAACAGATGAAGGTCTACAGAGATTGTAGAGACCATCTCTTAGACCGTCGGCCGGACCCTATCCCTATATCTGTTAAGCCCAAAGACCCAGGGGTGGCACACCTAGGCCCCCCACCAAAGCCCACCCACCTACCCGCTGGAGAAGGTGCAGGGGACTCGGATAACTGGGAACCTTACCATCCAAAAAACTGGGAGTCTTATCACACCAAGGAGTTCGAAGAATGGGAACCTTACCTAGCCCCTGCTCATCCGCACCCCAGACCTTCAGCACCCGAGACTCTCCCTCATGCCCACCCGGCCATGAGACTTCATTTCGAGAAGGTCTGGCGCTTGGAGAGTGAGCAGCAGCGCTGCCACCAACCCCTCTTGGCCAAGCCACAACTTGGGCCCTTTACCGAGCATATCCTCAATTACCACCAGGAGAAGGACATCCAATCGCTCCGCATCGCCTTCTATACTGGCACAGAGGATCCTCTTACCCATATCCACTTCTTCCAGTTTGCCCTCAGATGCAAGGGCCTTAGTGACAAAGGATGTGCCTCATCTTCCCTTCAATTAGTTATACAGGCTTAAACCCGCACCATCAACTCATTTGACAGCTTGAAGTAGACTTTCCTGGACCACTTCATTATCCAGACTAATCGCCTGTATTCGGCAGGGTGAGGATGAGCCCCTTCGGTAGTATGCAATCCGGCTGCCCAGAGACTAACAACCGCGCTGCCTTTGGTGCCTTCAAGAGTGGCCTCTGCTAGTCCAAGTTTGGGTACTTGGTCCACAGCAACTCTTGGAACACATATGCAAAGTTAATGAAGCAAGTAGCAGTTCACACTAAGGCTGAGTACTTCAACTCCAAGCGTGCCGCAGCCACTTCTGCACGCAACATGTTTGGTGATCCTCCACCTGCTTTAGTACCCACCCCAGCCCCGCCTCAGCATTCTTCTCCTACCCCAAGTACCCAGGGTACCCCGCACCCAAAACGAAAGGATGGCTACCAGCATACCTTCAGCAGTAGCAAGCGTGGTAGACATAGCAACCACCACCAGTCCAGTGGAAGCAACCCTCCCAGGACAAGTGATCGGGCTCTACTCCCCTTCACACCTAAGCCTAGGTTCGAGGTCTTCACCACCCTCAACACCACCTATGAGAATGTTCTGGTGCACGAGGCACCAATGATACCCAAGTGTCCCTTTAGGAGACCGTCCAGCAAGCCTATGCCAAACGCGGGTGTCTTCTGTCGCTTTCATCAGTTCAGTGGCCACGATACCGAATCTTGTGTTGACTTGCACAACATCATTGAGGGACTTATCCGTGAATGGGAAGCTGAACAAATATGTGCACAACCTCCCACCCCCACCTAGCCCTCACCAACGGCAGATCAACATGATCTCCACTATCAGTGGTGGTCCTACCATGGCTAGGACCTCCAACAACTCCATTAAACATTATGTCCGCTCCACCTATGCGCACTAGGTCTTCAGCACGTAGCAAGGACGCCTGCCGAAGACACAAAAATCAGGTTGGGCCCCCATTACCTTTTGCAAGGAAGAGGAACGTGGTGTCATTCTCCTTCATGATGACCCACTCATTATCCGTGCGAACATTTCTAACTTTGATGTTGGGCGTATCTTGGTGGACACTGGTAGATCGGTCAGTGTGATGTTTGCTGATGCTATCAAAGAGCTCCAAGTCTCGACTTATTTGCTTGACCGAAGCATCACCCCTCTCGTGAGCTTCTCTGGGGATGTGGTTCAGCCCCTTGGCAGCATCTATCTTCCTATCTCCATTGGCTCAGCACCCCAGCGGGCGACAGTCACCACTCCCTTCCTTATTGTTGACTGCCTTCGCCCAAATTAAGGTTTTCATTTCCACACATATGCTGCTGCTGAAGTTCCGTACCTCCCATGGCACAGGCACGGTGCACAGCGACCAACTTGGCGCCCAAAGCTGCTATGCTTTAGCAGTCAAGTCCACTAATCGCCAACAACAGGGTGAGGCCCTTGCAGTAACCAACAACAGGGTGAGGCCCTTGCAGTAACCAACAACAGGGTGAGGCCCTTGGATTCACCAAGAAGGTGGACTGTTCCACCTGGTTGGCTAATGTGGTGATGGTCCACAAACCAAAGAAAGGCTGGTGCATGTGTGTAGACTACACCAACCTTAATCGAGCTTGTCGACACCACAACTGGCCACGCCCTCCTTAGCTTCATGGATGCTTACTCGGGGTACAACCAGATCTTCATGCACCCTGATGACCAAGCCTATACATCCTTCATAACCGACCGTGGCCTTTATTGCTAAAAGGTTATGCCCTTCGGCCTCAAGAACGCTAGGGCTACGTATCAACGTCTTGTGAAAAGCATCTTTGCCCCACTAATTGGTAACACCATGGAGGTTTATGTTGATGACATGCTAGTTAAAAGCTGCACTACTGCCCAGCACATCTCTAACCTATTTACTATGTTTGCCATCCTCAAGCAGTATAAAATGAGGCTCAACCCCATGAAGTGTGCCTTCGGCGTAACTTCAGGGAAATTCCTTGGCTTTATGATCAGCCAACGAGGTATTGAAGCTAACCCAGAAAAGATTAAGGCCATTTTAGACATGACAGTACCCAAGACGGTCAAGGACATCTAGAGCCTTACCAGATGCGTCGCAACCTTGACCAAGTTCATCTCCAAGGCCACCGATCACTACGGCCCTTTCTTCAAGACACTTAAGGGCAACAAACGAAACATCACCTGGACTGCCAAATGTGACAAGGCTTTCAGCGAGCTCAAGGAGTACATGAGTCAGGCTCCTTTATTATCAACCCCCGAGCCTGGGGACGTCCTCACCATATATCTCTCCATCTCGGCCACGGCGGTTAGCTCAGTGCTCATTCGACCACACGAAGGTGCTGAGCATCCGGTGCACTATGTTAGTAAAGGATTGCAAGATGCCGAGGTTTGGTACCCAGATATTGAGAAGCTGGCCTATGCTCTGGTGGTGTCAGCCAGACACCTCAGACCATGCTTCCAAGCGCATACCATCCATGTCTTAACTAACCAACCACTAAGGCAGGTATTGCATAAGCCAGAGACTTTTGGTAGGTTGGTTAAGTGGGCCATGGAACTTGGTGAATTTGATATCCACTACAAACCCCGCCCAACTACAAAGGGCCAGGCCGTTGCTGATTTTATATCAGAATTCACAGAACCCCAAACTTCGGTCGCTACCCAGATCATAACCAAACCCAATCTTCCTTCAAGCCAGGTCCACGTCGCCAGCAATGGCAACCTAGACCTGACCCAGCCCTTGTGGACCTTATATGTAGATGGCTTCTCCAATGCCCAGGGATGTAGAGCTGGCCTCGTCCTCATCTCCCCAGACAAGGTTGTCCTTGAGTACGCCATTCACTTCAAATTCCACGCCTTCAACAATGTGGCAGAATACGAAGCACTCCTAACTAGCCTTCGGCTAGCCAAGGAGATGGGCGCAAAGCAAATTTAGATATTCAGCGACTCACAGCTCTATGACAGCCTATCTCCAGCATACCCACCACTTGCTTGCAACTTTTGACACTTATCTCGTAAGCCATGTGCCACGTTCTGAGAACAGTCATGCTGATGCCTTGGCTAGGCTAGCCTCGTCCTTGGAGCAGGGCATAGGACGCAATATCCATGTCGAGTTCTTGGATCAACCCAGCACACAAGCACTACTCATCTGTACCATTGATCACAGCCCTACTTGGATGGACCCCATCATTCAGTTCTTGCAAAACCAAACACTACCTGCTGATTCTGCTAAGGCACGGCGTGTTTGCTATTGCTCCGCTCGATACCTGATCATAAATGGCACCCTATACAAGCGTGGCTTCAACCTCACCTACCTTCATTGTCCACCTCCAAAGGAAGGTGAGTATGTCCTCCGGGAGATTCATGAGGGCATCTGTTGCAATCACTCAAGCGCTCGCTCACTAGCGCATAAAGCCATTAGGCAAGGATACTTCTGGCCTTCACTTCACACCAATGCTCAGGCCTTCACTTAGAAGTGCGATAAGTGTCAGCGATTTACCAATATCACACAACTTCTAACTGAACCATTGACAGCCATGGTCAGTCCTTGGCCATTTGCCCAATGGGGAATTGACCTCATTAGACCTATGCCCCAGGGTAAGGGCCAGGTCAAGTATATAGTTGTAGCTGTGGACTACTTCACCAAGTGGGCTGAAGCTGAGGCTTTAGCTGCCATCACTACAGCTCGCATAGAGATGTTTTTCTGGCAGAATATCGTATGTCGCTTCGGCATCCCCCACACCATCGTCGCAGACAATGGTCGGCAATTTGATAGCGCAAAGTTCAAGTAATTTTGTTCCAACCTCAAGATACATCTTTGCTTCGCCTCCCTAGTCAATCCTCAGTCCAATGGCTAGGTCGAAGCTGTGAACAAAATCATCAAGAAAATCCTGAAGACCAAGCTTGACAAAGCCAAGGGTTGATGGCCAGAACTACTCCCAGAGGTTTTCTGGTCCTACCACACCACCTACTTCCACAGGAGAAACACCGTTCTCTCTCTCCTCCGGTACCGAAGCCGTGACACCAGTGGAGATTGGCCAGCCCACATACTGAACCTCCACTTATGATGCCGAAGCCAATGACGAGCAGTTAGCCCTGAACCTTGACTTCATTGACGAGCTTCGTGACCAATCCAACATGCGCAACGTCGTGTACAAACAGCGTATCGCCAAATACTATGACTCCCGAGTCAATCTCCGTGCTTTCAAGATTGGGGACTAAGTCATGCGTAAGGTTTCCTTGTCCACCAAGAACCCTACTGAAGGTACCTTGGGCCATACATGGGAAGCCCCTTATGAGATTACCAAAGTCTGTCACCCTGACACTTATCAGCTTCGTGATCCTAAGGGCAAGACTTTGCCTCATCCTTAGAACGCTGATCACCTCAAGTACTACTATAAGTAAATACACCTAGACCCTAGGACATTATGTTTTCTTAGACTTTGGTCTTGAGCCTTGCCTCAACCAACTTTTGTACCTTTTGCCTTTCGGTACCTATTTAATGAAACACCCGACTCTGGCTGATTCTCATAAATCACATGATTATTCTTTTGCTAGCACAACTGATATCAAAGGACAACAAGTCTAATATCATAGCAAATCAAAATAACCTTGCCCCCAAGCAAGGCAAAATGTTCATACATAGCATAAATAAACATCAAGTGTTCCAAACAAATAACTAGAGTACATAAGGAAGGCAACGCCTTCAAGACTCGGTAGATGGGGCATCCGCGGTGGCCGACTTTGACTCTGGTGCAATGGCAGTGGCATCAGCGGTAGGACTAGGTGAAGGAGGCTTGTCACTCATATTGAAGTTGATTTCAACCGAAGGGTTGAACCTCGCCAGTCTCTCCTCCCAACAAAGCTGCTCATCTACCAACTGGTCCATGATATAACTCTTCAGCTCCTCTGACGTTCGGAACGACTCGACTACTTCGACTCGGGCAACAGCTACCCTCCTCGGCCTTCGACCGTTTCAGCTCCTCCACCTCCTTGGCCAGTGCTGCCTTCTGCAACTGCAGGGTGGTCCTCTCTCGAATGGCCTCTTGCGCCTCCACCATCTTCCTCTTGGTCATCTCATTGCGCCTCTTTAGCCTCTAAATCTCCTTATCTACCTTAACCATGTTGACATGCATCTCGCCAAAGGCCTGCAAAAGAAAGCATCATCAGTGAGCAAACCACAATGATAAGAACAAATTCACAAACATAGATAACTTCCATATGCAGAAGTAAGGATCGTGTTCTAGGCACAATCAGCAAAGGAAGAAGCCTGAGTCCTCACCAGAGCCTCCTGCCAATGCATGGCCAGGTTCACCTCCTTCTTCTGACGACGTAGCTTGGAGAAGTCCACCTTCTCCACCCCCTCAGCAAAAACATCCTCAATACCGAAGGGGAGCTTTGGCGGTCCTTGTAGATCAAAAGGAGGAAGCCTCGGCCCCATCCCCATCACACTCTGGCGAGCTTCCTCCAGCGCTTTCCTCTTCCCCAAGATGTCGACAACTCGCCCCTCGTCGTCATCTCTAAGGCGCTTCCCAGTTGCTTGCTAAACCCTACAACCAAACTATGTTGCCAATCCCCAGCAACGGCGCCAAAAACTAGTTGTCGTCAGATCAGCTTCACAAAAATGGATTTAGCTGCATCCTCAACTTGTGATACTCACAAATGCACGAGCCGTTTGGTAGTATAGCATATGTAAGTGCAAGGTCGATCCCATGAGGATTGATGATAGATTGATCCAATTCAATTTCCCTACACAAAACAAAAAACAAGAAAGGAAAGAACATAAAATAAGAAAGAAAGAAAAAACTAACTAACTCAAGCAAATAAGTTCCCTAGTTCAATTTAGATTAACGGATTGATTCTAGCTAAAGTATGATTAAGCCATGGTGTCTGTCCTAACATGGTATTCCTAATTCCTTAATTTTATCATATGTTGTCTAACCTAAATTAAGCATTAGGAATCCATTAAGCATAGAAGAACATTTTAAACAACCAAGTATGTATCTAATCCTTGTTGTTGAATGTCCATACATACTCTTCCCATTCATAGTTCAATTCGAATTAAAGCATGGTGTCTACTTGTTTGGACCTAAAAATTGACACACCCAGCCCAGCGAAAGAGGCCTAGAATAAGGCTACAAAAAATCAAAGCAATTTGGTCTTCAGAAAACAAGAAGATGGAAGCCCAAAATCCAGAAGAGCCCAGCCCAAAGCTTATCAAAGCGAACAAAACTAACCTGGGCCTCACAGGCCCGTTGTGATAAAAAGGGGAGAGCCCAGAAACAAGAAACAAACCCACGTGACATCTCTGGGATAAAAGAAAGTCAACATTGGCAACTGTCATAGAAGAAGTGATTGAAAAATTTATGTCATCAAGCTGTTCTGAGAACCCTGAAAAATCTGAAGATCAAAATCCCTCTTACATATATATTCAGAGATTTTTTCTTCTATTCTACAGAGAAGGTAATTCTCCCAAAGAGATAAGCAAGCTACAATCTCAGAGAAAGATAAGCAGGAAAGCAGGGAGCTGTCCAGAAAAGAAATCAAACTAACCATCACAGATGAAATCTCACAAGGGGCAGTTAAAATTGGAAAAGAGATTAGGTTATTTTTCAAGAAAAACAGGGAAGTGATTGCCTATTTAAGAGCCTATCTGCCAAACTGATGAAATCCTATTTCCTTTCTTTCCATTAAAAAAGAAAAAAAGGAGAGATATCTTTTGAAAAGATTTGCCGCCCATTATTAAACAGAATCACCCTACTCCAGAAAAACATTTTTACTATAAATACAAGAAGGAGTGAACAGGGCAAAGGACAACAAAAAATTCAACATCCAATCAAAACAAAAATCATCCCCAAGAAAACCATCAGTCAAATAGACAACTCAAAAAATCAATCAAAAAGCCCACTTGAATTTCAAGGGAAACCAGCTTCAGATCAGAATTCCCAAGGCTCAGACTTAGAAAATGAGTCATTCAAAACGAGATTTCTCTCGTTACAAATTTGGTTCAGCAAAAAACCAAGACAGGTAGAGCTTGAGCTTTCTCCAAACTTGGAAAACCTCAACAAAATTCACAGTGCAGTCTCTAGCCCACTAAAGCCCTCAAAAACAGTCACTTCTGCCCGTGCAGACTGAGGAAACCGCAGTTCTGCCCACTCAAAAGCTTCACAAAAGTTTGAGGTACATTGAAGCTCTGCCAGAATCAACCTTTGGTATCGATTTACAGTTAAAGCTTAGCAGTTAAAGTTGTCAACGGTCCAGTCCAGCTCGGATCAGAACCTTCCATCCCGATAGAAATGGAGTTCCAGCTGTCTCTCCATCTCTCTCTAACATGAGCATTTATTGTTATATTTTTGTAAAAGGCGGTTCTGCCTAAAAACAGTTTAAATCCCATCAACCATCCTGGCCAGAACAACCTCTTTATACTAAGATAATTGTTAAAGTCCTCTATAGTCTGAGGCAAGAAAAGAACTTACTTGGGAGATATTCCTCACCCAAATTCACAATCGCTTGTTTGCAGAAATCAGTAACTTGGGGCGTAAGTTATCCATTCCAAACTAAGTTTGCTAGAATTTTTATTACTAGCAGTGGCACGCTCGCACACCAAAGAAAGCTGACTTGTTGACCAATCTATGGTTCTCAAGGCAGTGGGGAACTTTGCCCTTCCATCATAGGAGTAAACGCAAAACGGGTGAACAATTTGGCACGCCCAGTGGGACTTCTCAGTATACATATTCTCATAGAGTTCTCCTCAAGTTCATGAATACTGGAAGCTCTAGCCAGAACCCACACCACGACATGGAGATAAACCAAGTGGCTCTCAGGGAAGGACTGGAGTCAGAAGAGAGTGATGCCCGGCACTCAGCACATGGCAGCACATGGAGCAGAAGGTCCAGGACCGGCTCCAGAAGGATGAACCTGATACAGGAATCTGTGTTACGACAAGAGGTCACAACACAACGGAGCCAGGATACTCTAAATAATATGACAGCCATGATGCAATGACAGGTCAACAGGCAATTCAAGAAGGACCGTGAGGCTGCCATGGCTAGAATTCCCAATCCAGATGAGGTAGTCCAGCAACTAGACCTTCCCTATGGTCCCCCACCAGGATTGGCATGGCCATAGCAAGAGAATCCTCTTATTGCACAGATAGCTGGAATGCCAGAACGAGGGGAAATCCAGGCTGGGCAGAGGGAATGAGCTCTTCCTATCCAAGAACGTCAGGCCCCAATGCGGCCAGAAGGCCCTGCGCCAGGACAAGTTCAGCAGAATCAACCAGAGCCTCAGCCTGCTCCACAACAAGCTGCCCCACATGATCACCCTATGGCAATTCTGCCTGAACAGCCAGCAGTATTACCCTACAGGCCCAGAAGGATGGATCCCAATCCATTCCCCCCACCTGCAAGAGGAAGGAGAGGCTGAGGGGGGAAACTACCCTTATGCTAACAATGACAGGAACAGGCTGGGGGCAAACTAGAGGAACCACCCAGGTCTGGAAGAACAGGAGGAACACAGGGAAGAAGTTCTGCCTAGGCCATATAGGGCAGAACCTAGAATTAATTATGCCCAGCCAGAACAGGGGCAAAATCTCCTCCCTGTTAATGCTTTAAATCTCCTCCCTTGTCCCCAGGTTTCAAAGTGCCGAACTTCACTTTATTCAACGGAGAGGATCCCCATGCTTCATCAGTCGAGCACATAGGCAGATTTTCGGGAATTCTCTCTCAGGACAATGCATAGCCATAGAGAATAACCCACTATTAAAGCTAAGGCTTTTCGGGAATTCTCTCTCTGGACAAGCTTTCACTTGGTACACCAATCTGCCAGCAAACTCCATTCAAACTTTGGAACAAATGGAGAGTGTCTTCCATGACTACTATTATAGGATTCAGCCAGAAGTCACAATCAGTGACCTTGCCGCCCTCAAACAGAGTGAAGATGAACCTGCCCAAGACTTTATAAACAGATTCAGGAAGCTCAAAATGAAGTGCCGAATCCCCATGGAAGAAAGACACTTCATCCAAATGGCTCAGGCTGCCCTCAAGATTTCTCTGAGAAAAAGATTTCATGGGATGCTGTTTGGAGATCTGGCAGAACTGGCAGATAAAGCATCCAAGTAGGAGGAACTGCTCAGGGAGGAACAGCAGAAGAGAAACTCTTCCAAAGGCACATATTACAAATCCCCTTCTTCTTCAATACATATGATTGAAGTAGAGTAAGAAGAAGATACAGAAGGATCGGAAGAGAGAGAGGTTGCAGTTGCAGAAATGGCAAAATTAAAGCATCCCATCAGTTGTAAAACTCTTACAAAGCCTCCAAGAGATCAGAAGCCGCCACCATTCACAGGAGGGTTTGTTCCAAACAAACCAACGCAGAACAAGGTGTATTCCTTTGATCTGACCAATGACCAATGTGGATGCCTTGTTTGATGAAATGTTGCTGCAGAAAGCAATAGAGACACCCCACAGAATGCCCAAACCAGAAGAACTCAAGGGCAGACAGTATTGCAGATGGCACAATTCTGGGAATCATTGTACCAATAGTTGTGTTGTTTTCAGAGATGTCATACAGGAAGGGATAATAGCAGGAAGGCTAAAGCTGGCAGAAAAACCTCCATCTGTCACCACAGACCCTTTTCCCCCGCCACAAGTTAACATGGTCAACCTAAATTGGCCAGAACAGAAGAGGGGCAGACCAGCTATAGAGGCTAGCTCCAGTAGAAGCAGAATAGTTTCAAAAGAGACTATAGAGAGACCAAAAGCAACCATTTCAGCTGGGGTAGTGCTCTGCAGCAGGTGCAAGTGTAAGGCTGAGCTGGAAGTGGTCCTGGACAAACAGGAACTGCCCACTCCAAGTGTTTTTGACCGGATTGGGACCACGTCCCATGATAGAGCCAAACAGAGAAACTACCCCAGGCCTGTCCAACCCAGCAAAAGAATGACTAAGCAGCCCAAGGAGGAAATATCAATAAAAATGCCCGGAAGTGAAAAACCACTAGCAGCCATCATTGAAGGCAGGTGGTGTTCTGTCGAGAAGAATGGCAAACCAACAATGGAGTTAACAAGAACTCAACGGAGGAGGGTTCAGAGACAGTACTGCACATTCCTCAATAACAAGAACAATGCATAGGTACTTCCAGAGACCAATTCTGCCAAGAAAGGGAAAGAGCCAGAAGTACTTCCCCAGACAGAACAAGCAATCTCTCATCCACAGAGGTTGACGAAAGCAGAATCTTCAAGGAAACCTTCTATCCATCCTACCTCCACCTCAGGAAATCTACTTAAAACTCCACAACCAGAGGAAAAAAACCGATCCTATTCCAGAAGAAGGGCAAGAGGACTGGACTGAGGAGTATGAAGAGGAGCAGCTGGATTATGAGCCATCTGCAGATGACCAGAATGTGCTCCTCGGAATGGAAGAACAGGGAGAATGGACAGAGGAATACGGTGGAGAACAGATGGATTATGACGAAGGATTGGATGCAGAAACTGAGGCATTTGGTGCAGAATTGGAGGACTTGTTACGAGGTGACCTAGGCATCAATATGGTGTTCATTCTGCTAGAAAAGTTCTGGGCCGCAGAGGGACAGGAAAGCACTCTGGACGGAGATGTATTTTCCCATGAGAGTTTTGAATGCAGGTTGGCAGAAGCAGAAGAGATGCCAGAGCAGCAAGCAGGCAATCCCAGGACAGAAGGAACTGCCAACAAACTAGCTGCAGACCAGCTTTGCTTCTCCAAACCAACCAAAGAAATGGCAAACCACCTCAGACCCTTGTTTATAACAGCAAACTTCGGGGGTGTTCCTATCCCCAAAATTATGGTAGATGGAGGTGCAGCCATCAACCTTCTGCCTCACAGAATGCTGAGCAAAATGGGCAGAATAGAAGCGGATTTAATTCCAACCCGCTTGACCGTCACCAATTTCGCAGGGGACATCATCAAAACCCTTGGGATCCTGGATGTGGATGTTATAGTAGGAAGCAAGAAGCTGAAGATTGCATTCTTTGTGGTAGATACTACTTCTACCACTTACAATGCACTGCTTGGGAGAGACTGGATTCATCAGAGTCTATGTGTTCCTTCCACTCTTCATCAACAGTTAGCTTTATGGAATGAAGAAGGCTACATGGAGATAGTAAAGGCCGATCCACGGCTATTTCTACCTTCTGCCATGTGTTGTGAGGCAAGGTACTATCATGATGACCTTGGTCCTTTCACCTTCTTTGGAGTCAACCAGAACGGTCGCCCCCATGGTGTCACGGCCCAGAGGCTCATTGAAGAAGGTCTAACCAACTCTTTGGAGGACTGTAACAGACCTTTTGTTCTAAACTTCCGGAACTCTGATGTTTAGTCCCAATCAACGGGAGAAGGATCGAGCTGCAACAATCCGATCCATTACAAAAAGATTGTTGATATACTGGGAGGAAAGAAAGCTTTTTGCGTAGAATCCAGCCATCAATATGGCAGAATTCACTCATGAAAGCACAGAAGACCAGGAGGAAGAGGAACTACAGGAGGAAGTGTTAGATTTTGCACCAGCTGCACTGGATGACTCTCTGCCAGAAGTGGAAGATCCTTTACAGGAAATAAACTTAGGGACAGGGGAGAATCCAAGGCCTACCTTTATCAGCGCACTATTGAAAGAACCACTTAAGAATGAACTCATTGCACTTCTACAAAAGTTCAGAGATTGTTTTGCTTGGCATTATCATGAGATGCCAGGATTAGATAGGGAATTGGTAGAACACAGGCTGCCAATCAAAGAGGGATACCTTTCAGTCAAACAGGCCAGAAGAAGGATGTCCATGGACACAGAACTGAAAGTCAAGGAAGAAATAGAAAGGTTGCTTAAGGTAGGATTCATCAGGCCAGCCATCTATGCTGATTGGCTAGCTAATATTGTACCAGTTCTGAAAAGAAAAACCGGGGCAGTCAGAATTTGTGTGGATTACAGAAATCTGAATGACGCCTCTCCCAAGGATGAGTACCTTATGCCAATGGCAGACATGCTAGTAGATGGAGCTGCCCACAACCAGATGCTATCTTTTATGGATGGCAACGCAGGTTACAATCAGATCATGATGGCAGAAGAAGACATCCACAAAACAGCCTTCATGTGTCCAGGACATATAGGTGCTTTTGAATACACTGTAATGCCTTTTGGCTTAAGAAATGCAGGGGCTACTTATCAAAGGGCAATTAATTCTGTTTTCCATGATATGATAGGGCATTCCTTGGAAGTTTATATTAATGATGTGGTGATTAAATCACCAGATGAGGTAAACCACATGACAAATCTAAGAAGAGCATTCCTAAGAATGAGGTAACATAAACTGAAAATGAACCCAAAGAAGTGCGTTTTTGGAGTTTAAGCGGGAAATTTCCTAGGATTCTTGGTCCACCAAAGAGGCATAGAGATCGACAAAAACAAAGCAAAATCCATCATAGAAGCTTTGCCGCCTAGGAACAAGAAAGAATTGCAGAGTCTCTTAGGAAAAATTAATTTTTTAAGGAGATTTATATCCAATTCTGCAAGAAAGATCCAGCCTTTCTCTTATTTGTTAAGATTGAAACAGGAACAAACCTTTAAGTGGGAAGAACAGCACCAACAAGCTTTTGAGGAAATCAAGCATTACCTCTCAAATCCACTAGTTCTGTCCCCACCAAAGAGGGGCAGACCACTCAAGTTCTATGTATCTGCATCAGAAGTATCCATTGGGAGTTTATTGGTTCAAGATAACAAGGAAGGGAAGGAACATGCAGTCTACTACCTGAGCAGAACTCTGACAGAGGTGGAAAGAAAATATTCTGCAATTGAAAGACTTTGCCTAGCCTTGTACTTCACTGCTGTGAAGCTCAGACATTACATGCTGCCATACACCATCTACATCATTGCCAAAACAGATCTGATCAAATACATGCTAACAAGACCAATGCTGAGAGGCAGAATTGGAAAATGGACCTTGGCCTTGACAGAATTTGCCTTCAGATATGTTCCTCAGAAAGCCGTCAAAGGACAAGCTGTGGCAGACTTCCTAGCAGATCATCCCGGGGAGGAGATTGAAAACATGGACTCTTTAGACATAGCAAATGCAGATCTATTAACCAGAGCTCACATCTGCCTCAACAATCCTATCTATTCAGTTCATCTTGCACCTTGGAAGTTATACTTTGATGGATCAAAAACTGATATAGCTTCTGGGGCAGGAATTGTTTTGGAAGAACCACTTGGAATCAGACACTGTTACTCTTTCCAATTGGATTTCCAGTGCACCAACAACAAGGCAGAATATGAGGCTTTAATCATTGGCTTGGAAATGCTGGTAGAACTAGGAATCCAATCTGTGGAAATTTTGGGAGATTCCATGCTAGTTTTAAAACAAATTGCTGGGGAATACAAGTGCCTAAGTCCTTCTCTAGCCGTCTACTTGGTGGCAGCCAGGAATCTTCTGACAGAATTCAAAGAAGCCACTTGGGAACATATCCCAAGGGAAGAAAATTTTGCAGCCAATGAATTGGCTCAGGTGGCAACAAGCATACAAATGCCCGAAGATTGTGTACAAAGAATCATCAGGATAGGGAAGAAAAGCCTACCATCTGTTCTGACCAGGGGGATGGAAATAGATGTCAATTCTGCCACAATCACTGAAGATTATTGGAGAAATCCTATCATGACTTACTTACGATATCCAACTCTGCCCTCTGAAAAGAGAGTCAGAATCATGGCTTTAAACTACCTTATGTGGAACGAAGATTTGGTCCGAAAGAGTAAGGATGAGGTGCTTTTAAGGTGCCTCGGAAAGAAAGAATACATGAAAGTCATGGGAGAAACCCATGAAGGAATCTGTGGAGCACATCAAGGTGGGAGAAAAATGTGCCGGTTAATTAGAAGATATGGCTACTTCTGGCCAACCATGATGAAAGATTGCATTAACTATTCCAAGGGGTGTGAATCTTGTCAAAGACACGGCCCAATCCAGCAGGCTCCTTCAATTCCCATGAATCCAGTGGTAAAACCATGGCCCTTTAGAGGATGGGCAATGGATCTCATTGGCAAGATCTATCCAACCAGCACCCAGCAGCACTGCTTTATCATTGTTGCCACAGACTATTTCACTAAGTGGGTAGAAGCCAAGCCTATTAAAACCACTACAGCTCAAGAGATCATCATTTTCATAGAAGAACAGATTATACAAAGATTTGGCATCCCAAAATCAATCACAACTGATAGAGGATCTTCTTTCATATCCGGAGAAATGCTGGACATGGCAAAGGCATTCAAATTCAGACTGCTCCAGCCCATTCCTTATTATGCCCAAGCCAATGGGCAGGCGGAATCAACCAACAAAGTGGTCATCAACATTATCAGAAAAATGCTTGAGAAGAATCCAAAACAGTGGCATGAGAAGTTGTCAGAAACTCTGTGGGCATATAGAACTTCAAAAAGAGAAGCAACTGGCATGACTCCCTATGCATTAACCTACGGTCATGATGCAATTCTGCCTATGGAGATAGCTGTTCAGTCCCTCAGAATTGCTCAACAACATAACTTAGTAGGAGAAAACTACTCCCAAGCCATGCTGCTGGAACTAGAAGGATTGGATGCAAGCAGAATTGACACTCTCAACAAACTCCTGGCAGGAAAGCAAGCTGTATCAAGGGCTTACAACAAAAGAGTCAAGAACAAGAGTTTTGAAGAGGGAGAGATAGTCTGGAAAGCAGTTCTGCCCCTTGGAACACATCTGGCTGGTTATGGAAAGTGGTCACCTACATGGGAAGGCCCTTTCATAATCAATCAGATTCTTGGAATGGGGGCATACAGGTTGCAGGATAGGGATGGAGAAATTCATACTGCCCCAATCAATGGCAAATGGTTAAAAAAGTTTTATCCAACCATGTGGGATTCACAGGCTGTACAAACAGATCTTGGGATAGAGACGGGACTACACTAAAAACTTTTGTTTCCGTTTAAAGTTATCTTTGTTCTAAAGTTATTTTAAGTTTGTTCTTTTTGTACTTCTACTTCTGATTCTGTTTATTTCATAAATAGAAATTAAAAACTAGAATTGCAACAAAAATAAACTTTTTTTAAAATAAATAAGCCGTGGGGCCTTCCCCATGGCAAATTGTTCATCAAAAAGCAAAAATAAGAAAGCATAAATAAATAACAAAATCAAAATCCTAATTTTCTGAGAGTCTCTTGCAGATTGGTCTTCTTGATAGAAAGTTCTTTTTGGAGCAGCACTCCCTGATGAATTGAAGCCTCTGCAATCTCCAGGGCTGGCCTAGAAGCTGCAACCATGTTCTGCACAAGGAAAGTGGCCTTAGTCTTGGAGCTCAATCCAGCCCCGAGCTTGTGCTGCACTTCCCGGCGCTCTGCCAGTTGCTTTTGAATCTCTGCAATCTGTTTCTCCAGTTTGTTCGCAGTGGCTTTGGCTTCTTTATACCCCACCACCATCTGGTCCAGTTCTGTCTTCTGTTTTGCAAAATCAGCCAAGTTGGCTTCATGAGTGGCCTTGCAGAACTCAGAGGTTTTGAAGGTGGGCTTCAGATCCTCATAACGGTCGTGAAGGTTGAGCACATCCCTTGCCAAGACAAGGCTCATCTCAAGTATAGGTTTTGGGGCCATGTTCTGTCTGTGCAGTAGGTCCAGATCCTTCATCAGCTGGTCAAAGGCCTCCCTGTCCTCATCCAGCTCCACTTCAGTAAACTGCCAGATCTTCAGTCTCTCCATTGCCTCTTCCACTGCCTTGGACTTTATCTTGCCTACAGGGGAGCTGAGCTTTTCCAACTTGTCCAGCTGGGCAGCTAGGTCCATGGCTTCGAATTCTGCCAGCTCCGGATCAGCAAAAGAGGCCGTGGCAGATGAACCTACAAGGAAATGAATAGGCATATGTAGAAGGAAGCATAAGTCAGAACTAGGCAGAAATAGAAAAGAAGAAGACAAAAATACAATAACACTTACAGCAACAATCGGAGGTTGCAAGGAGGTGGTCCTCACTGCCAAGGTCCCAACAGTTTTTGGTATTTCTACCTGTAAAGATTTGATGGTTAGGGAGACAAAAGAACAGGACAAAACTACATAAGACAGGAGAAGACAGAGTAAGGACAGAACTCACCATAAAGCTAGGAACGGCAGCAGCCACTTTCACTACGGTTTCAGGAGCAGCAACCACTTGTTCTGCCTGCTCCACAGGCTCTGATCCAGATTGCTCCGCCTGATCCTCAGCTGCTGGAACAACATTAGAATGTTCTGCCTCTGGATCATCAAACAGGGCCAACTCTGAGTTAGTTAGCTCTGCCCCTATATCTTCCTGCTGCTTCCGAGCCAAGGCAATCCTCTCCGCTATTACCTCAGCAGGAATTTCCTCCTACGAATGCACAGAAGTCAGAATAGAAGAAATAAAAGGGCAGCAGAAACAAATACTGCCAAATAAATAAGACTCACCTCTTCTTCCACTGTCTTGGCCTTCTCTTGAGGCCCCTCTCCTACTTCTTCTAGCTCTTCCAGCTCCTTCTCCTGCTCCACAGCTTCGAAAGCCTCTCTCAGATTGTCATCCGTGCCAGAAGTGGTGGTAGGAACTGCCCTAGTTCCCTCCGGGGCCACATATTCTTCTACAGTCTTCTTTCTAAGTCTTTTTGACTTAGTAGGGGGAGGAAAGGGACTCCCAGCTGCAATGAACAGAAAATAAGCCTTAAGAATTATGGCATAACAGAATTAGAAGAACTCAAAAAGAAACTGTCAAAATATACCTGGAGTCACAAGTTGGGCAATTTCTTTTCTTTTTCTTCTAATAGGAGAAGTGGCCTCGACAGGAGTCTGTTCTACCTGATCTTCTTCCTCTTCTTCTTCTTCCTCTTCTCCATCCCTGGAGGGCAGCTCCAAATCCCCAGCAGCAATAACAGAATTAACTGTGCAGAAAACAAAAGTCAAGGATCAATCCAGCAAAGAAATGATAGGAGAAGCTGAATAAACATGAAAACTTACCAAACACCTCTCCGCTCTGGGCAGGTTGGCTACCAATATTCTTTGTCAAAGAAGGATCTGATTACAGACAGAATAAAAGATTAGCATCATCACTAAAGACAGAATGGGCAACGACAGACAGAATTGAGAAATTACCTTCTATAACTTGCAGATTAATGTCTTTGATGGTCTGCACCATGAATTTATGAGTCTCCTCGTCTGTGTGGACAGTCCAGTTGTCCCAACCCTTAAAAAGAACCTGAAGTGCGGTACTAGAAGCAGGCAGATCACGAAATCTGGCCTTCCACCAAGCATCAAACTCCGCAGAACTGCAGGAATTCAGTTCCCATGAAGGATAAAGGGCATCGGCACTATTGTTAATCTTATTTACTGCGCACCTGGCATCTTTGTGGACCTCTAAGTCATCTGCATCCCTCCAAGAAGAGCCTCGATTGCAGCTTTTGTATGACTTGAGGGGTATAAGCTGAGGACAGCCAAGCTGCCTTGCACAGACGTTGGGATGGTAAACTTCTGCCCCCAAATGATAATTTGGAGGCTTTCCACCTCCATGAGGCAGATCTCTGGGCAAGGTCACACTCAGGAACTTCTTCCTGAAATCAGTTTTGGCAGATTCTTCTTCTGGCTCCTTCTCAAACAAACGGTATCCAGGTTGAAACCAAGGATAGGTTCTCCTGATCACCACTTGCCACTGCGCTGCAGACCTCTTGGTACAATGTCTGAAGAACATCAGGTACTCATCAATCGACCTCTTGGGGACTTCTGCCGACAACAGTGGCTAAGCCAGAACCTGATCCTCAGGCAGAACTATGTCTGGAAACCTCAATTTAGAAAAATAGACCTGCAGCCAGATCTGAATCATCCAGAATGCACCAGGGGCAGACAAATTTAGCGGATACTCCAGGGTGGCAGTGTGCAGGTTCTTGAATAGATGACCCAGAACTGTAGGCCCGAGTCCAACATCAGTGTGATTATGCAAAGCTTCTGCCAAATGTCTATACTCAAGCAGAACTACAGAAGAGTGGTTGGGCAGAATAAACATGTTCAGCCAATACAGAAGGAACAGCATATGTTGCTGGTCCTTGTCCTTCTCAGCACTGAATTTTCTGAGATAATTGGAGAAGGAGCAATTCTAGTTGATCAGGGCTGGAGAGATGTTGAATGGCTTGGCTAGCTTCTGCTGGTTTTTCTTCCTGTGATAATCACCAATAGCATCAACAGGTCTTCCATGAGGCCTAAACCCGAAAATCTGAGCCATGTCCAGCAGAGTTGGAGCCATGGGGCCTATGCGAAAGTCAAAAGTGTTACTGGCAGAATTCCAGAAACACAGAGCAGCAGCAAGTAGGCTCTCATCTGTGTTGATGGATTGCCTGGACAGAAGTATGGCGTCTTAAATTCCAACCCATTTCCAGTGAGCCCCAAATCGGGGAAGAAGCCTGTCAAACCAGTCTGCCCACTTGACTGGACTGTTTCTCACTTCACTGGATGGGAACAAACGGCTCAAATTCTTGCTAACCCAAGAATGAGAAGCCAGGGCAGAAGAACTTTCGAAACATAGAGGGGCCTCAGCATCCTTCTTCATCAGCTCTACCATCTTGGGAGGAACGGGACCAAACCAGTGAGGCCCCAGCACCAAGGTATTTTCAAACAAATGGAGGACATTTTCGTCTAGGTTTTTCTGGGCAAAAGGATGGAGCTTGCTCCTAACCTCTATTGCATGCTTATCAATCCCAGCCCCAGTAATGTAATCTGGAGGAACTGGAACAGAGGAAGATTGAGCACGGGATTTCGAGGAAGACATTTCTCAGAATTGTTTTTCTAAGAGGAAGGTTGACAGGAAGGGCAAGACAGGTTCTAGCAAAAGGGAGTTATCGAAAGAAAGCTCAAGAGAGATGAAGTCTGAAAGTACTAGGTTTTCGGGTGAACAGGAACAGTGGGTTTTTGAAATTCTTTTAAAGAAGCCAGAAAACGTGGGAAAGAGAAGACAGCGACGTGGAGAAGACAAGGCGTCATCTGATATTGACTAGCTAATAAAGAGCTAGTAACTGAAGCTATTTCACACGGGCACTAGCTTAATGGGGAAACGTGGCAGACGTGGGATAACGGAAGAATTTACCACTCACCAATTTAATGGCCATGTCATTTAAGTCTGAAACCGTTCCAAAAACGATTCAGACTTAAGGGGGCATTGTTTGGGCCTACAAATTGACACACCCAGCCCAGCGAAAGAGGCCCAGAATAAGGCTACAAAATATCAAAGCAATTTGGTCTTCAGAAAACAGGAAGATGGAAGCCCAAAATCCAGAAGAGCCCAGCCCAAAGCTTATCAAAGCGAACAAAACTAACCTGGGCCTCACAGGCCCGTTGTGATAAAAAAGGGGGGAGCCCAGAAACAAGAAACAAACCCACGTGACATCTCTGGGATAAAAGAAAGTCAACATTGGCAACTGTCATAGAAGAAGTGATTGAAAAATTTATGTCATCAAGCTGTTTTGAGAACCCTGAAAAATCTGAAGATCAAAATCCCTCTTACATATATATTCAGAGATTTTTTCTTCTATTCTACAGAGAAGGTAATTCTCCCAAAGAGATAAGCAAGCTACAATCTCAGAGAAAGATAAGCAGGAAAGCAGGGAGCTGTCCAGAAAAGAAATCAAACTAACCATCACGGATGAAATCTCACAAGGGGCAGTTAAAATTGGAAAAAGAGATTAGGTTATTTTTCAAGAAAAACAGGGAAGTGATTGCCTATTTAAGAGCCTATCTGCCAAACTGATGAAATCCTATTTCCTTTCTTTCCATTAAAAAAGAAAAAAAGGAGAGATATCTTTTGAAAAGATTTGCCGCCCATTATTAAACAGAATCACCCTACTCCAGAAAAACATTTTTACTATAAATACAAGAAGGAGTGAACAGGGCAAAGGACAACAAAAAATTCAACATCCAATCAAAACAAAAATCTTACCCAAGAAAACCATCAGTCAAATACACAACTCAAAAAATCAATCAAAAAGCCCACTTGAATTTCAAGTGAAACCAGCTTCAGATCAGAATTCCCAAGGCTCAGACTTAGAAAATGAGTCATTCAAAACGAGATTTCTCTCGTTACAAATTTGGTTCAGCAAAAAACCAAGATAGGTAGAGCTTGAGCTTTCTCCAAACTTGGAAAACCTCAACAAAATTCATAGTGCAATCTCTAGCCCACTGAAGCCCTCAAAAACAGTCACTTCTGCCCGTGCAGACTGAGGAAACCGCAGTTCTGCCCACTCAAAAGCTTCACAAAAGTTTGAGGTACATTGAAGCTCTGCCAGAATCAACCTTTGGTATCGATTTACAGTTAAAGCTTAGCAGTCAAAGTTGTCAACGGTCCAGTCCAGCCTGGGCATTTCCAGTCCAGCCCGGATCAGAACCTTCCATCCCGATAGAAATGGAGTTCCAGCTGTCTCTCCATCTCTCTCTAACATGAGCATTTATTGTTATATTTTTGTAAAAGGCGGTTCTGCCTAAAAACAGTTTAAATCCCATCAACCATCCTGGCCAGAACAACCTCTTTATACTGAGATAAATTGTTAAAGTCCTCACCAATCTGAGGCAAGAAAAGAACTTACTTGGGAGATATTCCTCACCCAAATTCACAATCGCTTGTTTGCAGAAATCAGTAACTTGGGGCGCAAGTTATCCATTCCAAACTAAGTCTGCTAGAATTTTTATTACTAGCAGTGGCACACTCGCACACCAAAGAAAGCTGACTTGTTGACCAGTCTATGGTTCTCAAGGCAGTGGGGAACTTTGCCCTTCTATCATAGGAGTAAACGCAAAACGGGTGAACACTACTTTTAATTCAAACTAAGATAGCTAACATGCAAGCCTTAATGGTGATCAATAATTCAAACTAGCATATTAACTTATAAGCATAATGAATAAGAACAAAAATCATAATTGAAACTTGGAAACTAAGAAAAGAATTTACATTACAAAGAAAAATAAATTACAACTAAGATTGGGGAGGAAGATTGGAATTAGAGATTGATAGAAAAGCCAGGATATGGGCTCGTGTGGGTAGGAAACAAAAAATATCTATTCTAGTTCTATCATCAGCTATGGGTTCAAATCTAAGAGAAATTCTAGAGAATGTTTGCTACCCTGAGATTTTCTTGTCTTTCCTGAAAGCAAAAGAAAAACTAGAAAGGAAAACTAAGAGATCTTGAGGGAGAGAAGGGAGGGGAGCGCTAGAGACGTGTTTGAGAGCTCCCCTCCCTTTTTTTTCCCTTCTCTTTTTCGCTTGAGTTTCTTTTTTTCACCAATCTATTATTTTCCAGATCCCTCTATCTCATCCCTAACCCCAAAAGCTCTCTCTCTCTCTCTCTCTCTCTCTCTCTACCTCAAATTCTCTGGCCCTTTCTAACCCAAACCCTCTCACGCCTACACTCTTTGAGGCTCCCTGTCTCGCACTCTTATTTTTTCAAGATTTTAGCCTGAAAATTCAATCTGAAAACTGATGGTCCTTCATTCCCAAACACTCTTAAGGTAAACCACCACCCACCCCCCCCCCCCCCCCCTCTCTCTCTCTCTCTCTCTCTCTCTCTCTCTCTCTCTCTCTCTCTCTCTCTCTCTCTCTTATATTTTCAAACAATGCTTAACTTAAATTTTGCCGAAATCTGGGTTTCGTTTGTCTCCATCTCCTATTCCAAAAACCCTCTCATACTTGCACTCTTAAGGTAAACCCTCTCCACTCTTATATTTAATTTAATTGGAGAGCAAGTGGGTGTGCAAACCGACAACATAAAAGTATGAAATGGGTCATCTTCTTCTTGGGTGGTAGTAGATTCTTTGTCTGCCTTGCATCTTAAACCATTCCTTCTTTATATGCTAGCTTTTTTTAATTGAATGAATTAGATCTAACAAGCACCCATTTCCTCATCTCCTTCCACTTCATTCGGTTGAGGTTCTGTTTCTCTGTTTTATTTTTTATTTTTGTGCAATTCAATTGGTGGGGGGTGCTTATATTATTGGGTGGTTTTTCAGTTAAGTGTTCGAATTGGTTGTGCTTTCCTTTATTATTATTATTCAAAATTTTAGGTTGTACATTATAAGACAAAATTGTTTTTAAGATGGTTTTCTAATCTGACATTTTTGAGCTGAGATATTCACTCAACAGTTTATGTTAAACACTAGGGACCAATGTTCAAGCACTCTGTTTAATCCTTAAGAGCAGCAGGTAAGTGTGTGTTGACTGCTTAAGGCTTAATAAAAAAGCCAACACTAATAGAATGTGCTAGTTTGTTTTTAACCAATTCGAGATGGATATATCAATAAATATGGTGTTGGTGCTGCGAGCACTTGGAATTAATGTAATGTTGTCTCAGGTTGTCAGTCTTTGTGGTTTTATGCAAATCTACGCTTGTGACTTGTGCAAATTTGCTACTTTGACAGTGATGATTGAAATGGGAGATATATTCAATTTTAAGGTATGTGATAGGTATGCTTGTGACTGATGCAAATTTACAATATTACACTTGAGTATAGGCCTGGAAGGATTGCACTAAACTTTTTAATCCCAAAATTTGGTATGTTAAAACATTTCTCTACCTGCAGTGCCATCTAGTTTGTATCTATGTATTTTAGATAAAGTAAATAATTATCTTCAAATTCCTACACCCGTGTGTACTAGAGTAGGTGGGAAATTAGTTTGTGTGAAATTAGAGGCAGAGGCATGGGCGTGATTTGGAAAAGGGAGTTAAGGTTGTGATTGATTACAAAATGATGGCAATCTAGTAATCACAGTGATGATTATAGTGATTTAGATTGATAAGGTAGTGTTTAGTGCTTTAGCTTACAAATGATATGGCATTGGCATTGCAGGTGAGTTAGAGTTCTTTCTTTGTAGGAAGTGTAATTAGGTCTTAAGGTGCTTAGGTATTGCAGCTTGTTTTCATTTTACCTTGCTACTACCCCTTTGGTCCACAACATAATTTTTCTGTTTGAGCAATTAGATATATCATTGTCCTTGTGTTTTTATTAATTTTTAACGCTAAAAAGAATCATATTTTAAATTAAAGTTGGTCCTAAACCAAAATACATGCATAGCTCTGCCAAGGAATTCTGCACTATTGTTGTTATTGTTATTAGTTCAGTGAACAGGTTGAATAGGATATGGGATGCTTCCTTTGTGAGAAAAAGGTATGTAACCTCTATGTACTCATATAAGCATACCCACTCTCTTCCCCCAAAGATTTCTGATGACTTTGAGTAATTTTCCACTCTCTTCCCCCAAAGATTTCTAATGACTTTGAGTTATTTTCCACTCTCTGCCCCCAGACCATCTATCTTTCAGGTCTCTTTATCTTATATTGTAACAATGTCATTTAGGAGTCTTAACTTTACTGGGGTAGCATCCTGATGTAGAACAGCCCGTAGGTTTAGAGTAAACACTTGAGCAATAGAACAGAGAAGAAATAAGGGATCGAAGAGAAGAATTAGAGATCGAAAAGACGAAGGGAAGGGGAAGGAATCAGAGAGTTCAAAGTAAGGAAATTTATCATTCATCAAGTCTGCCTTAAAAGATTACAAACAACTCTATTTATAGAGGCAAAACCTTTTTAGTCTAGGAAAAGGGAAAGTAAACTTTAAGAAATAGGAAAGCAAATTAACTAATAAGAGATCCTTTAACAAGAAGGAATCTTTAAGAATTAGGAAAACAAATTAACTAATACGAGATCCTTTAACAAGAAGGAATCTTAAGAATTAGGAAAACTAAAAATAGGAAAACTAATCCAAGTAGAATTAGGAAAACTATTAATATGCATTCTGCATCATTCTCCCCCACCAAAAAGAACTCGACACCGGCGAGTATACCAAGATGAAGGATGACGACGATGTTTGTAAGTATGGATGATGGGAGGACGGGAGGCAGCCAAATCAATGTCATGAAGAGCATCTGATAACCGTGCAGAAGAGTGGAATCCAACTGGCGAAATTCAGCTTTTGTAATCCAAGTATCCTCAGTAGCAGATCTTCCAACCCAATGAACCAGAAAACAGGTAGAATCTCCAGGAGACGAGGCCACAACTTCATGATCTGAGACGTCCTCAATCTGATCTGTAGGGGTAGAACTAGGAGAAGGACTACGCGGCATCCTGGAGGAGGAATGAAACCGGTAATATTATTTACGGTAGGTAGTGCATCTGGTAAGTCATCAGGTATGATATTAGAGAATTTAGGGAGGAACTGATGTATGGGTTCGGCAAGTGGTGTGGGGTTGCTGTTAGATTTCGGTCTAAGCAATAGAGCAAAGGACACACCAGTGTCTTGCAGTTCGTGTGCAAAGTTTACAGATTATAAACTACTCAATCGATGCTCCGAAGCCTTCTCTTTAAATAATAGAGTCGGTTGAACATCCTTAGTTGGTTTGATGGCCGGATTGGAAGGCGTTAGCGTTATGTTCTTTCCCTCATGTTGAAAAGTATATGTGTTCTCTCTGCCACAACTTTTCACACAGCGGTCGTAAAGCCATGGTCGGCCTAGTAGCACATGTGCGACACTCATGGGTAGAATATCACAATAAAGTCGCTCATGACAGGGACCCAATTGAAGAGGAACAAGACATCTTTCAGTAACAGGTAACATGGTGTTATCTACCCAGCCAACATGAAAAGGATGGGGATGTGGCTCGGCCTGAAGGTGAAGGCGGTCGACAGCAGCTTTAGAGATAACATTTAGTGTACTTCCCCCATCAATAACTAGTTGGCATCTATTAGTACCGCAAGGGACATAGGTTTGAAAAATACTTGTGCGTTTCCATGAATTAGGAGGTGGAGGCGTAGATGCTGAATAAATACAACGCATGACACTCACTTGGTGAAACGCCTCCTCACAGCAATTATCAAGTTCTGGATCATAAATAGGTTCAAGGGGCTCCACATACACGTCCACACAAGAGTCCTCATTGAGGGAGCCAATGGTTAAAGTTCGGTGCGGACAACGGGAGGCAATGTGGCCCTTAGCATGGCAACGATAGCATTCGATGTGAGCAGCCGTGGATGGGGCTGGTCTTTTTTCTGTTGTGGGTATCGTAGGAGCAGGTGGACCGGCAACGCCATATGTGGAGCTAGGAGTACTACGATTTGGAGTAGGAGCAGAAGAGAGCCCGGAAGACCCGGTATATCTACGTTGTGGGCCCAAAAAAGTTTCAGCTTCCAGTGCATGGCAATATGCATCTTCCAAAATATGCGGACGGAATCGACGGACTTCACGCTTGATATCGTCACGAAGACCATGGATAAAGCGAGACATAGTGATGTCGGGTTCTTCACGAATCCCTGCACGTATCTTGTGTTCAATAAAACGAGCGTGGAATTCAGTAACAGTCAAACTTCCTTGTGAAAGGGCCCATAATTGATCATACAATTGATGGCGATAAAAGGTGGGAAGATATTGTTCGCGAAGCTTTAATTTCATCTCGTCCCATAGAGTCACAGGTGGCTGTCCAAATTGATATAGTTGCTCCTCCACCGAATTCCAATATTGTCTAGCGGCTCCCTGTAGTGTCATCTTACCAATGCGAAGTTTATGAGCATCCGTCAAGTTGTACCAGGCGAAATAATCTTCCATGGCTTGAACCCAATCAAGAAACATCGTAGGATCTCCACGACCATCAAAAGTAGGAGCGGTCGGCTTGATGTGGCGGATGACATCGTTGTCAAAACGACGAGGGGGATGAGTGCCTTGATCATGTGGAACTGTAGAAGGGCCCGTTGTGTGTTGGGTATAATGGAGCGGTGGAAGGGACCCAAAAGAAAAGGGGGCCTCCAATTGAGTCTTGGGCTCATCAAGCGAGGGCCCAGTGGAGCTATGCGGCATGCCGTATGGCACGGCCTTGAGTTTTTGATCCACTGGTGGATTGGGCAAAAGGCCACTTGTCGGTGGTGGCGTAGATGAACTCGAGAGCACCACGGAGGTAGAAGGTTCAGCATGTCCAACCCGAAAGTGATTGATAAGCAACTGAACGGAGTCTTGGAGTTTGGTGATGGCAAGGTCCGTCTGCGCACGATGTGTGTGAGCTTGTACCAATTTGTCTTTGAGGTCAGCACGATGTGTGTGAGCCTGTACCAACTCGTCTTTGAAGTCAACACTGAGTTTGGAGAGTTGGGTTTCCATGCCAGCGATATCGTCAGAAACTTTGTCTCGAAACGCATGAAACTGTTCAGCAAGGCTGGCCACGGTTTGGGGTGCCATGGTAGAGAGCAAACGCAAACGAAAGTGAGGGAAGGCTCTGATTACCAATTGATGTAGAACAGCCCGTAGGTTTAGAGTAAACACTTGAGCAATAGAACAGAGAAGAAATAAGGGATCGAAGAGAAGAATTAGAGATCGAAAAGACGAAGGGAAGGGGAAGGAATCAGAGAGTTCAAAGTAAGGAAATTTATCATTCATCAAGTCTGCCTTAAAAGATTACAAACAACTCTATTTATAGAGGCAAAACCTTTTTAGTCTAGGAAAAGGGAAAGTAAACTTTAAGAAATAGGAAAGCAAATTAACTAATAAGAGATCCTTTAACAAGAAGGAATCTTTAAGAATTAGGAAAACAAATTAACTAATACGAGATCCTTTAACAAGAAGGAATCTTAAGAATTAGGAAAACTAAAAATAGGAAAACTAATCCAAGTAGAATTAGGAAAACTAATAATATGCATTCTGCATCACATCCTGTTTTTGCATGTCAGATTTTTTTGAGGAGGTGGAAGGATTTGTTTTGGGGTTTTGGACAGAGCACCATTTGAGGTAAGAACCTCTTCATCTCATTACACTCAGTTCCATTTAAGCTGTGGATTATACTTTGGATTTTATGATTTATGCTTTCTAATGGATTTCATGGATGATATTAGTCTTTACATTGGTTTTTTGTAACTGTTTTCCTTCTTTATTTGTGGTAATTGATGATTTGATTTCTGTTATTATCACAAAGGTATGCTTAGATAGTTGATATTGAGAGGTATGAAAAATAAATTCAAATTTTTTTAAGTTAGTTTATTGATGACCAGTAATCAGTTTTGTTATGGCGATCCAACTCTTTTTGATGGCTTATTTAGTTAAGATTGTGAATTTAAGCTTCTCTCTCTCTCTCTCTCTCTCTATATATATATATATATATTAGTTTTAATTTTCTTGGTTTTGGCATCTTCTTTACCATTGACATTTCCTTATTTTGTTTCTTTTGTAAAGGAAGATGATGAGTTTGAGAAGGTCAAGCAAACAATTGGCAGTGTTTGGGAATTCCACAATATTAGATCACAGCCCATATCCCACAGGTGCTGAAGATCATGACTACAAAACTTGGGATACAAAAGGAATAGTATACATGTATTTTGTTTTGTTCAAAATAGTATACAGGCTTGGTAATAGTCTTAGAGTGGAGAAATAATGATTGCAGAACTTGGGTTTACCAAGGGCAAGAATATATGGAGCTTGGCCTCCAGTCTTTCAGTGGAATTTGGATATGTTTTGTGTACTTGAATGACTAGTATGCTTGTGTACTTTTGAATGAGAGAAACTTTTATTCATGTAATTTTCTATTGATCTATTTAGCGAAATTTTGTTTTTTGAAATTACAATATGTTAATGAGCAAAAGGTTAATATTATCACAAAACTTAATATAAATAAAATAATTAAAACACAATATATATATATATATTTTAGCGACCAACTAAGAAAGCTTTAGCGACCAAATCTGGTAGTCACCAAAAACTATTGGCGACGAACCAATCTATTTGGTCGCCCAATCCTCCCTCAGTTTGCGGCAAAGTTTGGTATTTTCGGGGGAACCTATCCTTATGGGCGACCAACTGATTATTGTAAGGCGACGAAAATAGTTGGTCGCATAAAGGTTTTGGCGACGAAAACTTAATTTCGTCACCTTTTGTCACTTTGTACTTTCAGCCACAAGCTTTGGGCGACCAAGTTAGAGACGAAATTATTTCGTCGCTAAAGTGTTTTGGGGACGAAATATCAACTTTTAGGACCTACGCCAAAAAGTTGACAGAAGTGGCCAAAATCAGAGGCTGAAAACCAGCCAAACTTCCATATCTTATTTGACAAATTAAATGCAGAAATTTCTCCTAAATACCATAACCAACTGCTAGAACACATTGGAAGGATGAGAAGGCATACTAGGTCGGAAGATTTGGTGGCCGGAATTGCACAAACAAACTCCGGAAAGTTTTGACAAAAATCTGGCAGATTTTTTGTCAATTTTCACATCCCAAATCTGGATAATTCTTAGACTTTCAAAGGTAGATATCATATGAGTTTTGTAGAGGAGGAGGATGAGAGCAACTTTCGTGAAGGAAGCGCCGCCAACCGACATCAGATGGTGCCGAAAATTGGCCGGAAAGTGGCAGCTGCACGAAAGAAAAAAAAAACTGGATTTCTGGTTTGAGGAGAGAGAGTTTCATGAGGTAGGAGAGAGAGAGAGAGCTGCCAGCTTTTACAAAATTTGACTTCGCTAGAATTACGATTGTGCCACTGGACTTCTTTTGATTGTAAATTCTTCAATAAAACTCCGATTCGAGCCCACTATATGTCTACAGACTCATCTCGACATGCTCTATGTACAGTACAATATCCATGCATTTTTTATTAATTAAATATTAATTTAGGATCTGGTTATTACAATTTAATTTTTAAGACGTTGGTTTTTTGAAGGGCGACGTAAGGTGTACATTAAATGTCGACTGGGATGCATTTACTGTCATCTTTTAAAAACGCAGTCCTTCGAAATTTTTGACTGCGATCTAAAATTTTCAGATTTTCCCTTTAACCCTATTTCGTTCTCTCTTCAACATAAATTTGTCTTAAAGTTTTCACTCTCTCTCAAAGCATTGGGTCTTAAAGTTTTCACTCTCTCTCTGAGCTCTCTCTCAAGCATTTTTTATATTCTCTCAGCTCGCTCTCGATATCCATGTGAGGATATTCTCTCAGCTCTCTCTCTCTCTCTCTCTCTCTCTCTCTCTCTCTCAATATTCTCTCAGCTTCTAAAATTCAAAAATATTTCCGTTAGATTTGGTAGCTTTGGTTTCGTAGTATATGTTTTGTGATCTAAGGGTTCTTTTATCTTTTGGTGTTTGCATTCTGTTAAGGGTTCTTGGAAAAGTAATGGGGATGGGCGATTTAGATGATGGTTGGTGGACCAAACTATCGTCTAAATTTTAATTATACTTCGAGTGTTCATTTACTCCCATCTTCTGAATCGTAGTTTGCATTTGGTAACCTAAAGATGATTGTTTCTCCATTAACCGTCGTCTTTAGGCTACCAGAACCTAGAACCATGTTCTTCAAAAAGCAATACAAATTTATGGGTTTGGGTAGCTTAAAGACGACGGTAACTAGATATGACATCATCTAATCTCTGTTACGCAACAATTATTTTGTAAAAACCATCGTCTGATTCTTGTTTTTTTTTAATATTTTCTCTGCTATGTGAATATAGTAGTGTTTCATTGCTGGTCTTTTCACTTTATTATATATATAATTTTATATTGTGTGAGATGGATAAGTCATGGATGCATGTAGATAGAAGATTGAAGGATTTTTTAATTTTGCTGTAGAAAATCTTGGACATACAACTCATATTTGTTGTCCATGTGTTAAATGTGGGAATATTATATTGTTTAGGGTTGGAATTATAAGGGACCACTTATACTTCAATGGAATCAACCAAAGGTATGAGATTTAGACATGGCCCGGAGAACCTTGGGAATGGACTACTAATGCTAGTAGAAACGTGGAAGAAGATGAGCAAAGTAGGTTCAGTTTTGTTTATTGGGGATGGAGGTCAACCCCTGTACCTTGGTTGCAGTAAGTACACGAAGTTGTCGGCTTTGGTAAAATTATATCATTTGAAAGAAAAACATGGGATGAATGATGTTTGTTTTACAAAATTATTGATACTTCAAGGAGATTTGCTTCCATATGAAAATACAATACATTCCTCTATGTACGAGGCAAAAAAGACTTTGTCTGCTTTAGGGATGAGTTATGAGAAAATCCACGCATATCCCAATGACTGGATCTTGCATAGGAAGGATTATGAAGATTCAACTCATTGTCCTACTTGTGGTATCTCAAGGTGGAAGGAAGGCAAAGATTCAATCTTGAAAGAGGGTGTGCCAGCGAAGGTGGTGTGGTATTTTCCTCCAATTCCCAGGTTTCAAAGGATGTTTCAATCACATAAGACAACTCAGAGTTTGACTTGGCATGCTGCTATAAAATCAGTTGACAGTTAGATGTCTCATCCAGTAGATTCCTCGTCTTGGAAACTCATTGATGATAAATGGCCCGAGTTTGGTAATAAGCCGAGAAACTTGAGATTGGCTCTCTCATTTAATTGATTCATCCCCACAGTTCTCTAAGTAGCAAATACAGCCAATTATCTTAGTTACATATAATCTCCCACCATGGCTATGCAAGAAATGAGAGTTCATGATGTTCACCTTTTTGATTTCCGGTCCTAAACAGCCTGGAAATGATATAGACATCTACTTAGAGCCTTTGGTTGATGATTTAAAATCTCTGTGCGATGGGATTAGAGGAGCGTATGATGCACACATAGGATAATACTTTACACATAGAGCTCAGATGTGTATTACTGTGGACAAATTAATGATTTTTCCGCCTATGGGAACTTATCTGGTTGTGTCGTTAAAGGATATAAAGCTTGTCCAATATGCGGCGATGATACACCTAGTCAAAGGTTGAAAAATGGCCACAAAATTTGTTACATGGGGCATACAAAATGGTTACCAATCAATCATCCATATTGGAGGCAACGTGCAGCTTTTAATGGGAAACCTGAATATGACACGCCTCCCGAGCCATTAATCAGAGAAGAAGTGCTGCATATGGTTGAAGATATTAATTACTTTGTAGTAGTTACTTCGTGTTTGCTTAATAAGTATTTTCCCCCTTCATTCTTTGATATCATGGGTCATCTAGTAGTACATTTATGTTCAGAACCGTACTCATCCTGAAGGTTGCATTGCTGAGCCGTATATAGCTAAAGAAACTGTAAAGTTTTGCACCGAGCATTTATCTGATGTTAGTACAGTTGGAGTGACTTCAAGCCAAATGATGGGAGGTTCGAAGCCATTATTAGGTTGCACAGTAAGCTTAGTTGATCAGGACTTGTTGAATTAGACACATCTATATGTCTTGGAGAATACGGAGGAAGTCCTACCTTATATCGAGTATGTATGAGTTTTATTTTTCATATGGAGCCATTTTAAATATTATTATTCCTTATGTTCTTCTTATATACAAGAGACCGTAATGCATGATTTTTTCGTGTCAATGTAGGGAACATATGATCCACATCAGGACCACTTATCCAAAATTTAGAAAGAGAACAAAGTGGCTGCAAGATAAGCACAATAGCACTTTCATTCGATGGCTACACTTTAAGGCATATATGTTATTAAATGACATATTCAACTTTTTATTTTCTTCCTTCGTATATGTTAGGGTATTGGAAAATTTGAGGTGGCTAGCAGCTAGTCTGTTGTCGTCAGATCAGCTACACCAAAATTGATTCAGTTGCATCCTCAACTTGTAATACTCGCAAGTGCACGAGCCGTTTGGTAGTATAGCATATGTAAGTGCGAGGACGATCCCACGAGGATTGATGATAGATTGATTCAATTCGATTCCTTACACAAAACAGAAAACAAGAAAGAAAATAAATAAAACAAGAAAGAAAGAAAAGAAAATGACTCAAGCAAATAAGTTCCCAAGTTCAATTTAGATTAATGGACTGATTTTAGCTAAACTATGATTAAGCCATGGTGTCTGGTCCTAACCTTGTATTCCTAATTCCCTAATTTGATCATTTATTGTCTGACCTAAATTAAGCATTAGGAATCCATTAAAGCCATGGAAGATTAAGCCATAGAAGAACATTTTAAGCTAAAATTAAGCATTAGGAATCCATCCACTAAATTAAGCTAAACTATGATTAAGCCGTAGAAGAACATTTTAAACAACCAACTCTTCCTATTCATAGTTGAATTCGAATTAAAGCATTGTGTCTACTCTTAATTCAAACCAAGATAGCTAACATGCAAGCCTTAATGGTGATCAATTATTTAAACTAGCATATTAACTTATAAGCATAGTAAATAAGAAGAAAAAACCATAATTGAAACTTGGAAACTAATCAAACTTAAGAAAAGAATTTACATTACAAAAAATAAATTACAACTAAGAAGCAAAAGGAAAACTAGTGTTTCCCTCCTTTCGGCGGGTTAGGCCGATTGAAGGAGTTTTTGGTCTTTCTTATTTTGAATGCAGGGCGTGCCACCACCAAGCCCCGAATTTGGGCCTTAATGGAATGTGAGTTGATGGATCCATTGCGCTTCTAATTTCTAATCAAACGATTGATCGTCAAACAAGAAACCTCCTCTTGTCCTAGGTTCTTTCACTTCCTCGGGGTCGAGGATGGTTAGGCTTCGTATGGATCTTTTTGTGATTTTTGGGTTTTTAAGTAAAAATAGTGCAAGAAAATTAAGTGTGTGTTTAAATGTAAAGACGAGAATTAAAGTGCAATAAAATAAATTAAAGTAATAAATAAAGCAAGAACGAAATGAAAGCCATAAGAGCGATAAAATAAATAAACTTGAAATTGAACTTAATTGGAGTGCAATAACAATGAAAAGCAGAGCAATGGAAATAAACTTGAATCTAAATCACAGAAAATATAAATTGGACAAGAATTGAAACTTACACTAGAAAAATGAAGAACTCACTACATTAGTGCTTGAAAAAAATAAATTCCTAAGTTTAGGAAAAGAAAAGTGCAAGATGCATATGTCTGATGTTGTGTTTTTGTCTGGAGGTCCTTTTCACTTCTTCTTATGAGCTATTTATAGAGCTTTCTTTAGCTCCTGGGTTTGGCCATTAAATGGCCTCAACTGACTTTGACTGAAAATTCTTCCAAGATTAATGTCTTCTGGGGCTCTAGGCATTTAATGAGAATTTCCCAACCACCACCAACCCATATTGTTGGTCAATAAAATGGCATTTAATGTCTTTCGTGCCCAACTGTATTTGGTCATAGCCCCGTAGGAAAAATCCACTCGTGCCCGGCTACTTTCAAAACCTCAAGCTATTCCAACCGCCTTTTCCAACATTCTAGCCCTCAAGTTTCGATCGCAATTTTGTATCTCAAGTCCAAATCCAGCCGCATTCTCGCAAGCCCCAAGAACTCCTAGCCCGACCGTAAAACTCCAGCAAATTCCCTCGACCCTAATTCTAAGAGCCCAGCAGCCCATGTTGTCAAAAGGTATCTAAGTGAATTCTCAGCACCCCCAAACACCATGTGAGGCCTCCATCACGTGCACACTTATCTCTTGGGCGTGAATCCATGGGTTGGTTTGGACCTTTGAGATTTCATCTTGACATCTGGTGGAACCTCGTGCCCTTTGAGTTTTTAGAATTCTAGAGTTGGTTAACCATCCTCCAAAGTGGGTGGTATGGGAACTCCAAAGATTTGGATGTTGGGTTTGGCCCTTCGTTGAACTATCTTTGAGTTCTCAAAATATTTGAATATTGGGCACTCAGTCAAAAATACCTTCCGCCGAACTTCAACTCAATCGGCCCAACTTTGCTTGCCCAAGTGTTATGAGAAGGGTGCGAGGGTGAGCAATGAAAAAATCCGCCTCATCCCAACGTTTTTGCAAAAGGACTGTTTGGCCAATTTTTCAAGGATATGCCCTATGGCCTTTGAAGAAAACAGCTTGGCCACTTTTTTGAGAAAGCATCTCGGCCTCCTTTTTTGAGAAAGCATCTCAATCGTCTTTTTGAGAAAGCATCTCGACCGCTAGGACTTCTCGATAGCTAGGAATTCTTGGCTGCTAGGACTTCTCGGCCGCTAGGAATTCTCGGCGACAAGGAATTCTCAGCCGCTAGGAATTCTCGACTATAAGGAATTCTCAGCCGCAAGGATTTTTCTCCTTGGAAAATTGGGTGACTTTTGACCACCCCCAAACATTGCCCCCTCGACTTGCTTAGCTCGGAATTGGTGTAGAGGTAAGCAAATCGAAACCTCTCAACTTCTAAAGTTTGAGACTTTTTGCTTGCCTTGCACATTACTAAATTTTGAATTTGGCTGGATGCCTAGGCCATTGTTTGGCCCCGTTTTGTAGTGAACTTTGCCAACCTATACATATGATATCTTTTGGAAAAGCTCCTTTTTATGATGCCCATTCTTCCAATAAAAAATTATTATTTCATTATGAAATATTTCTTTGCATCAGACTATTTCTCTGCCATCTCCCAAGCCATTGGATAATATTTTTACAAAATTAGTGAAACACCCATTCCTAAACATGAAACTATAAATATACCTACACTATTTAAAACACAGAAACACACCCAAAATAAACCCAAAACTGACAGCTATTACATTTTTTAGTTTAATTAGTTAAATGAAATACCTTTATTACCCATTTAGTATTAAATTAGTTTTTTTTTAATTCTGGGCACTCTCTCTCTCTCTCTCTCCTCTCTCTCCCTTCGTGGAAACCAAGCCAGCGATCTTGGTACTCTGGCCACAGCCAGTAGTGAGAGCGGTCGGAAAAGAACCAGCTAGGGCCGACGATCAAATCTGGGCTGCTTTGTACTGCAGCTACTTCAAATGTAGCCTGCAAAAGTGCTGATTGAATCCACTGGTGTGATTGGCCAAAGGATAAAAAAGGTACTATATAACCATCATATTCCTGTTTCCATGTTATGCTCAAATTCTAATCATACTGATTTGCACAGGATTTCTTGAAATATTAACAGATCAGCTGATAAATGTTGCATGATGATTTTTAGGAAGATTTATAACATGATCTGTTCTAAGTGTTGTACAAACGATTCATTTTTTAATTTTCATATGTAGGAAGCACTTCTAAAATCTCTTCCAAAACTGGTTAATTCACTATCAGCATCAACTGAGGGGTAAATGTTAATGGTTTTGAACTTAAAAAAAACTGGTGAATTTTTCAGGTTGGAGGGACAGATATAAGAATTAGGGGAATGGCAAAAGGTTCCAGGATGATCCACCCCAATATGGCCACCATGCTTGAAGTATGTCTTCTAGTGTTTCTCGCTTGATGTTTGACTAGTTATTAACTAATATAATTACATGGACAGGTAATAACAACTAATGCAATGGTTAGCAGTGATGTTTGGAGAAAAATGGTTCAAGTTGCTGTCAACCGAAGCTTCAACCAAATAACAGTATGTACATTTTTTTTCTTCCAATTATTGAACACCATAACTTAGTGGGGCTACACCTCGCATGGTGTAATCTCCATTTGCTTTTGTGTCACATCAAATTTACTTATCTTAATTAATTACCATATCCATGGAAAGTGCAAATGGGCTTGCACAATATAAGGTTTGTTGTCATTAGTTAGCAAGGAAGAAGACATTTAATATTTTTTACCAGTTGCAAAAAATGAAAAGAAAATCAAGGCATTGGCTGCTGTAGCTCATAGTGTTTGTTTCTGTCATGGCAGTTTTGGTAGCAACTTGTTGCCAAACTAGTTCACCTGCAACACTTGTTCTTTCAATTTCAGTTGTATTACAAGGTTGCTGGTTTACGAAGATGGGGTTTTTGCTCTGGGTTCCTAGGTTTGTTCCAAAGGGTTGTGTTTTCCATTATGTTTTTCAAGGTTGTTGGTTTATGAACATGGGGTTTTGCAGTTGTACATTTTTATCGTACCTATTATGCAAATGAAATGTAGTTGTTAGCTTCCAGTAAGTGGTATGAACAGTTGTTATACTGTTCATACCCTGCAGTTGAGCTGATTTCTATGACATAATATTAATAGATTTTCAGTAACAAAATATGCTCTATATTTTGCTCATATAGCTGTGCACTTGAAGTTTATGATATACATAATGTGATTTTCACTAGGAAGATAGTTCTATGATATAGTATTAACAGTGTACTTTTTTTTCTTCTTGTAGAGGGCCTTTGTGATAGCTTCTTGTGAAACTATGTTCAATTGGAGATGGTTTTTGCAAAGGATATCAGATGTCTTGTTGGGCTGTTTTGGGTTTTTTTTGAGTTTTTGTATGAAATGGTATTAACAATGTTTTTCTATGAAATGATATTAACATTGTACTTCTATGACATGATATTAACAATGTATTTCTATGAATTAACAACACATTTCTATGACATGGTATTAACAATACACTTCTATGACATGACATTACTACAATACACTTCTATGACATTGTACTTACTACAATGGTTTGTGGTTTGTTGGGTTTTTTTTTTTTTTTTTTTTTTTTTTTTTTTTTTTTTTTGAGTGAGTGGGGGGGTTTTTTTTTTTTTTTTTTTTGTTTTTTAAGTTAATTAATGGCAGAGATGTAATTTATAGAAACTTCAACACTCAATTTTTAGATGATAAATGATTTTTGGGTTTTTTTATAAAATTGGATTGGGCTTGTTTTGGGTGCTATTTAAGTTTTTTGTGTTGGTCTTCTTTTTTAAGTTGATCAATGGCAGTCATGTAATTTATAAGAACTTAAACACTAATTTCTTATGTAGTAAATGAGTTTTGGGTGTGTTTCTAAAATGCATTCCATGTGGGGTTTTTTTTATTTATAATTTCAATCCATATTTTGGGTATATTAGTGAAGCTCCCTAATATTTTTTCAAAAATCGACCATTGATCGGAGAGTCAAGGAACCAACCATTTTGGTCACTTAACTTGTAAGCCCCCTTCCCCAAAACTTGGTGGACGAGGAATGGGCATTCCCAAGTTGGAGACCACTTGCCGAATTTTGGATCCTTTGGTCCTACCAGAAGAATGGTCTTCCATACTAAATCTCAAACTCCAAAACTCCTGGCCTTGGTTCTCTTATCGTATGCTCAAGCCACTGCCTCTTTTTGGGCCTTTAATTCATCTAAAGCACCCAACCTAATCTCGTCAAGGTCGTCTAACTCTTGTGCCATGGCTTGCTCATGTTCGTTCCTACTCCATTCGGCATGACAAATTACCCTTAGAAAATTGACCGAAACCTCAAGTGGTAGGACGACATCATGGCCGTAGGTGAGGGCGAATGGTGTTGTTCACATGGAAAACATTTTGAAGTTCTATATGCCCATAGAGAATTGGAGAGAACAGAATGCCATTCCTTAGGATTGTTATCGATCATTTTTTCCAAATCCCTTTTATCACCTTATTACTGGCCTCTACTTGACCATTTGATTGGGGATTGTATGGGGTGGATTGAACCATCCTAATTCCCCAATTCCTCTGGGTGGCTTGAATAGCCTCTACCATGAAAGCCATTCTCAATAAATTCTATCACTTCGACCTGAGTAACCTGCTTGAGTGCGACGGCCTACACCCAATTTGTGAAAAAATCGGTGGCCACCAATAAAAGGCCAAGCCCTGACAGTAAGATTCATTGGTCCGGCCAGGACATGTTGGATCGGCCCATGCTTTTGACAATATTTGCAACCCTTTGCATAGTCAATGCAATCTTTGAGGATGGTCGGCCAATAATAACCGTGCCTCCTTAAAAGCCACCTCATCTTAATGCCAACTTGATGGGCACTGCATATTCCTTCGTGGACTTCGGTCATTGCTACGAGTTGTTCCTTTTTGCCCAAACATTTCATGAGAAAGTCATCAGAACCTATGCGGAACAATACCTCATCTCTTATCATGTAATATTGGGCCTTCCTCCGAACTTGTTGGCTATGCGGCCCATTTGGATCTTTCAAATATTGCACGATGTCGTGCCTCCAATCCTTTGGTGCTATAGTTAACACCATAACTTCTGCTGGAGTTCCCCTTCCAAAGACAGAGGGGAGAGATCGTTTCTCAATTTTAAAAAGCTCATCAGAGAGCCCCTCGGAGATTTGCACTCCATATGCTAATTGGGCCATAGCATTGGTCTGACTGTTATGTTCTCTTGGTAGGTGGGCGAGTCTCACATCATCAAAATCCTCCATCAATTGGTTGGCCAAGGCATGATGGCCAAGGCATGATATCCAAGCAAAGCTTGGCTAGTGACCTTATAGTCGCCGGACAATTGTTTTAAGAATAACATTGAATCTCCCATAACCGACACACTATTTACCCCAAGCTCTTTCAAAATTTCTAACCCTATGATTAGTGCATCGTATTTGGCCTGATTGTTGGTACAATCAACGTCTAATTGAAATGAATAGCGAGTCCGGAATCCTTTGGGTGATTCAATGATGACACTTGCCCAGCCCATGTTAGATGTTCAAGACCCGTCAAAATAAAGGCGCCATGGAAATAAACACAACATGCCTACCTCGAGGAAATCCATCTCCTCTATTTCAACACAAGGGTGGGCCGCCAAGAAATCGACCAAAGCTTGCCCCTTAACGGCCTACTGGGGCACGTATCAGAAAGTGAACTCTGTCAATGCCATTGTCCATTTTCCTATCCGCTCTCTAATGATTGGCCTAGTGATGATTGGCCTAGTGAACATATATTTTATTAAATCAATCTTTTGCCATTATATGCACCACGGAGAGCAACATGTCCAGCGGAGAATATTTCCTTTCGGTGGTCGTTAGAATTCGACTGAGGTTGTAACAACCCGATCCTAAATTATTATTTAATTATTAATTTATTCAACTAAAAGACAATTTTACCCATAGAATATTTTAATAGATTAAAAGTTGACTTTTTGTTCCGGAAAGAATTTAGGGGTTTGGGTGGTACCATTGTGTTGACGATACAAGTTCGTAGACATGCGGCACGTTCAATTCTGAGTTGTAACGAAAAAGAAAAGGTCTAAAAACAAAAAGGACGTAAAGTGAATTTTTAAATTTCTTACTGCTACAGTACCCGCTACATTAACCAGGCTCTTTTTATTTTTTTCCTCTCCTTCCTCCAGCTTCAGCCATTTTCTTCTCCTCTTGCGACAGTCACTGTAGCAACAGTGACTGTTCGACTTCCAAGCCACAAAATCGACGTTGTCGTTCACCGGATGGCCACGCCACCTTCACGAAAAGTGTTCATCTCGTCCTCCTCTATAAAACCCACCTAAGACTCGATCTGATTGGCTAATGAAGAGCTCGAATCGAAGCTAATAAATGGTTAGGCTTTTTCGGCGGTATTTTTGCATCTTCCGGTGACTCCGGCCACGGAATCCGTCGAGTGAGGTATGAAACTTCATCTACTCTTCATGCTCTATCCATTTATGTAGGTATTGAAGATCGATTTTGAAGTTTTACAGATTGTCCCACATACCCATATTATGCCGACGGTTTCGGCTTCGTTCCGGTTGGTTTTTGGCCTTGGTCCAAGAACAAAAGTGGTTTCAATTGATGTCCTGAACCTAGGGTAGGAAGCTTGGCCCTTGATTTTGAGATTTTCTGGTTAGTGGTATTGCTTTGGATACCCACACGCTTAAGTTTGTGCGACTGAAATATACTTTGCAGGACTAAATTCAATTCATCGCGCAAACAGTCAAATGTAGTAGTGTAACAGTGGCACACTCGCACATTAAAGAAAATTGACCTGTTGACGACAAATGGTTTCCAAGCCAATGGGGATTTTTACCCTACCATCACATGAACCAAAACAAAACGGGTGAAACAAGTAGTATTACATCTCATTTATTGGTATATTCTAAGTAATTACTGTATTGTTATTGTAATAGAACATTTTAACACGAAATAAGGTGACTTGGAATTTACCTAGCCAATAGCCATTGTGGTGGTTGATTTACGCTTCAAGTTAGTGTAGTTTGTAAAAGTCACTAATGGTATGGTATTGGTGCTATGTGCGGCATGTTTCTCTTTGCAGTTTTAAATTCCCCAAAATGCACTATACTTCCCGCAAAGTTCTCACAAGACAAGATGCAAATAATGAGCTCATAACTGATATATCAAAAGCTAAATTAAGAATATACCAACAGCTAAGTAATAGGTAAAAAGACCTATTGATCAAAGTTGCTAAATGATTAATAGCTATACTCAATCCCTCAAAGAAGAGAAACAATCGTATAGCAGCATATATATATATATATATATATATATATATATATATCACTCGAAATATTTTGAAATTTCTAAATTATATTCCATATATCTGTAAGAAATTAAATGATGATAAACAAATAGGATGAATGAAAGCTTCCCCCTTTTCCTTCTCACCTTCTTGCAAATTATATTTATCATATTAAATATAACTCTAATGGCACCATTGAACGCTACAAAGTGCTTCTCGTTGCCAAAGGTTATACTCAAGTTGAAGATGTGGATTATCTTGAAACCTTTTTTCCCACTGCCAAACTCATTACTCTCCGCTGCTTACTTGCCATTGCGGCTTCTCGCAATTGGTTTCTCCATCAGTTGGATGTTCAAAACGCCTTCCTTCATGGCGATCTTGACGAAGAGGTTTATATGGTTCCTCCTCCAGGTCTTCGCCGACAAGGAGAGAACTTGGTATGTCGGCTCAACAAGTCACTATATGGCCTCAAACAAGCTTCTCGCAATTGGTTCTCTAAATTTTCCATTGCTATTCAGAACGCAGGTTTTCGACAATCCAAAGCAAATTATTCACTTTTCACCAAAGTAAAAGGTACATCATTTGTTGGCATTTTATGTCGATGACATACTTGTTACAGGGAATGATGCATAAGAAATCCAACTTCTCAAAGATTCTCTCTTGTGTCAATTTCGTATCAAGGATTTGGTAATCTGAAATAATTTTTGGGCATTGAAGTGTCACATTCTCGAAAAGGCATCTTTATGTCTCAACGGAGATATGCCTTCGATATATTGCAAGATGTAGGCTTATTGGGAGCACGACCTAAAACCTTTCCTATGGAGCAGAATTTGAAACTCTCACCTACAGAAGGTGATTTGCTTAATGACCCAACTAGATATAGGAGACTAGTTGGGAAATTAATCTATCTTACAATAACCAGGCCAAACTTGGTATGTTCAGTGCAGACTTTGAGCCAGTTTATGCATCAGCCAAGAAAACCACACTTAGATGTTGCACTCCGAATTTTGAGATTTGTTAAAGGCACACCTGGCCAAGGTTTGCTCTTCCTTTCTTCCAGTAATCTTAAATTGAAAGCTTTTTGTGACTCTAATTGGGCAGGATGTCTTACCACCAGGCGGTCTGTCACAGGATACTGTCTTTTTTTAGGAGACTCTCTAGTTTCATGGAAATCCAAGAAACAAACTAATGTGTCACGATCATCCGCAGAGGCAGAATATCGCTATGGCTACAACTTTTTTGGAATTAACTTGGTTGCGTTATATTCTACAAGATTTGCATGTGTCACAAGATGAGCCTACACCATTACACTGTGACAATCAGGTTGCATCATAGATTGCTGCGAACCCTGTGTTTCATGAACGAACAAAGCATATTGAGATTGATTGTCACATAGTTCGTGAAAAATTACTAGCTGGCATCATTTCTACTTCACATGTTCCTTCACGTGCTCAACTAGCTGATATTTTTACGAAGGCATTGGGAAGAAATAACTTCCAGTTAATGAGCAGCAAGTTGGGACTTCACGACATTCATTCTCCAACTTGAGGGGGAGTGTTAGGAAAGAAATCTCTTAACTTCTGTAATTATGTATTTACTTGTAGTGCACACCACGTTATGTGGGTCATACCAGATTTCTAGCCTAGATTAGTTAGAATAGCTCCTCGTGTATCTTTATATTCCTTGTATTGTCCTGTATGTTTCATTCATTCATAAGAGAAAATATTCTCCATATTTCACTTTACACCAACCAATTAAAATGTGTGAGCAAGCTGGTAGGTATGGAGCCTTGCATATTCGTTCTAACCAAGGATTTAAATATTGAGGGTTTTAGAAATATTGGTGATCTAAAAATACAAAAATATCAATAGAAATATTTGTGGTAAAAAATACAGAAATATCAATGGAAATATCAATAAAAATGGAATAAAAATGACAGAAAGTGGTAGAAAAACATGGAAATTTGTGACGGAACTTTACAAGATGTTCAATTAGTCAATTATCTATTGTTTTGATACAATTTTTCTTTTGGAAAAAATGCTTGTATGATGAGTTTGAGTGATTTAAGTTGAACATAGTGCGAGATAACAAACATTATAACTTAGAAAATGAATAATATGCAAGTAATCAAACTATTATTATGTAGATTAAGAATAACAAATGTAAAGATCGAAATATTCATTAAATCCTCCGTCCACAGCAGCTTTTAAAAGCACCCGTCCAGCTGCTTCCGAAATCTGCTGCCAATGACCCCCAATTTTTTTTAAAAACGCAGCTTTGGGTTCAAAAATTTTAAAATAAGCTGCTTCTTTTTAAAGCATTGCAACACCAAACTGAACCGTCTCTTTAAATCAATATACCATATCAATAAAATATGGATAACAAATTTACAAGGAAATTGCGACAGACCAGGTGGAGGAGAGATCAAGATTGTGGTCTTTAAGCTGCGTTCGAAACCAGCTGGTGCTATTCATATCCATGAAAATTCTACCTTAATACAAATGATTTTGGTTACGTCGCCCCGACGCCTTCCTGCACAGAACGAAAGAAATCAGCAAGAAAATTCTACCTTCATACAGATACTTTTGGTTCCTCTCATGAGTTAGTATAGGATGTATGATGAACCTGAGATCCAATCCATGAGCACAGAAAAGATGAAATGATGATGAAAACAAGAAAAAAGAAAATAATAAAGAAAGAGCACTCTCTTGTTGAATGATTGCACAGGTCGATGAATTCATCTCCACGTGTTTGTTCGGTGGTTATACAGTAAATGTCTGAGCTTGACGAATCGTGATTGGTTACTAATAAATGTTTCAGTCGTGGGGTGGGGTTGAGCTATGACTGTTTATTCTATGCAAGTTTTAATGGTACTTTTTTTTTTGGTCTGATTTTAATGGTACTTGTACAGCAACAAAAAACAAAAGATTGAGACACTAGGAGTCTACTCGGTAATGATTTAAGGGATTGTTTTTATTTTTAAAGAACAAAATCAAGGCAAAAAACACGTTTGATAGTCCAAAAACAGAAAATACAGAAAATATTTATAAAATTAAAACAAGTTCAAATATACTTGTAGAAAACAGAAAAAAGTTATTTTCTGAAAATATTAAATATAATTCTAATCAGACCCTACAAATTTAATTTAAGGAGTTCATCATGAATTTAACACCACGTATGTTATAGTAATTTTGGTAATAAAGTTAATGAAGATCTAGGAAGGGTTCAAAACCTGAGGGAGCAATGTTTTAAGTCAAGAAGAGACAACCTCGAAGCTTTCAAAGGCTGATTGAGGAAAATAAGTAAAGTGCTAAACACGCGTAGCCTTTACCCAATAAGAACCAAGAAAGTAGGTTGAGACTAGAGTTGCTGCCAGCAATGAATCCGGATTTTTTTGGGTGAAATGACCAAAGACATAAATATTTTTTTAATCAAAAGTAAAGGGAAAAAACACCGAATACGCAACCTGACTGGGCCATCCATATGGATGCTTTTACGTAAAGGTGCACGCAAATACGTAGATTGGCCACCTCCTATTTAGTAGGCTTCCCCAAAACCTCATGGGGTATTATCGTAAAAACTAAAATAAAGAAAACAAATAGAATATGAACGTATCTTTTTCGACCAAAAAAGATATCTTTTTCGACCAAAAAAGATATCTTTTTCGTCGAAAAAGATAATTCGGGCTAAGAACGAGAGTGCTGCGTTGATTGTGGAAAAAATATGAAATGAAGTTGCACAACACACATTGCAAACAAACATAATTCCATTCAATGACATATATATATATATAAGATTCAAGTAAGAGGCAAAAACCCCAGCCTCTCACTCATCGAATTCTTCTATCTTTCTTTAGGCACGCAGCTGCACTCACCCTGGGTAATCCTCATGTATTAGTTTAATTGTTAAGTTTTTCTTCTTCAAATTTAGAATTTGTAGAGCTGAATTTTTTTATTTATGTTTATATTTGCAGAGTGGGGTTCAGTTTTTGCGGTTTCCTGTCTTTCTCCGATGTCCGTGAGTCTCTTCTGGACACAGGTGAGCCTTTCTTTGCCATTTTGTTTTAATATTACATTAATGTGGTGTGGTATTTTGGATCTTTCATTTGGTTCTTCTTTCTTCCTATTTAAAATGATAAAAGTCAAGCACATCCAAGAACAGAAAAAACAACCAAGTAGGTTGAGACTCGTGCATTTAAGTTTTTAATTTTCTATGTCAATTAGATTTTTGTATTCTATTATAAAGTATATTTAGAGACTCGTGCATTCAAGTTTTTTGTTAATGAATATAATTTCGGGCGTTAGTCTGCAGAGTTTCGGTTAGGATTTTGTCTTAGAATTCAATTATCTTCGTCCCAACTTTAATTATATTGCTTTATCCTTACATTCTCTATATTTTGGGTATGTTTGGGTCACTGGACAGCAGCTTGTAGCCACTGCACTGCATCATATATTTAGGCTTAATTGTTACAGTTCCTCCGAAAACATTGGTCAAATTCCATATTGGCCTTGGACTTCATCACAAACTCTCCCATTTTTCTTTCTTCCTTCATCCTCTCTCTTTCTCTTCCTTTTCTTTTTTCTTTCTCTTTCTCTGGTGCGGTTTCCTTCTCTCCCTTTAGTTTTTCCTTCTCTCTCTTCTTGTAGATCTAAGTTTAGATCTGTGAGTCTAGGGTGGGCCTACAATTAGGCAAGGTTTAGACCAGTTCCGGATCCGGTTTTTCTAAGTATTAACCCAACTTTAAACCCAATCTCCTTCAAATATATTAAGGGAGTTTCACTAAAACACCCAAAATGGAGGTTGAAATTATAAAAAAACCCAACACCCAAAACACTTTATAAACACACCCAAAACTCATCATTACACACACTCAAAACTCATTTATAAACACACCCAAAAAGTTGACTTTGGGGTTGATTTTGGGTGTGTTTCTATGTTTAAATAGTGCTTGGGTTTTTTTATAAATACATGTCTAGGATTGGGTTTATTTATAAATTTGTAATATATTAAGCCCAATTTCCTTAAAAAAGTTTTAAAGCCCTATGTCCTCAAAATATATTAAGCCCATCAATTATTAAATCACCCTAATTTACGGCCCCCATTGGGTTTGCTCATAGTCCTCGAAACTCTTAACTCGAATTGGTTGCAAGGCCGCGCTGCGCTAGCAGTTGGCAAGTCTTGTTCAAGACAGCAGTTTGGTTAAATTATATCAAAGCAAGAGAATACCAACCAAAGTAATAGAAAAATTTATACCGTTTAAGCAGTAGAATCGGAATTGATGAGTGCTAGGCAATGGGAATTCCCTGAAGCTTGCTTTCAATAAATTAGTGTACAAATTTGTTCAGATTAGATTCGCGTTTGTTGTCTTTTCGTTTCTTGAAAAAATGTATGCGTATGAGTTAATAGATTTTTAAAATTGAAGTTCCAAGAAAGCTATACATGCCTAAATAGAACGTAATAAAGATGTAAATTTGGTAGAAAACACCACTAGAAGATCTTGATTCACTCTTATGGAACGGTTTAGTTTTCAAGCAAACCACTTGTTTTGTTTGACAGGTTTAACTAAATTGGCGTACATAGTAAAACAATTTACCTAGTATAATAAACTTTTTTTCTCTCTAAATAATGTACCTATTTTTTTTCTTCTCTAATAATGTATACCTAATAAAACAATTTACCTAGTATAATGAACTTATTTTTTCTTCTAAATAATGGACCTATTTTTAATTTATAAAAAATGTGCATAAATTTCAATTATACAACGTACCTATTTTTTATAAATTATTGTGTATTTATTTTTAATTTATGAAAAATGTACGGAAATTTCAATTACTTAAATAATATACCTATATTTTTACACATATATATTTATATTTATATTTTTCATATGTACATTATTGGATATGTAATTTACATATTTTTTTTATTTTCAATTTTAAGGGGCCATATGTTAGAGGGAATGGCAACCAAAAGAAATAGGGTGATTGATATGCTATTAATAGGGAGTTTTAATTACAATTATGGCAGTTAATGAAATGCTTGGAATAAATTATAAATAAAATATGAAGTCTGATGGAAAGTGTGTAAAAATATAGGAATACTACAACCTCTTATATCCTACGGGTCATTTAAGTTTGAAATTGAGTTTTACTCATAGATTTATAGAATAGTAAATTGAGCTTAGACCCATAAAATTCATTTTAAATCACCTACAACCCTTTCCTTTAGTTTTCTATTTAAAATAACCAATTTTTTCAAATAATACCCGATGACTAGGATCCAACTAAGCAAGTTACATAATATAACTTAAAATCTGATTCATTGTATTTTTCGGATTCCAAAACTACCCTTGTTTATAAGTTAATGTGTTATGGGGGTGTAACTAATGACACCTGTTGAATTTGAAAAGATCTCCAAATAGTTGTAATGGATGTAGGAACTAATTTAGAAACTTATTTGAAATTAAATATTAAATTCCACATTAAAGTATCAGTAATCTATTTTTGAATTAATGGTGTTTTCCTTCTATGAATTACGACTAGTAATCTATTTAAAGTACTAGTAATTTAAATTCAATATTAAATTTATGAATTAATGTTGTTGTTTTTTATGGATTATACAACCAGTATTCTTTTTTATTATAGTTTTATAAATAATAGTGTACATTCTAATTATGTTGAAAAATAATTTGATAATCTATTTATTGTTTTGTTTTTAAAACATTTTTTAATGAACCTATTTTTTCTCCAAATATTGTATCTATTTTTTTTTCTTTATTACTTGTTTCATGAAAAATAATTTGATCATCTTTTTATTGTTTGTTTTATGAAAACAATTTTTTTTAAATGAGCCTATTTTTTCTCTCAAAATAATGTCCTATTTTTTTCTCTAATAGTGTACCTTTTTTTTTCTAAATAATGTACCTTTTTTTTCTCTCAAGATAATGTACCAATTTTTTTTCTTTGATAATGTACCTAGTATAATGAACCTATTTTTTTCTCTAAATAATGTACCTATTCTTTTTCTCCAATAATGTATACCTAGTAAAACAATATACCTAGTATAATTAACTTATTTTTTTCTTCTAAATAATGTACCTATTTTTAATTTATAAAAAATGTGCATAAATTTCAATTATACAACGTTCCTATTTTTAAAAAATTATTGTGTACCTATTTTTAATTTATGAAAAATGTACGGAAATTTCAATTATAAAGTAATTGACTTATTTTTGTTAATTTGTTTTGGATAAATAATATACCTATATTTTTATACGTATATATTTATATTTATATTTTTCATATGTACATTATTGGATATGTAATTTACACATTTTTTTTATTTGCAATTTTAAGGGGCCATATGTTAGAGGGAATGGCAACCAAAAGAAATAGGGTGATTGATATGCTATTAATAGGGAGTTTTAATTACAATTATGGCAGTTAATGAAATGCTTTGAATAAAGGGATATTTGTTGAAATGTCATCTAAACTTACACCTTAGTTTCAATTTGTCACTTGAATTTTTTTTTAAGTGAAATGTCACCTGAATTTTTCAAAATCCATGATTTGTCACCTCAGCTTAACATAATCCAATTTTCCATATATTTTCAAGGGTATTTTAGTCTTTTCATTTTCAAGAATATTTTTAAAATGGAAAAAATTACTATTAAAAAAAATAAAGCTTAAATGTAAAAATGGTTGGGGATTAAATGTGAAAAGATATATAATTTTTGTAATTTCCAAAGGTCTTTTCATAATTTTTTTATAATGATTTTTCCATTTTTAAAATACTCTTGAAAAGAAAAAGACTAAAATACCCTTGAAAATAGTTGAAAAATTAGATGAAGTTAAACTCAGGTGACAAATCATGGATTTTGAAAAATTCGGATGACATTTCACTTAAATTTTTTTTTCAGGTGACAAATTGAAATAAAGGTATAAGTTCAGGTGACATTTCAATGAATATCCCTTGAATAAATTATAAATAAAATATGAAGTATGATGGCAAGGATGTAAAAACATAGGAATACTACGACCTCTTATATTCTACTGGTTATTTATGTTTGAAATTGGGTTTAAGTTTAACACATAGATTTATAGAATAATGGGTATATGTCTAGGAAATAGAGATTGTAGGGATTACCTCAGATTAATGGGCAAGAAGAGGTCGAGAAACAAATCATCGAGACGTGCCAATCCTTCATCAGCACAAGAAGGCCCATTATCATCGGCACAAGAAGATCCACATACTGGTGTATCAGCAGCATGTGCCAAGCCAGTAGCTCTGCAAGCTGATCGTCCTTCATCAGCACAAGAAGGGTCATCATCATCGGCACAGACAGCTGCTGCTTATGTGGCAAGTCCATCAGTGGCGAACACAACTGCTGCTCCAGCACCTGCACAACGATTGTACGCTGAACGTCAATGTTGCTTAAAAGAGTTCTTGGAGAATTGTCATCAATGGGTTGAGGAGGAGTTCAATCGTGGGTGTCAAAACATGCTTAAGTCAGTTGCATTTACCATAAACTTTTCTATTATATATGAAATTTTATTTTATTTAATGCTATTAACCTTATTCCCCTTTTAGAATTCTCATAGTGGAAATTGCTGATTTGGAGTCAAAAGACATAACACGTGGGCCCCTGACTGGTGAAAATATCTTTGTTATTGGCATTGAGGTTGAGAATCTGAAGGTTTTGATTTTGAATACCCCACGTGAATGCAACCCGGGCATGCCATGCTATCGTGAACAATTTCGAACATTGGTATCAGAAGTGGTTCGTGCATGGGAAGCTACTCGTCCCTTGGCGACGAAGCATTTTCTCAAAATGATAGAATATTGCATACCTCAGTAAGCAAGCTCCTGATAACTTATTTTATGCATCAGAAGGCCAATTCACACACCCACAGTACAGATGAATAAATACAACCTAAAAAGAAATGCAGACCCAAATGGAGTTCTATTTAGTTATGAGGATTGAGTATTATTTGGCTTCACCTAACATTCTAAAACACTTTCCCAAGAAGAGGACGAACCTGCTTTCAATCAGGGCCATTTAGACAAAAAAAATAAATGAAACTATTATCATTCATAACATTATACTTGGAAAGCCAATATTCATGTGTGGGCTTTTCTCATCTCTTACTCTCTTTCATTAAGTGCAGGTTCTACTTTAAGCAACTAGAGTGGCATCCCCTACTATTATCATCTGAAGAACAAGCCGAGCTTATAATCCATGCTTATATACATCTTCAGATTGAGAGTAAAGGTTGGAAAGAGGATTACAAAAAGGTTATACCAAGAAGAAACGTTGATTTTCGCAAAACTCTTGGTAGTGCCTTTGGTTTCTCTAATGTTTACAAATTCAGAGCCGTCGAATACCAGCCAAATCCGCTAGGGGCACTAATGTTTTACAGAAATGCACACTTTCATGTTAATGACCATATCTACGAGCACCAAAAGAAGAACAAAGTGGTATACACATGACCTAAAAGTGCTTCTTAATTTATGTTAAACTACTCTAACGTTTATTATTGTTCAATTATTGCAGAAACCAGAGCTAATAAAAGATGCGCTTTTGGTATGAACATGACCTGAATTTCCTTTTTAGATTTTTTTAATATTACTATTTTCTAAAACATGTTTGTATTCAATTTTTGCAGACAACAGCGCAAAAAGAGAATAAGCTCGCTCACTTCTTCCCAGAAGTGCCCCTAGAGTTATTCAATTACATGCTCATAAAGGGCATTGACATAAATGCTGCAATTTGAGGGAGAGCTTCAAATCTGGTAAACATATTATTTTGTATTCTCTGAATTCATACTCTAGATCCAATGCTCACAAACACATACAATAGAGCTTCAACATTTGGACCTGTAGACTGTGTTAAGAAATCTATCAGCTTAAGACTTTGTTTAGTTGAGGGGTGAGGAGCACAAAACTAATACAAGTTTTATCCTTAAATTTATATTTGTTAGTGTTTTTGTTTTATTTAAATCTATTAGAGTATTTGTATTCTTTGTTTTTGTATTTAATGAGTGGTTGTTTGTAGATATTAAGTGTCTGCCACCAATGTGTTGCAAGAAGGTAGAAGATAAGAAGAAAATGTGTGCAGTAGGAAATCTGCTCAAGAGAAAGGAAAAGCATGGAGAGCAACCTATGTGAGGGATGGCAGAAATCCCCATCAAGTCGAGTCCTCGTCAGGTCCCTGACCCTAACGGGGGGGAGTATTTGGATCCAAATCTGGTACAAGTACGGGGGATACCCGAAACCATAAAATCCCCAACAGGTCCGAGCTGGGTATGGTAACAACGTCCTATCCTCAAATTCGTGCACTTGCGAGTTTATAAATTTTAGAAACACCTCTTTTGGTGACAACAAGTGGTCTACTGTAAGTTGAGTACTGCTTTCATTTTCTAGTAATTTCTATCATTTTTAGTTTTGGGTGTTGAATTTCATATTGCATTGCTCTATTTATATTTTATTTTATTTTTCTGAGTGAAGTAGTATTACATCTCATTTATTGGTATATTCTATACTCACAAACCAGCTAGAAATTAAGCCGAAGTAATTACTGTATTATTATTGTACCATGCAACTAATTAACATAGAATGATTTTGCTAAAATACTACTGTGTTATATATATATAGAACATTTTAACACGAAATAGGGTGACTTGGAACTTACCTAGCCAATAGCCATTGTGGTGGTTGATTTACGCTTCAAGTTGGTGTACCTTGTAAAGGTCACTAGTGGTATGGTATTGGTGCTGTGTGCTGCATGTTTCTCTTTGCAGTTTCAAATTCCCCAAAATACACTATACTTCCTGCAAAGTTTTCACAAGACAAGAAGCAAATAATATATATATTGTTCCCGATCTCTTGGACTACATGGTCTAAGAGATTTGGTCACTCATCGTTGGATGTAAATTCAACAATTCACCATTTTAAGAAACTTTTTTGAACCACTAGAGTAATACGGTAGGTAATCACAACCTCTTGGACTCCTGTGGTCCAAAAGATCGGAACTATATATATATATAATCCAAACCATCTATTTTTTTGGTCTTCATTCATAGATCATCCTTACAAAAAATTAGACAAATCGGAAACCGTTTCGACATCCAATTGTGTCATACAAAATCAATGAATACGGTGCTTCAAAAAAGTACTAAAATTTCAATAACTTAATTGAATAGTCAAATGATATCGGATTCAAGTAATTTTTTGTAGAGATGATCTTTGAATGAGTATCTACAAAATAGACAGTTTGGATTAGTGAAACACAATCCGGAGTGGGTCCTATAAGAAATGTCCCTCAAATAAACTTATTTAAAAAATCCCTCAATCGAAGCTCTATATATATAATCTCCGAAACATGCTTGGGTTAAGTGTAAAAACAATTTGGGCCATTTTGTGAATAGGATTGGATTGAATTATGAAGTAGAATAGAAGATACACAAAATACGTCACTTGAAATATTTTGAAATTCCTAAAATTATATTCCATATATCTATCTGTAAGGAATTAAATGATAAACAAACAGGATGAATGAAAGCTTCCCCCTTTTCCTTCCCACCCTCCTGCAATGGCGGATCAAACATCTTGGTGTGCCAACCAATTAAAAAAAACATACAGATACCAAATTTACAAAAAAATTGCGACAGACCAGGCGGAGGAGAGATCGAGATTGTGGTCTTTGAGCTGCGTTCGAAACCAGCTGGTACCATATCCATGAAAATTCTACCTTAATTAACACAAATAACTTTGGATACGTTGCCCCCAACGCCTTCCTGCACAGAACGAAAGAAATCAGAGATAAAATTCTAGGACCCTTGAACAAAAGAAATCAACAAGACAACTCAAAGTTCGTACAGATACTTTTGGTTCCTCGCATAAGTAAGTATAAGATGCATAGAAAAAGGAAAAAAAGATCTATCAAGATCTAGGAAGGGTATTCACTTTGTCATGATTGATAAACTTTATCAAGATCCAGGAAGGGTATTCAAAATCTGAGGGAGCAATGTTATATGTCAAAAAGAGACAAGTTCGAAGCCTTCCAACGCGGTTTGAGTGAAAATAAGTATAGTGCTAAACACGCGTAGCCTTTACCCAACAAAAAATAAGAAAGTAGGTCGAGAGTAGAGTTGCTGCCAGCCATGAACCCGGATTCTTCTACATATAATATAGAAGGTGAAGAGGACTTGACATTAAGAAACAAACAGGCCGAGGCCGATCAAAGACATAAAATATTTTATAATCGAAAGTAAAGGAGAAAGCACCTAATGCGCACCTGACTGGGTCATCATCCTAGTTGATGGGCCACACATGTAGTCACTTTCAAATTCCTCAAGCCACCGTACACGTCACACATAAACATTATCTCAAAGCCAAAAGTCATTCTCGTAGACTTCACCAAGTCTTCGCCAAAACCTTTCGGACAAATGAAAAAAGCATAGTGTTGCACAATTACCAATGCAAACTATTATTAGAACACTAATTCCCAATGCAAACTATTATTAGAATCCGGAGAATTGGACATTATTTTGGTGAACGAAAGCATTCCAACTAAGTGAAAAACTGGGATGCCAAGGTAAGCATTCCAACTAAGTGTCCTCATCCAATCAGTTCTCAACAACTGTCATCACACTTTGAAAGAATTTTTTTTGCCACGTCTGCTCCATCCTCCGCGAGCCCAACTCAAAACCCGGCTCCTTCTATAGTGCACCAAGTGCGCCCATGCACCTTTTGTCATTTATGTCGCTTCTAATTTTTTTTAAAAATTGGTTACCGGTTATACAAGTTATCAAGTTTTCACTTTTTGAAAATACAATTGCATAAGGGTCATGCAATTATGCTCTTCTTGTTTGGCAATTGGCATATGATTGGATAGTGATTTATAGTAGTTTGGATATGAGAGTACCATAACATTGTAAGAGGATCCTAAAACTTATAAGTTACAAGATTTAGATAGCGGTTTACAAGTTTTTGAACCAGGATTACAACATTAGGGTTCACCTAATCCATAATGTTGTAAATACTCATTTACAAAGAATTGATAACTCCGGACCATGAGGATGTAAATTGAGTCCTTATTCTAGTAAAATGAGGGTTTATAAGACTAAGGGCCAATTTTACAATTTTGGGATACGAGGGTACCATAACTTTGTATGGAGGATCCAAAAACATGTAAGTTACACGATTTGGGTAGTATTTGACCCTGGTCAAAGTCCGACCATGCATCTTGGAAAACCAATAGGCCAAAATGCAAATTGGCGGCTCAGGGTGCCTAACGGCCAAATCGAAATAAGAAGGCCGAACTTGGGGGTCATCCTGCACCCTATCTCGTTTAATCTTCAGTAAAGTTTATAGCTTAAGATACACGATGTTCCATCATAATTCAGACTAAGATCTTAGAAGTCGAAACCCAACTTTCAACAATGGGTTGAAAACATCTGACTTCCAAAGTCGAAACATCTGGAACTTATGAAGTGGATTAAGGCCAAGTCATCTGAGCGGCCAAGGTCAAGTCATCTGAGCGGCCAAGGTCAAGTCATCTGATCAGCCAAGGTCAAGTCATCTGATTAGCCAAGGTCAAGTCATCTAATCAGCCAAGATCAAGTCCTCTGATCAGCCAAGATCAAGTCTTCTGATCAGCCAAGGCCAAGTCATCTGATTAGCCAAGGTCAAGTCCTCTGATCAGCAAAGGTTAAGTCCTCTGATCAGCCAAGTCAAACCCAACTCCAAGCCCGATCAAGAAATTCCAAGTCATGAACATCAATGGGTGTTTTAACCAATATCAGAATTCTAGAAGTTACAATGTTTCACCAGATGTGAAGTTAAAGTCTCAAAGGTCCAAGCCCAAGGCACATATTAGAACCCATGATTTTCGGAGATAGCGTGCACGTGATGGAGGCTTCATAAGGAAGGAAATCAAGGAGATTGACGACAATCCGGAGTATCCCAAAAGAAGAGAGAATCAAGCAATCAGAAGGTCTCCATCATTGTGATCCCATAGATTTGAAGGCTTCACAAGGAAAGTTTTGAATGAAGTTGACCTTCGGCCATTTAATGGCCAGCCCATGGGCTGATGAATGCCTCTATATAAACTACATCTGACAAAGAGCAAAAGACCCCGACATCAAACACAAAAACCTACTTTTTGTCTTTCAATTTTCTATCCCTAGACTAGGTTCTTATTTTCCAAGCAAGTAGACTAGATCAGTTCTTCACTTTCGTTAGTGTAAGTTTAATTTCTTGTATTTTTATTATGTTGTCTTAAGATTCAATTTTATCGCTTTATTGTTAATTGTTATCAAATTTGCTTTAAGCTTAATTTAATTTCAAATTGCTTTATTTTATTGCCTTTATCATTTATATCGTTCTTATTTCGTTCTTCGTTTAATTTAAGTTTATTTATCGCTTTGATTTATTTTATCGCACTTCAATTCTCGTCTTTAAGTTTAATCACATATTTTAATTTAATTTGCATCATTATCATTAAAAATCTCAAAAATACTAATACGAAACCTAATCATCCTCAACCCTGAGGAAGTGAAAGAACCTAGGCCAAGAGAAGGTTCATTGTTTGGTCGATCAATCGGCTGGTTAGAAGTCAGAAACGCGAACACAACAATCCAACCTTTTTCCATTCAAGCCAGTCAGTGGCTTGGTGGTGGCATGCCTACGCAATCTAAAAGAAGAAGGACCAAAAAAACTCCTTCAATCGGCCTCCCCGGCCGAAAAGAGGGAAACAGGTAGCAATTTACAAGTTTTTGTACCACGATTACAACGTTAGGATTCTCATAATCCTTAATATTGTAAATCCTTAATTTACAAGGATATGAATCCATATTACAAGAAATTGATAAGTGCGGACCATGCTGATGTAAATTAGATACTGATAGGAGCATATTTATGCGACTTTGGTATCTTATTTCTTTGCATTTACTTAGTTAATTCCCATTTATTAGAGTGATTTAGCTTATTTTCGTACTATTGTAGGTCCAGATGGCAAGATTGGCAAGAAAGGGCATTTTGGAGCATTTTAGAGCAGTTTTGGACTTGGAATGGGTAGCATATGCATGGGCCAAGATGGATGGACGTTTTTGAAGTTCGAAGAGGCTAGGAATGTGCTAAAAAGATGGGGAAATTAATTCAAGAATCAGCTTCTGGGAAGTAAAAAACCCTAACTGATTTTATTTTATTTTACCTTATCCTAATCCTATTCGACCTAAATTCCAGCTGTAAAAGGGGGGGATTAATTTCAGATTAGGAAACCTAAAAACCCTAATTTCGTGGGTTTCTATTGGGCCCTATTATTCCTAAAGAAATCTTCCAAACAAAACCCTAATTTCGTGGGTTTCTGCTGGGCCCTTTTACCCTAGATCTATCACATATATAAAGGAGGGGTTGCCGCAGGAGAAGGGAGTTCTTTTGGGCCGTAGCAAGAAAGGAGAAAGGGAGAAGAAGAACTTGGAGCCGGAACCTGCTGCATCCATTGGGTTTTTCAGAGTTCTTCCCTTGATTAGTTCAAATGTTTATTCTATATTGCTTTTCAATTATTATGAACATGTGTAACTGAATTTCTTCTTAGTTAGAGGTGAATTCGAAGCCATGGACATATGTTTTACATGAATTGATTACTTCCAGTTATGGTTTCATAAAGTATGAATGTGATTTACTTTTCTGTTTTATTGAGGACTTATTCTTGCATGTTTATTAAGGATGCATACTTAGTTTGTATGCAGGGATTTGATGCTAGAATATAAGGGAATTTCACCTAATCGTTATGAACTTATATTCACAAGTAGTAAAAGTCACTAGTCATGATTGTGTTAAGTAAATTCTTGGCAGGAGTATCATGCTTTTCATAGTTACAATTGTCTTGTCAAGGCTTATGATTTTCATAGAACTTAATGATCTTTGATATGTATCTCTATCATGCTGTTCATATAGGGAACTTGATAAGGATAATTTGATTGCGTCGCTGAGTCCAATTCAATGAACTTAGGAAAATCTGAGAGTTAATTAGTGCATTCACAATTAATTTGGGGCTTTGTCATTCATACTTTATAGAAAGAGTAACTGGAGATCGATTTGTGTGCATATGTTCCATGTGTGGAGAAGAATCCTCTAGCTATCCCTTAATCCATATTTCATTCACAACTTAGTTGTTTGCTTCTATCAGTCTTACTTTAGTCTAAATCGTCAGAATTCCCCCCAATCATTGTTCCCTTAACTTAGTTTCCAGTTTAATAAGTTTAATTTGTGTTGATTAGCATCCCTCCTAATCCCCGGAATAGAACGATCCCTACTTACTCGTACTACGATTGCATGATTTATAGGGTTTAATTTGTGCGTTAGTTATTTCTCACGCCAAATTTTGGCGCCGTTGCCGGGGATTAGCAAAATTGCTAATCTTCCGTTTGTTTTCGTTTTTCTTGTGTTTCTGATTTTATTTTGTTTTCTTTGTTTTAGGTACTAGTTTATGACTCGAAGTTCACACCCTGTTCATGCGCACATATTGGACTTTGACGACGATTTCGAACGAACTTTGAGAAAGAAGAGGAAGCAGCCAGAACTCAATCCCTCTAGTTCTAGTTCCGAACCTGAATCTGAAGCTGAAACGGACTTTGAAGAGGAACAAGACATGGCTGTAGACAATCGAACAATCAAGGAACTTTCAGCCTCTGGATTGGACACTGCAGTCCCTCTTTGCATTCAATACCCTAGGGCAGCTGTAGGTAAGACCGATGAGTTTGAATTGAAGTCGAGTTTGCTACATCACATTCCCAAATACCATGGGCTGTCCATGGAAGATCCAAACAAGCATTTGAAGGAATTTGAAGTAGTATGTTCAAGCATGACACCCATTAACGTGGATGGGAATATTTTGAAGATGAAAGCCTTCCCATTCTCTCTTATGGACAAGGCTAAAGATTGGCTCTATGAACTAGCACCTGGAACCGTTACTTCTTGGGAAAGTATGAAGAAAGCATTCTTAGAGAAATTCTTCCCAACTTCAAGAGTCATTCTTTTGAGGAAGAAAATTAGTGGAATTCAACAAGGCCCGGAGAATCCTTTCCAGGGTACTATGAGCGTTTTAAGACGTTAGTTGCATCCTGCCCACAACATCAAATGAAGGAAGAGCTTTTAATTCAATATTTCTATGAAGGACTACTTCCACTGGAGAGACAAATGCTTGATGCTTCAGCGGGAGGTGCTTTGGTTGACAAAACACCAGTTGCTGCGAAGATCTTAATAGCAAACCGAGCTTTGAATGCACAACAATACGAAGGAGTTGGAGGGAGAGATCATACACGGCCAAGTCCAGTTAATGAGGTAAGTGCTATTTCGGAACTTCAATCTCAAATGGCTAATCTCTCTACTCTTATTTCGCAGGTTGTTGAAGGATCCAAAGGGCAAAGTACAGCCACTTGTAGCGTGTGCTCTATGCATGGACACCCCACTGATCAATGTCCTCAATTAATAGAGAATGGGGGATGGGAAAGTGCCAATGCCGTAGGTTATCAAGGCCAAAATCAACCTAGGTATGACCCATTTTCAAACACCTACAATCCGGGCTGGAGAGATCATCCAAATTTGAAGTGGAGGGAGCCTCAACAACAACAAGGCGGATATAGACAGCCACCTCCGGGGCTCTATCAAAGGCCGTTTGCACCAGCACAACCTCAACCACAAACTGCCCAATCAAATTCAGGTTCGCCATTGGATAATGATAAAATGCTTCAAGTACTAACTTCTTTGACTCAGGGTTTACAAAATCAAGCCAAAGAGATGAGCGAAGTGAAGAAGCAAATTGGGCAGATGGCGGAATTCATGGGACAGTTTAGAGAAGAAGGCAAACTACCTAGCTCAACCATTGTCAATCCAAAAGGAGGTTTTGAAACGGCTAAAGCTATCATCTTGAGGAGTGGTAAAGAGATTGGAACTAATCCCAAAATGTCCAAACAAAGCCCAAAAGAGAACAAAAAGCTGCTGCTCAAAGAGAAGGAGGTGGACAAAGCCACGGCAAGAGAGGAACAACCCTTGCTGCAGTCCCCCAAAGCTCCTACACAACCAAACTCAGGTAAGGTTGTTCCAAATTCAACTCATTCTAACCCTATCCCACCAAATGTGCCTTTTCCTCGCAGGTTTATGCAATCTAAGAAAGAAGAGAATGAAAAAGACATCTTAGAGACTTTCAGGAAGGTACAAGTTAATATCCCACTTCTTGACGCAATAAAGCAAGTTCCAAGGTATGCTAAATTCTTGAAAGAGCTTTGTACAACAAGGAGGAGGATTTCAAACAAAGAAGTGGTAAGGGTAAGTGAGAATGTTTCCGCAGTTTTGCAACGAAAACTGCCACCTAAATGCAAAGATCCAGGTAGTTTCACAATCCCTTGTGTTATTGGTAACACCAAGTTTGAACATGCCATGTTGGATTTAGGTGCTTCCATTAATGTCATGCCATACTCTATTTATGCATCTATGAACTTAGGAGAGCTTAAAAATGATGGCGTTATAATTCAATTAGCCGATCGTTCTAATGCATATCCGAAAGGAGTTTTGGAAGATGTTTTGGTGCAGGTTAACCACTTGATATTTCCAGCAGATTTTTATGTGCTTGAGATGGAGGATTCGGCCCATTCTACACCATTGCCAATCTTACTTGGACGACCTTTCATGAAAACAGCCCGAACCAAGATCGATGTGTTCAAGGGGACGTTGACAATGGAATTTGATGGCAATATCATTGATTTCAATATTTCTGAAGCTATAAGGTACCCTATTGATGATCACTCCTGTTTCTCTATTGATGCATTTGATTCTTTGGCGCAGGAATATCTCGAATCCCTAGATAGGGATGTCCTTGAAACCACCATTGTTCAAGGAATTGAACTCATCAAAAATGGGGCCGAACCTAATCATGAAGAAATTGGCGAGATGGTGGCTGCCCTTGAGTCACTGCCACAATATGTTGGTAAGTCTCCAATCCCAATCCCAATTCCCGTTTCTACTAACAAGTTGTTACCTTCGGTGATTCAGGCACCCACTCTCGAGCTTAAATCGTTACCGAATCATTTGAAGTATGTCTTCTTGGGAGATAAAGAGACTTTGCCCGTCATAATCTCTTCATCACTCACGGCAGTGGAGGAGGAAAAACTAGTTCGGGTGTTGCAAGAGTACAAAACAGCTATTGGATGGACTTTAGCCGACATCAAGGGACTTAGTCCTACAACATGCATGCATCGCATACTTCTAGAGGAGGGGGCTAAACCAACTCGAGAGGCTCAACGCCGACTCAACCCTCCAATGATGGAAGTTGTGAAAAAGGAGATCATTAAGCTTCTTGATTGTGGGGTCATTTATCCAATTTCGGATAGTCGATGGGTTTCACCGGTTCAAGTTGTACCAAAGAAATCAGGAGTCACTGTGGTAAAAAATGAAGAGAATGAACTTGTCCCCACTCGTATCCAAACAGGTTGGAGAGTTTGCATTGATTATAGGAAGCTCAACGCCACCACAAGGAAAGATCACTTCCCTTTGCCGTTCATTGATCAAATGCTTGAAAGGTTAGCTGGTCATTCTTTTTATTGCTTTCTTGATGGCTATTCGGGATATAATCAGATTGTTATAGCCCCAGATGACCAAGAAAAGACTACTTTTACTTGTCCGTTTGGTACTTTTGCTTATCGACGAATGCCATTTGGTTTATGTAATGCACCAGCCACCTTTCAAAGATGCATGGTAAGTATCTTTTCCGATTTCGTTGAGAAGATTATTGAGGTTTTCATGGATGATTTCAGTGTCTTTGGTGACTCTTTTGATGGCTGTTTAACTAATCTCACGTTGATATTAAAACGTTGCATTGAAACCAACCTTGTTTTAAATTGGGAAAAATGTCACTTCATGGTAAAACAAGGCATAGTTTTAGGACATATAGTTTCAGAAAAGGGAATTGAAGTTGATAAATCAAAAATAGGTCTTGTACGCCACTTACCCTCTCCCACTTCGGTGAGAGAGGTTCGTTCTTTCCTTGGACATGCAGGATTCTATAGACGTTTTATCAAAGATTTCTCGAAGATTTCAACACCCTTGTGCCGACTTCTACAAAAGGATGTGCCGTTTGTGTTTGATGACAAATGTGAGAAGGCGTTCAATCACCTCAAAGAATTGTTAACTTCGGCACCTATCATTGTTCCACCAGATTGGAGCCTTCCGTTTGAGCTTATGTGTGATGCTTCAGATTATGCTTTAGGGGCTGTTTTGGGACAACGGAAAGACAAGAAGCCACACGTCATCTACTACGCATCCCGAACCTTGAATGATGCTCAATTGAATTACTCCACCACTGAAAAAGAACTTCTTGCTGTTGTGTTTGCTTTAGATAAGTTTCGTTCTTATTTACTTGGTACTAAAGTTATAATTTACTCTGACCATGCAGCTTTGAAGTACTTACTCACAAAGAAAGAAGCCAAACCAAGGCTTATTCGCTGGATGCTTCTTCTTCAGGAGTTTGACGTGGAAATTAGGGACAAAAGAGGATGTGAAAATGTAGTGGCTGACCACTTGAGCCGTTTGGTACATGAAGAAGACCTTCTACCTATTCCAGAGGCATTCCCAGATGAACAATTGCTGACCATTGAGGTAAGTGAGCCATGGTATGCTGATATTGTGAATTATATTGTGTCTAAACAAGTTCCAAGCACCATAACTAGGCACCAACGCGATAAACTTAAAAAAATTGCACGGTTTTATGTGTGGGATGACCCTTATTTGTGGAAATATTGCCCTGATCAAATTATTCGTAGATGTGTGCATGATTCTGAGTTTAATTCAATCTTAACCTTCTGTCACACTTATGCATGTGGGGGTCACTTTGGTACACAACGCACAGCACTTAAGGTTTTAGAATGTGGATTTTATTGGCCTACTATCTTTAAGGATGCTAGAACTTTTTGTATGACTTGTGATCGTTGTCAAAGAACGGGCAATATAGGTGCAAAAGATCAAATGCCGCAAACCCCTATCTTTTCTGTTGAGATTTTTGATGTTTGGGGTATTGATTTCATGGGCCCTTTTCCTTCTTCACATGGTTTTAATTATATCTTACTTGCTGTGGATTATGTTTCAAAATGGGTGGAAGCAAAAGCCACCCGTACCAATGATTCCAAAGTGGTTGCAGATTTTATTAAAACTAACATATTTGCAAGATTTGGAATGCCACGAGTACTTATAAGTGATGGGGGCTCTCACTTTTGTAATCGGACCATAGAGGCACTACTTAAGAAGTATAATGTCACGCATAAGGTTTCAACACCTTATCATCCCCAAACAAGTGGACAAGCCGAAGTTTCCAACCGGGAAATCAAGCAGATCTTGGAAAAGACAGTTGGACCAACTCGAAAGGATTGGAGCTTGCGTTTGAATGATGCATTGTGGGCATATCGTACTGCCTACAAAACACCAATTGGAATGTCTCCTTTTCGGCTCATTTATGGGAAACCATGCCATCTTCCAGTTGAGTTGGAGCATCGTGCACATTGGGCAGTCAAGACTTTCAACATGAACATTGATGCCGCTGGACTTCATAGGAAATTGCAATTGAATGAGCTTGAGGAAATTCGGACTGAAGCTTATGAGAACGCTCATATTTACAAGGAGAAAACAAAGGCTGCCCATGACAAGATGATTCGTAGTAAAACGTTTTCTGTGGGGCAGAAAGTGTTACTTTTCAACTCTCGCCTTCGTTTGTTTCCGGGTAAGTTGCGTTCTAAATGGATTGGTCCTTTTGTTGTTACTAATGTTTTTCCCTATGGTGCAGTCCAAATTCAAAGTTTTAAGACGGGACATGAATTCAAAGTGAATGGACACCGTTTGAAGCCATACTATGAGTCTTTTGAGGAGCATGTAGTGGAGGATGTACCCCTCCATGCCATTGGCCCTAGTGAAGCTTAAAGGGAGGTACCGTCCGGCTGGAAGACGTTAAAGCAAGCGCTTCTTGGGAGGCAACCCATGTGTTCAAATAGAAAGACAACGGAATCTCCGGGCTCTACAACCAGATTTGCTCTCTTTTACTCTTCTCTTTATTATTTTTACTTTGCTATAATTGTCTTGTTTGCTAGTTGTCTCTTATTGCTTTCTTGTTTAAAGTTTTCTTTTGAAACATTGAGGACAATGTTTAGTTTAAGTGTGGGGGGGTAAACAGAGTGCTTTTCGTGATTTATTTTCAAAATTCACCACCTATCACTACTAATGTTGTTATTCACTGTTTTAAAATTGTTTTCGTGCTTTATTTTTAAAATTAAATAAAAAAAAAAAAAAAAAAAAGAAAAGTCAAGAGTCGTTTTTGTTGTTTATTTGTGTCTTAGGGTACCTTCCAACACAATGATGAGGATTTGGTTTTTAATTGCATGACTTTTAAAGAAAGTTACAAACATGGGTGGAAGTCTGATATGCTCTTTGGTTAATACTTAGTTATAGTTGTCAATTACGAATTCACAAAAAAAACACAAAAAAAAAAAAAAAGATAATTTTTGTAACATGCTGGAAGGAAGGAACTCAAACTAATGCTGCAACCCTGAGAGACTTGAGCCTGTTCTTTGTTTGGAGAGTTATTAATCTTGATATTCTTGTTTTCTAAAGTCGTTGCATGATCTCATTATTTCTTTGCTTGGTTGCTACTTAGAATGCTTTTTCATCTCTTTAGTTCCAAATACTAGAACTCATGCCTGTTCCATTCAAAGCATCAAATTGATTGCGTAACAAATAACAAGATGAAGTTGTTTAGTTACCATCAGAGCCAAAAAGCCTTATCCCTTGCATATGCATTGTAGGTTTAACCATTTTGAAGCCTTATTTAGCTTATTTTCTTTGTTAGCTTGCATTATCCCTACCTATCCTAGTATAAGAATATCCATACCCTTGTTCTTAAAGAATAGTCAAGCATGACTTGTTGGGAATTCCTTTTTTGATTTGCACAAAAAAAAAAAAAAAAAAAAAAAAAAACAAGTGTGGGGGAAGGATTTGTTCCTTTGGATTAGTGTTGTCCAAAAAAAAACAAAAAACAAAAAACAAAAAAAAGAGAGAAAAAAAAAGAAGGGATATGTGAATCTGAATAAATCTCCCCTTTGTGCTAAAAATTGGGTGCTGCAATCACAAGTTGAATTCCAAGTGTTGATTTCATTGCTCTGTTTACTATTACTTTAAGAACCTTTGTTTATCCTTAACCTTTCTTTGTTAGCCAATACCTTAGCCCCAATACAACCCTTAGACTTCTATCTTGATTGTTATGTGTTTCAATATGTGGAGTTTGAAATTGGTATGAGCTTATGGAATCCCTGGTTCTCGCTTCTAAGTAGTAGCATTCTGTTCATGAGATCATATACATGTTCGTATTAATAATTCCAGAAAGTGCTTTCTTTGTTATAACATATGTGAGTGCTAGTCTACACATTTACATCAATCTTCTCACATATACTTAGTATAGGGAGTGTGGTCAGAAAATCTGTGTGAAAATAGAGAGTATATCGGGTGAGGAATTGAGTGAATTCTCTAAGGCATGTTACCACTTTCAAATGTTGTTTTAATTGATTAAATGTGAGCTAGTGAGTGTTTACTGTGATTAAGTATGAGCTCGAGGGTAAGGATGGCTCAAATCTGTGTGAGTAGTGATTTTTAACATGTCATGTTTCATTGGAAATCCCTGAGGCAATTGTTGGAAGGTTTAGGTTTTGTTTTGTTTTCTTTGTTCTGCTAGGGACTAGCAGAAGCTAAGTGTGGGGGAATTTGATAGGAGCATATTTATGCGACTTTGGTATCTTATTTCTTTGCATTTACTTAGTTAATTCCCATTTATTAGAGTGATTTAGCTTATTTTCGTACTATTGTAGGTCCAGATGGCAAGATTGGCAAGAAAGGGCATTTTGGAGCATTTTAGAGCAGTTTTGGACTTGGAATGGGTAGCATATGCATGGGCCAAGATGGATGGACGTTTTTGAAGTTCGAAGAGGCTAGGAATGTGCTAAAAAGATGGGGAAATTAATTCAAGAATCAGCTTCTGGGAAGTAAAAAACCCTAACTGATTTTATTTTATTTTACCTTATCCTAATCCTATTCGACCTAAATTCCAGCTGTAAAAGGGGGGGATTAATTTCAGATTAGGAAACCTAAAAACCCTAATTTCGTGGGTTTCTATTGGGCCCTATTATTCCTAAAGAAATCTTCCAAACAAAACCCTAATTTCGTGGGTTTCTGCTGGGCCCTTTTACCCTAGATCTATCACATATATAAAGGAGGGGTTGCCGCAGGAGAAGGGAGTTCTTTTGGGCCGTAGCAAGAAAGGAGAAAGGGAGAAGAAGAACTTGGAGCCGGAACCTGCTGCATCCATTGGGTTTTTCAGAGTTCTTCCCTTGATTAGTTCAAATGTTTATTCTATATTGCTTTTCAATTATTATGAACATGTGTAACTGAATTTCTTCTTAGTTAGAGGTGAATTCGAAGCCATGGACATATGTTTTACATGAATTGATTACTTCCAGTTATGGTTTCATAAAGTATGAATGTGATTTACTTTTCTGTTTTATTGAGGACTTATTCTTGCATGTTTATTAAGGATGCATACTTAGTTTGTATGCAGGGATTTGATGCTAGAATATAAGGGAATTTCACCTAATCGTTATGAACTTATATTCACAAGTAGTAAAAGTCACTAGTCATGATTGTGTTAAGTAAATTCTTGGCAGGAGTATCATGCTTTTCATAGTTACAATTGTCTTGTCAAGGCTTATGATTTTCATAGAACTTAATGATCTTTGATATGTATCTCTATCATGCTGTTCATATAGGGAACTTGATAAGGATAATTTGATTGCGTCGCTGAGTCCAATTCAATGAACTTAGGAAAATCTGAGAGTTAATTAGTGCATTCACAATTAATTTGGGGCTTTGTCATTCATACTTTATAGAAAGAGTAACTGGAGATCGATTTGTGTGCATATGTTCCATGTGTGGAGAAGAATCCTCTAGCTATCCCTTAATCCATATTTCATTCACAACTTAGTTGTTTGCTTCTATCAGTCTTACTTTAGTCTAAATCGTCAGAATTCCCCCCAATCATTGTTCCCTTAACTTAGTTTCCAGTTTAATAAGTTTAATTTGTGTTGATTAGCATCCCTCCTAATCCCCGGAATAGAACGATCCCTACTTACTCGTACTACGATTGCATGATTTATAGGGTTTAATTTGTGCGTTAGTTATTTCTCACGCCAGATACTTATTCTAGTAAAATAAGGGTTTACAAGATTAAGGGCCGATTTTACAATTTTGGGATACAAAGGTACCATAACGTTGTAAAGAGGATTCATAAACATGTAGGTTACACAATTTGGATAGTGATTTACAGATTTCTGCACCATGATTAAAACATTAAGGTTCTCATAATCCTTAATGTTGTAAATCCTTATTTTACAAGGATATGGATCCAAATTATAAAAAATAGGTCAGTTTGGACCATAAGGATGTAAATTGGGTCCTTATTCTAGTAAAATAAGAGTTTATGAGATTAAGGGCTGATCTTACAATTTTGGGATACGAGGGTACCGAAACATTGTAAAATGGATTCATAAACATGTAACTTACACGATTTATGTAGTGATTTACAAGTTTTTGTACAACGATTACAACGTTAGGGTTCTCATAATCCTTAACGTTGTAAATCCTTATTTTACAAGGATAGGGATTCAAATTACAAAGAATAGGTAAGTCCGGACCATGAGGATGTAAATTGGGGTCCTTATTCTAGTAAAATGAGGGTTTACAAGATTAAGGGCTGATTTTACAATTTTGGGATATGAGGGTACCAAAACATTGTAAAAAGAATCCCTAAACTCATAACTTACAAATTTTTGGTAACAATTTACAAGGTTTTGCTCCTGGATTACAACGTTAAGGTTCACCAAATCCATAATATTGTAAATCATATATTTACAAGAATATGGATCCATATTACAAAGGATTGGTAATAGTGGACATTATGGATGTAAATCGGGTCCTTATTCTAGTAAACAATGGTTAAGAATAGATTTTGTAATCTTATGGAACACAAATGTCCAAAATAGAGTAATATGAGACCTTAATATTGTAAATATTTGTGTTTACAAGTATAAAGACCTAATTTACTTTCCTAATGTCCTTAGTTACCTTAATATTGTACTAGATGTATTTATCCTTGTAAATTACAATATTACAATATTAAAGATGGGTTTTACAATTCTATAGAACACATCTGTCCAACATAGAGTAATACAATACCTTAATATTGTAAACAATTGTGTTTACAAGTATAAGGACCCAATTTACTTTCCTAATGTCCCAAGTTACCTTAATATTGTACTAGATGTCTTTATCTTTGTAAATTACGATATTACAAGATTAAGGATGGATTTTACAATGTTATGGAACATAGCTGTCCAACATAAAGTAATACGAGACCTTAATATTGTAAACATCCGTGTTTACAAGTATAAGGACCCAATTTACTTTCCTAATGTCCTAAGTTACCTTAATATTGTACTACATGTCTTTATCTTTGTAAATTATGATATTACAATATTAAGGATGAGTTTTACAATCTTATGGAATATAACTGTCCAATATAGAGTAATATGAGACCTTAATATTGTAAACATCCATGTTTACAAGTATAAGGACCCAATTTACCTTCCGAATGTTCCACTTTACCTTTATATTGTTCTAAATGTCCTTATGTTTGTAAATTACGATATTACACGAATAAGGATTGATTTTACAATAGAATGGAACACAAATGTTCAACAGAGTAATATAAGTCCTTACTATTGTAAACCCTTTTGTTTACAATCACTACAAGAAAAACACCCTTAGTTGATGGCTAAAAAGCATCATGATAGCCATTAATTGACGGCTCGAAAAGCGTCACGGATGCCACTGTCAGGAAAGGGGTACCCCCATTCTTGACACTTATTATCCATCAAGATTTACTGTTTCCTGACAGTTATGAAACGTCACAAACCCATCTCTTCTCTTGACGCTTTTTAACTATCAACAATTTTTTTTAAAAATATACTTAAGGGTTGTTTCTTGATGGTTTTTAGCCGTCAAGAGCAGTATGACTGAAGAAAAAAAAATTAAAGCTTCGTAAATAAAAGGTGCAAAGAAATAATTAAATTGCTAAATAATTACATAAAACAAGAAACTGAAATCTCACATCCACTAAAATAAAAATATTATATATATAAATTTAAGTACTAAAAAAATGTTATAACATGTCAACTACCTATTAAAAACATAAAAACATAGAGAAATAAACCAAATGATCTATATAGAACTTGTCACTTGGAAGCTCGACTTTGCTTGATGATTGCCTTTGTGGTATGAGCCGCACTAATCACATCAATCTGCTAAGATGTAAACATATGAATTAACAAGTTAATTAATGTCGATGGAACTAAAACTAAACAGAATTCAGATAATAGATTATGCCTTAAATAATCTCTAATGTTTAATAATATATATAATGCTGAGTTTACCTGTTAAGTCCTCACTTTGTTAAACATACATATTCTTAGATATTTAAGATAATGTAAAGTTAACAAAGATAGTATCAACCAAAGAAATTCTATGATCAAAAGTATTGAATGATAGCCTAGTATTGAATAATAACCAAAACAGAGAAATCTGTGCACCTAAATAATGAAATACAAGTCTCATATAACAAGATCAGTCACATGAAAGTATATGTGGAAGGATACAATAGCACAATTGCATATTTTACTCTAATCTGTTACTAGGATTAACATTTACTTACATGGGGCTGAATAGAGATTGATAAAGATATCAATTGACCAATAATCAAATGTACACATTTATGGCAGCATGTTGATGCACATTTAAACAGAAAGTTAGAAATCATGAAGTAGAAATATTTCTAAAAAGTTCACTCACATGAAACTCTAGAACAGTTAGAAATATTTTAAAGCCAAGTCACTCACATGAGAAGCTGCAACTTTTACTTTCAACAATGCTGTTAAAGCTTCTTCTGTACATACATGAAGAGATTTTTTAAAAGGGAAAAACCTATATTTTTAAACGATGTAACACAAGTAACCAAGGATAAGCATGCATCAAGGAGAAATGTAGACCACTAAATTAGCAAAAATAATCTTTAAATTCTACAAGTCCTTATAATACCTGAAACAAGTCATGGGCCTTCACAAATTCCACAATTGTGCGCATAGTTCCCTCCTTGGCTTCACTCAATATATATGCATCTTCAACAGCAAAAGTAGCTAAGTACTAGCTCAGAAATTTGAAAGACTCCTATGCCAAGCTGAATATACAACACAAAAATTAATCAATTATTCCTAAACCAATTGAACAGTGTACACATAAAAAAAAATTATAGTTCACAATTTCCACATAGCATAACATAGCTTTTGTGTTCTTTTAAAACATTTGAGATGGTAAGAAATAGTTGCCTCTTGTCTGATATCCCAATATTCCACTCTTTCAAGAAACTTTCTATCTTTTTGAACTAAGGGATGACACGTTCAGTGACCTTTTCATTGATTGCCAAATTTAGAGCACTCAAGTAGACAAAGAACCAACTGTATGGACTCCAACAAGTTGTATATAGAATACAAACAGAAGCTCAAACAGCAAGACACAAGAACTGGGTGGACACCAAGACACAAAAACTGGCCAAAGCCAAGGCCAGAACCAAACTTCTTACCCAATCAAAAATAAATACGAAACTGAACAACATAGAAACCCATAAGACAAGGAATTGAAGACACAACAAGAAATTGACTCCTTAAAATTCCTAGAAATGAAAATCAAGCAATTCATAGAAAATTGCAGCACTAAGGAATAATTTTTACTAGCATCCAGGGCTAGGAGAGAGAAAGAAATGACCAAAAATAATGAGAACAATAAAACCCATACTAGAATCCAAATACTCAATTAGGAAAACAATCCAAATATAGAAAACAAATTAAATCTGTATCAGATTCATGTTTTCAGACTTGAACTTCTAAATGAAATGAACCCAAATACATAAAAGAGATCGAACCCATTTTGGTGTATTAACAGTCCAGATTTCAAAGAAAACGACCTCAAATTCTAAAAAGTGATGAAGAAACGCACCTCTGTTTGCAGCTTGCATAGGAAAAACTCGATTCCGGTGATGCCGCTGAACCAGAGCAAGAAAGATTCTCCAACACCATATCCTTCATCTCATCTCCTCTGTATGCAGTCGGATCGATCACCCACACCATATTTCATGGGTTCCACTGCTGCTCGTGAAGCTAAGGTCTCCGATCGAAGCGGGTCTCGGGTCTTTTTGTGATTTTGCAGATGGTTGTGAAATGGTAATGGATATTGGTGTCTATCGGGGTCTGAGTGATCGAGTTGAAGTTGGTGTTTGGTCGAGGGAACAAAAGTCAGAGGGGTTGTGCTCTCGTTGATTCTGATTTGTGGGTTTTGCAATCTGCTTAGAGTGGATGAAAACCCAAAGATAACAGAAAAATTGGAAAGAAATTGAGAGATCTTGAGCAAGAGAGTGAGAGTGGAAAGATGATTAAGCGAGAACATAGAAGAATTGAGCGAAAGATTGAGAGCAGAGAGACGAGTTGTGCGACACAGTGATATTGAGAAAAAGAAAAGGTAGGGCGGCGCAAGACAGTGTGAGAGAGAGAGAGAGAGAGTGAGAAAGTGAAAAGAGAGAAAAATGGAAGGGGAATATGCTGGTGTAATCACGTTTATGAAATGGTGTGCTGAAATGATCAGGGTACAAATTGTGTTATGATATGATCACTTGGGGACGTGAAATGACTAAAGTGCCCTCTATATAAAAGCATATCTATTGTGGAGCTATTAACCATTGATTGCTGACCGAAAACTTCTGACCTCGCTCTCTGCGTTCTCTCTTCCTCTCTCAGCATTTTATCTCTCCACCGTCGCTCCATGACCACCACCACTCTGTTTCTCCCACTCTCGCGAAACCCATCCCTGTGTCAATTTCTCAACAAAAAAACTCAATCTTTATCCCCTATCTAGGGTTATCTGGTCTTACAAGTCCAACTCATAAAAATAAAAGCTTAGCCAAAGCCTTGAATACATGTCCTTTAAGTTTTAATCCTTTATATTTTCTTTCTTGAGAAGAAATAATGGACACAATGGACAAATCAGAGTCGATTTGCTGCCTTCTGATAGCATTTACTTCATTGTGGGAATCATTAACAAGAAGCTCGATGTGAATCAGTTCCAAAATGTCCATTCTTGCCGCAGTGGGCTATCGGATTCTTGTCTCAGATCGTTGAAACGGGGCATCCAGGTATTTATTTAAAACCTTTATGTTCTGATTACATTTGGACCTTTGCGTTTCTATTTTTATTGAAATCGTTTTGTGAGCTTTTCAATATGTGTGGTTCTTTAGGGATTCTTTCAATTGTCTGTTTCTGGGTTGTTGTTCTATTGGTCCTGCTCTCACGTAGATGAGCAATTGCATATGGATTTATAGTGCTAGAGCTAAATAAGATATATTAAAGTATATTTTAAATCTTGGAGTGGTCTTCTTTACTAAAAAAGGATCAATTTTCTTTGTAATGATTCCCCCTTTGTTTATGTGTATGTATGTGCATACATACAGCTCTTGATATTTATCAGAGCTTTATTTCATAGGTGATTTACTTAGACAGACTCTGCTTTTGAATACTTATCTAATATAGTAGTAGAGTGCTCATTTGTGTGGTGATTGCAGGACTAGTTCCCTATGCAGTGACCATTTGTGTGGTGATTGTAGGACTAGTTCCCTGTGCAGCACAAGAGATTGAAAGGTTTTCTGAAGATACGAGAAATAAGGTTTGTATGCCAAATATTGGGGCACAAAGTTCAGATCTTGGCCGAGTTTCAGCTAGATTTTTGGTAGCTATTTCTCCTATTTGGTCAAAGACACTACTTGTGCAGAGACTTTTGCATTTATACGGAAGAGCTTATTTTATTGGGGCTTGATATATTATGCTTGAGGATTAAAAGAAGGAAATTTTGGATATGCTTCAAAATCCCGCGTTTAGAACATTAATGAATCATCAGAAAGGCTTCAGCTTTAGATGTTAATAAGGGATTGAATACGTATTAAGCAGAGTCTAGTGTATGGATCCCTGGTGGTGCTTTCCTCTTAGTCATTTACTTGTCAGATTCTGTGACTCATCTTTGATGTTCCCTGGAAAAAAATCTTTCTTCTTTCATTGTTCTTTTGAGTTATTCCCATCTGTAACTTATCCTTGATGGATGCTTCTTCTTGCAGTTAACTTCATAGCTGTAATAACATACCACATTTTGCCTGACAGTAGGATTTTCGGGTTGCTTATTGCCTAAGTTTTGTGCAAAAGAGCTATTTTCTTTTTTCTTTTTTAATTCAAAAAGGGCTTTAATTTCTTTTCTTGGTTACTCAAAAAGAGTGTTTGTTTCTTCGTCCTTCTCATTCATCTTACTCCTTTTAAATTTTGGAATGCAGTGATCCCAACACCCTGATAGTGAAATGGCGAAATCACAAGGCATCACAGTTTCTCCTCCTGCGCAGCAGCAAGGAAGCAAAAATGTTCAGACTGGACGTCCCCAGAATATACTCACCTTAAGCTTGACTAAAGGAAATACAACATATAATGAATTTAAACATGGATTCCCATCTGATGGCTTATCCACTGCATCCAATAAATGGTGGGGAAGCAATAGCCCTGATGGTTATGAGAGCATCCATGGAGAAGGAGCTGAGACTGATGAAGAAAAGAAACATCAGTCGGAAAAATTGGCAGGTGATGGTGCAAGTTCAACTGTAGTGGACAAAGAGAAATGTGAAAGTGGGAAAGAAGAGAACATTAGTTCCCAAGGAACAGATTTACTGATGGCTGTGAGAAAAAAAAGTATGGAAGAAGGGCAAAAAGCACTTAAGCTTGGTGTTTTCCGGGGTTATGGTGCAAAGAAGCTAGGCAGAAGGGAGAGGGCATTGCTTCTCCGAATATTCTCTCTTGAATCGTAGTTGGACTACTCTGGACATTATAGATTATATATAATTCATGTTAGGTTACACAGTTTTTTCTTTCGACATGATTGACAATCATATTGAATTCTCAATCTGAATGGCATTTTCTTTTTTTATTTGGCCTTAGTCTGAATGGTATTGTTTTGGTTTTCATTATGATGACCATGAGTTTTATAGACCCCATTGGTTGATGGAATCTTGAGAGAGGTTTCCAAACCACAAAAATATTGTACTGCTACTGTTTATCCTACAAAATCATTGTCCCTACTTCCTTTTCATTTGTTGCAATGACTGTTTGGCATTGATTGGTTTATTTATTTTGCTTTTGTTTTTGCCTCTGGTACTGTATTCATGTCCTTGCTTGCTGGTTCCCTTTTTGGGGTTTTCAAAGGTGTAGCTTTGGTGGTTTTCAATGCCACTACTAGTGCATCTTCTTCTTATTTCTTGTCAAAGTTGATAGGGAGGCACATCACATTGTCTTCTCTATTAGGCATGACAAGCTGCAGTTTTTCCAAAACCAGGTAAATTCAAATGTCTCAATATCTCTCATTGATAGGGCTCTCTCTCACTCACAAACGAGCTACTTAAGTAGCTATCAAACGGTCAACAGCGAACGTTAAATACTGCACCATCATCACCCTCTTCACCAACCCACTTTGCTCGCTGCATTTTTTGTACAAGAGCTCCACGGTTCGTGTAAGTTCTCATTGCTTCTTTGATCAATTTGCTTCGAGTTAGCTCAAAAAACTTAAACTGCAATGCTTCAAATTCTACTTTGAAAGATTGGAATGAAATGAGCAAGTTTCTTGTCAAAGTCGTTGTTTTTATATTGGTATTTGATTTAAATCAGTCCCCCAGAAAAGAAACTTTAGAAATTCTAGAACATTAATTTCCTCGGGAAAAAAAAACTCTATTTATAAGGCACTGTTTTTGAAAAATAAACTGAAAGAACAAGGGAAAAAAAAATTATATTTATAATTATAAAAATAAAATCCACGTCGGTTATATTTCACATAACGACGTTTTAAAAACGAATCCACGTCGTGAAAAAAATATTGCGTCGTTTTAACTTAAATAAGACGACGGTATAACAACAAACAATCGTTGTTTTTATATTCGTGTTTGATTTAAATCAGTCACCCAAAAAAGAAAGTTTACAAATTCTAGAACATTAATTTCCTCGGGAAAAAAAATTCTATTTATAAGGCATTGTTTTTGAAAAATAAACTAAAAGAACAAGGGAAAAAAAATTATATTTATAATTATAAAAATAAAATCTACGTCGGTTATATTACACATAAGACGTTTTAAAACGAATCCACGTCGCGAAAAATATTGCATCGTTTTAGTTTAAAAAAGACGACGGTATAACAGAAAACCGTCGTTGTTTCAATTTCTTTAACCGTTCTCTTTCTGCAGGACTTGGCTAGTTCAAAGCATTGACAGCCGAAGCCATCTGATTCGATTGCTCAGGCTTTAGAGGCCATCTGAAGCCATTTCTATTCTTTATCGCATTGTTGAAAACCCATCTTCTTCTTCAGAAGCTCTACGGATAACCCATCTTCTTCACTAATGCCGATAACCCATCTTCTTCTATCACAAACCTGACGGATCTTCTTAGCCAAGAAAATCGAACAGAGGCTGACATCTGATCTTCAGGTTTCCCTGATAAGCGAACTTTCCTTCGACAGCGAGTGGAGGCCAGGCTTGCATCTCTTTATATGGAAAGCAAGGAGTATTCAGAAACACTAAGTCTCCTGTCAGGATTGACAAGCTTCCTCTTGTGGACATAGATTTGTTGGAGAGTAAGCTCCATTTCTCTTTGAGAAAGACATCCAAATTATTGTCTTCGAGATGTGAGAGAGAGTGTCTGTGAGAGAGGAAGAACTTGGAAACCTAAATGAAAACTGAAACTGAAAGAAAGCGACAAATTTATACAATAAATTTTTAAAACCCACGGCGGTCCTTACACAAAACCGCCGTCTATTTATAAATTCCATGTCAGTATATTAAACAAAACGACGTATATTATAAAAATAAACGTCGGTAAATTACAAAACATCGTCGTGTTAAATACTTCTACCATGACGCGAGATATTGATTTATTGACTTTTATTTAGGAGTTTACTACGGCGGTACCTACAACACTACTGTCGTATTTATTTACCACGTCTTAAGTTCAAATTATCGTCGTAGTTTGTCTATTTATACGTCGTCGTTCTATGTAAACCACCGTCTTATTACTATTGTTTACACCATAATCAACCGAGCATATCCAGCCTCAAAACAACTAGCACCAAGGCGGACACCTGTCACCACCACAGCGATTTGCACAAAGTCCCACATCGGAAATCTACACAAAACTCTCACTTTCACCTCCTTATAAATGTAGAGTAGTATCCATGTGAAAAGGGGACTTCCTCTCTCCACTTAGAAGAGGATCCGGGCCTCAGAGCTAGACCCTAGGGCCGAGGACTCTCTTCTAGATCCCTGGCCTGGGCATCTCACTTGTCATCTTTATATTCAGGTCTCACCCCATGTACAAATGTAATCATACACTATTATAATGAGAACATACTTCTCCGTGGACGTAGCTCATTCATTAAGGGTGAACCACGTATATCTTGTCTTCTTTACATTTATCGCTTGCCCAAGTCTTTACACACATGCTTAAGGTCCTCACCTTCATTCATCATCCATCACACCTATTCTCTAAGTTGACCTCCCAAAAGAGCATCAACAGTTTGGCGCCGTCTGTGGGAACTGACACAAAAGGCTTCTGTCGTTCTCCCATTCTTCAGTGCCCTTCGGCACCTCATCATCATTTGGTGCGCACGTTTCCTTCGGCACCCCGCCGCCATCCGATGCAAGCTTTGTGTTGCCTTCGGCACCCCTCATGCCTAGCCACATTGCCTTGCGACATGCGAGCTTTGTGTTGCCTTCGGCACCCGTCGTGCCTAGCCACATCGCTTTGTGACACGCAAACTTTGTGTTGCCTTCAGAACCTTCGTGCCTAACCACATCGCTCTGTGACACGCAAGCTGTGTTATCTTCAGCACCCTCGTGCTTAGCCACATTGCCTTGCGATATGCGAGCTTTGTGTTGCCTTCGGCACCCCTCGTGCCTAGCCACATCGCTTTGTGACATGCAAACTTTGTGTTGACTTCAGAACCTTCGTGCCCAGCCACATCGCTCTGTGACACGCAAGCTGTGTTATCTTCAGCAACCTTGTGCTTAGCCACATTGCCTTGCGATATGCGAGCTTTGTGTTGCCTTCGGCACCCGTCGTGCCTAGCCACATCGCTTTGCGACATGCAAACTTTGTGTTGCCTTCAGCACTTTCGTGCCCAGCTACATTGCCTTGCAACATGCGAGCTTTGTGTTGCCTTCGACACCGCTCGTGCCTAGCCACATCGCTTTGCGATATGCAAACTTTGTGTTGCCTTCAGCACCTTCGTGCCCAGTCACATCGCCTTGCGACGTGCAAGCTTTATGCCTTCGGCACCCCTGTGCCTAGCCACATATTGTGTCACCTTCGACAGCTTCGGCAAACCTCTCTGATATGAGCAATACCCACACACATCCTCACCGCAAGATAAGATTTCTCTTCTTACATATAAATATTGCATACGAGCATGTAATATTTAAGTAATTCATTGCACAATCCTATTCAACAACATGGTTCATGAATATTGCATATGAATCAAGGCTGTCCGGGCCACTTTGAAGATGCTCCAATTTGTCAAGTGCCAAATATTCCAAGTCACCGACAACATCACTTTGCAGGGCTAAGGAGGCCAACCACCATTTCAATCCAATGAGAAGCCCACATGACAACTAGCTGAACGTCTGGGGCAATTTAGATGGCCGAGCCATACGGCACCCAGCCACTAAACTTATCAAAACACACAAGGACACTTGGAAAATTTCTCAGGGCACTCAAGGACACCGAATGGCAGCCACACCCCACCTTCTCCGGAAGCTTCAGATCAGCAACTCTAGGAGCAGCTCCAGAAGCTCCCAAGTCTTCTAACTCATGGTTGGTTTTTTGTTCAAAACACCGAATGGCACACGCATTTGCTCAAGACACCCAAATCGCAAGCCTAGCTTCAATTTTCTTTCCAGCCCCTGCTCAAAATCGAAGCACCCAAGGAACACATCAAGTTTAGCACATTGGCAAGGCCCATGAAAGCAATTTAAGGGCGACTTGCAAAAAGTCTTACCGAAATAAAGGAGCCCACCTGCTACAGCAGCTCCACGCTTGCCGACGATGCCCTCATGACCCAGCTTCAATGGCCTGGCCCCAGCAAAGTTATCAATGGCCCAGCTACTTTAAAAAACGTTTAGCAACGGGGAAGGCCCAGCTTTGATTCCCAATCTGCCGAACAGCCAGACCTCATTAATCTAGTAGCCCAGCCCCTTGGATGAAGGTCAAGCCCAAGCTCACACCAAGGGCCTAGCTCCCTAAATTCAAGACCCCTAAAGCTTGAGCCCACAATGGGCCTAAAAGGATCCGGGGCCCCAAAAAAAAAAAAAAAAAAAAAAAAAAAAAAAAAAAAAAAAAAAAAAAAAAAAAAAAAAAAAAAAAAAAAAAAAAAAAAAAAAAAAAAAAAAAAAAAAAAAAAAAAAAAAAAAAAAAAAAAAAAAAAAAAAAAAAAAAAAAAAAAAAAAAAAAAAAAAAAAAAAAAAAAAAAAAAAAAAAAAAAAAAAAAAAAAAAAAAAAAAAAAAAAAAAAAAAAAAAAAAAAAAAAAAAAAAAAAAAAAAAAAAAAAAAAAAAAAAAAAAAAAAAAAAAAAAAAAAAAAAAAAAAAAAAAAAAAAAAAAAAAAAAAAAAAAAAAAAAAAAAAAAAAAAAAAAAAAAAAAAAAAAAAAAAAAAAAAAAAAAAAAAAAAAAAAAAAAAAAAAAAGTTGAAATCTGACCCGTTTGGAAACCCAACTTCAGCTGAAGATTTTTCCCTCTCTGTGAAAAACTCAAGAACACAATCCTCTCTTTTTTAATGTAATGCAAATCCACAATTAGAAAGATCCAAAGCTCCCAAACTCTATAATCGCTCCATTGTCATCAGCTCCTTGGGAGGCCTGCGATCTATGGTATCCTCGGTATGATGATTAATGGCTTTTACCTAGCTATTGCCCTGTTTTGATTCTATGATTGAAGTGAAAACCCCTTCTCTTTTTCGTTCAGCAGAAGAGATTCCAGATGAAAGCAAAGTAGCATATCTCTTTTTCGTGCTGCTGCAGTTGTTCCTGGATTTTGGTAGAGATGGAGTCTCCACTACGAAAGAATCCTCTCTAATGTCCACCACATTCTTTGAAGCTGACTGAGTTCGGAACTCCCGATTGACTTTGAGAGGTAAGTTCACTCTTGCTGGATTGATTTTGTTGGGTTTGATTTGTTTTTTGTGAGGGTGAGAAATTTGTCATTTGTGGCATCAATAATGCGTCATTTGCTCTGCTATCAATAATGCGTCATTTGACTTTGAGAGGTAAGTTCACTCTTGCTGGATTGATTTTGCTGGGTTTGATTTGTTTTTTGTGAGGGTGAGAAATTTGTCATTTGTGGCATCAATAATGCGTCATTTGCTCTGCTATCAATAATGCGTCATTTCCTTATGAATATTCAATATACTTAGTTGATTATTTTTGTTTGGAGGGGGATTGGAAAATTATGAAATGTAGGTAAAAGATCCTAAACTTAGGCTTAATGGCATTAGAAGTAAGCATTTGGAGAGGATATTGGGTGAAGTTCTGTAATTGCTGGTTTGAATTACATTTGAGTTCTTAGTTGAACATGTTGGTTCTAATGTTATTTTTTCCAGATTATTTCACAAGAGATGACGTAACTATTATTAAATTTTGCTTGTGTTTTGTGTAATCAGAATCCAACAAGCTAGGCTATGCGTGTATTGTGTCAATTTGGGCAATGTTTTGTGTAAGTGGAATGCATTGATAAGTTGTGATGCAGTAATGATTGATTAATGAATTAACATTTGCTATGCAGTAATATAGAAGTAGATCAATAATATACGTGGATAAAATGTCTGGGGGCTCAGAGAGTGATGACTCTGTAACAGCTAATGGGAGGGTTTACATTCCTGAAGTAAGAAATGAGGAAACACCAGCAGTTGGGATGAAGTTCGACTCGCTTGACCTCGTTTATAATTTCTATAATAGATATGCATTCTTGGCTGGCTTTGGTATTCGACTTCATTCCAGCTTTTGGGGGAAAAATAAGAAAGAGATTCTGAGAAAAGAATTTGTATGTTGCAAACAAGGTGCATACCGGAATGATGAAACTCGGGAGAGAAAAAGACAGCGGGGAATAAGTAGATGCAATTGCAAAGCTAAGATTGTGGTTGTGAAGACACATGGGAGCAAGAAGTATACCATCTCTCTTTTTGCAGAGGGACACAATCATAAGATGACACCCTCAGGAAGAATGCATTTACTGAGATCACACCGTCGTATTTCAGATTCTACAAAAGTACTTACAAAACAGTTGGGTTCGGTTAATATTCCCATTAATCAGAAGGTAAGTATTTTCGAGGTGCAATCCGGAGGAATGGATAAAATCGGTTTTATCAAAAAGGATATGTACAATCTTGAATGTAGTGTGAATGGGAAGCTGAGGAACCACGATGTTGAACTAGTGACCGAGTATTTTATGGCTGAACAGAAAAAAAATGAGGCTTTTTATTTCAAGATTGAGGGAGATGGCGATAACAGGTTTAGTCGATGTTTTTGGGCAGATGCAACTTCTAGACGGGCGTACGGGTTTTATGGAGATGTTGTTGTATTCGATACCACATTCAACACGAATAGATACGACTTGACATTTGCACCAATGTTGGGAGTTAATAACCATGGTCAAACAATTGTCCTAGCATGCGCATTTTTGAGCAAGGAAACGACTGAGTCGTTTATTTGGATGTTTGAGGAGTTTAAGAAAGCCATGCCAGGTGGCGAACCTAAAACGATCATCACAGATCAAGATGCGGCAATGAGCAGAGCGATTTCAATAGCCTTCCCGACTACATTTCATCGACTTTGCATATGGCACATCACATCAAAGTTCTCTGTTAAGTTACCACATTCTGCTTATAAGGAGTATTGGGGTGAATTCCAGAAAGCCATATGGGATACTGACAATAAGGATGAGTTTGATGCAAAATGGAATATTGTGGTTACAAAGGCTGGTTTGACTGACCATCCATGGCTAAGTTCAATGTTTGATTTAAGGGAATCTTGGGTTCCAGCCTACGCACGACACTTTTTTGCCGCTGGAATGTCAAGCAGCCAAAGAGCTGAATGTTCTCATGGTTTCTTCAAGCAATACATATCAAGGAGAAATTCGTTGATGGATTTCATAATAAGATTTGAGAGGGCACTTTCTCATCAACGTCAAAAAGAGTTAGTTGCTGATCACGTAGATGCATTTGAAGTGGCTCAATGTATTCTACCGATGCCAATGAACAAACAAATGGCTACCTTGTACACAAGGACAATGTTTCAAAAGTTTGAGCAAGAACTAATACAAAGTACAGCATGTTTCCTAGAGCTGAAAACAGAGGATGCTTCTAAAGTTGTCTTTAATGTGAGCGAAAGGAAAAATTGGGAAACAAGAGTGGCAGAAGTCGTATATGTCAAAGATTCTGACCACGCATCGTGTAGCTGCAAAAGATTTGAATTTGTTGGAATTATTTGCAAGCACATCCTAGCATTGTTCAGAAGGGACCAGATTGAATATATGCCCGATAAATACATTTTGAAGAGGTGGAAGAAAACTGCGAAATTTGGATTGGTGTCAGATGCAAATGGCAACGAAATTAAAGACTCTGCAGATCCTGGTCTTTTAATAAAGCGGAGTACAATGTCCCGACTTGCTTCAGATGTGGTTGAGGATGCATTAATGTGTGAAGAAGGATGTGAGCTACTGTCAGAGACTCTAAAAAGTTTGCAGGTGAAGTTGAAGTTGTTGAAGGATGGACCAAGTAATAACGAAGTTGGAGGGTCCAGCTCTCAAACACAATATATGAAAGACCCTAAGAGAGTAAGGTGCAATGGAGGGTCGAAACGAGTAACGGGAGCAAAGGAAAAGGCAATGAAGCGAGGGATTAGACACTGTCGGGAGTGTGGACACATTGGTC